GCTTTTGGATATATTAACGTATTGCATGTGCTTGCAGAAATAACAATTTATTTGTGCACAGTTTCAAGTGCTGATTTTGAGTTCATGTCCAGAAAGACACTTTTATTTGTTTGTTTGTTTGGGGGATACTTTTCATCATTGTTTCAAATAAGTTATGATCGGTAATCGAATTAAAAAGGATAAAGAATTTTTGAGTGTTGCTTTGTACACCCAATAACCATCAGCCTCCATGCTGTGTTATTCCTTCCCCCAAGCCAATGTTTTGTTTTGTGAATCTTTGATTGACAGCTTTGTTCTCCACTCAGGATGGAGACTGATGGGGACCAGAATGCAGGTTCTGCTAATGGAAACACTCCGTCTGGGGGAAACTCTCGCCCACCTCAGATATCTCAAATGTCTTTGTATGAGAGACAGGCTGTACAGGTCAGTGGGTCTATACATGTATTATGTTTCCCCTTGTAGTGTCCCTTTCACCTTATAGGTAGTTGTAATGCCCTAACGTATTTTCAGGATTGGTCACCCAAAATCATTATCAAAAATGCCTGGATCAGCAGTTGGAGGCTGCATGGATAATAGATGGAAATGTGTAATAAAATTGTTGATTGTTGTGGTTGCTATAAAGTACACATTTCTACCTCTTGAGTTTGTATAAATGTTAATAAGCGTATTAATAATGATAAATAAGATGAGGAGTGACTACTTCATGCAGGTCGACTTGGAAATCAGCCCTCAGCTGTGAGTATTTAATGGGCTTTTTCTTCAGTTTATTCAGTGTAGCCTTATTAGCAAATTAGCATGAGCACAGTGAAGAGAAAATTCAGCAGTGCTCACAGGAATAAAAAATATAATGTTGGCATATTCAGACATATAGAAACCTGATCAGATGTAGTACCAAGGGCGTAGATTTGCTCTGGACATTGGTGGGGACCTATGACTCCACCCCCTGCCCCACCCACCAACCCCGCCACCCCAACTTCGTCCACGGAATGCATGTTTTTTTAATATGCTGCAAAATGCAAAATCACTTTACATTAATACTAGCAATGCTTCGATTGATATTAATCCACTCGAAATGCAATTCATGAAGTTAAATTAAGGAATAGTGTAATGTCAAAACCCCACTAGCATTAACGTTAACTGTTGTCGTTACTTTGATGGACTTTGATGGATTCACTAGCGAACTTGAAGTGACTTACACTTTTCTTTGAAAAAAAGCTCCTTATGTCCAGCTTCTTTTTTTTTGCTGCCGCCATCCTCACATGTGTCACCCAACACACCTTCTTGCACGGGGAAAAAAATCCACTGCATTTGGCGCTGCTTGTATCTGAACACAGCCACAGCCTCTCACGTGATAGCAGGGAAATGCACAGCCAATCAAAATGTTCATATGTGTTTTGGGGGCGGGAGGACTCAAGGAGAGAACGTGATTTATCCCTTTCTGCGTGTCTAGGTTAATGTTGACAGCACGATTGTTTTTTTTGTTTTTTTTTTTAAGTGGATTAAATTATTGGTGGGGACATTTCAATGGCCGGAGGATATTGGTGGGGACACATCCCCTCCGTCCACCCTAAATCTACGCCCCTGTGTAGTACACATGTACATAGTTTAGTGTATGTTGATTTAGTAGTGGTTCTTTCCTTGTACACAGACTCCATGTACCCCGGCATAATGTTATACTAAGCATTAACTGGGAAGTTTTCTTGTGCCTTTTTCAAGAACTGCCTGACCAATACCAAAAATAGGACCTTCCAGTATAACTGCTGTTCTCATTGCTGGATACAGGCTCTCCAGGCCCTGCAGAGGCAGCCCAATGCGGCCCAGTACTTCCAGCAACTGATGCTGCAGCAGCAGATTAGCAGCGCCCAGCTCCAGAACCTTGCGGCTGTGCAGCAGGTACCAGTCCTGCCATGAAGCAGCGCTTTTGGGTGCCGTTTTTCTGCCATTGGCTGCCTGGGTCGGGGGAAGCTCTTAGTGCCATGTGTTTGAGCAGCTATGACACCCTAGGAGAATCCTGTTTGGATGCTGATTTTCTCTCACTTCTCATGCCTCTCTCTCTCCAGGCCACCCTTGCAGCCAGCCGTCAGTCCAGTTCCCCCAGTAACAGTGTCTCCCAAGCCACCAGCACAGCTCACTGCACCGTGCGTCTAAACATCTCTGTCTCACTATACCAGGAATATGAATCTTTCTTTATTAGGCTGATATTTGCACTCGCTAGTTTTATTTGGTTAAAATGTATCAAATGAGATTCACTTGCAGTTTGAAGTTACTTTTTGAACACATACGGAAGTGTTTAGGAATTAAAGCTTACTTTTCTTTCACATTATGCTCATTTATTGATTACAGAGTAGGCATAACAATATTAAAATGGCTTTTTGTGACAAAAGTTTAGGCTAAATCCTTTCTACCTAACGTCAAGTTAATATCACAGGTGAACTTAAGTTCTTCAGGAGGGGGAGCCATGAGCAACCCTCGGCCTCTTGGCCCCACCTCCTCTACGACATCATCAGCCCTGAGTCAGTCGGTACTGCTGGGTGGAAACACAGCTGGACAGGGACAGATGTTCCTCAGAGTGAGTTTGAAGTTTCATTTTCTCCCTTCTTCTTCTTTGATATTGTAAGATCTCACAAACGTTGTATGCAAGCCTTAAATTTACACTGATCAGAAAAAGCATTGTATTTCCAGCTGTTATTTCGGTGTTCAACGTAGTATGAGGTTTGCATTATTATATCTTGTGTTGTTTTAAATGGACATTTTTATTAACTGTTTAACTACCATCCTTTACCAGGTAAATCGCTCTCTTAGGACACCACTCTCCTCGCAGCTTATATTCATGCCTTCTGGCACAGCAACAGCTGCTGTAGCAACAGTCACCCAGCAACAGGCCCAGCAACATCAGCAACACGAAGTTACTCCCGTCTCTTCTAATAGCCAGTCCGATACCGACCAAGTAAGAGCGCTTAAGTATCCGCATCAGTGCCTGATGAATCACTCTCCTCGTTTTATGACATGTGTCTCTCCATCCAGGTCCAGAACCTGGCCCTCCGCTCCAGTTCTCAAGTTGCCACAGTGAAGACAGAGTGCCCCGACCGGAAGGACACAGGTAGAAAGAGAGAACAGGAGTCTCACTCTATGACATCATTAATGCCTGTCATTTTCTAAACCCCTCCTTTTCTAATTAATCAAATAATTAAAATTTAAGAACCAGGAAATGTTTTGTAGCGCATGTGACTTTTGAGCAGTGTTGAGGTCACTGTGCTCAGGTGGTATGTTGAGGGCTCCTAAGCTGATATTCCCCCCCCCATCCGTTTCTCTTTTTTTTGTGTCCTCAGCCGCCTACTCTATGGTCCAACAGCCGCAACAACAGTTCCCCCAGACTGCACAGCAGACCACAGGGCAGCAGCTACAGCCCCCACAACAGCAACAAATGCACGCTAAACTGCCCTCTTACACCCAACCCTCCACTCCCACTCTTCCCAGTATGAACCTCAAAACTGGAAACCAGCCCAGCATGGCCCCTCCACCAGCCCCTCCGCTCCCACCCTCTTCCTCCCCTTCTCCATCCATTCCTCTCTCTCAGCTTCTTCTCTCTACTTCTGGCTTCTGTCAAGCACGTGCTGTCACCACAGTTACCTCAGCTACCACGGCGACTCACATCTTGGTTCCGACTTCCAACACCCCGACCCCATCGCAAGGATATCCTGTCAGCTCTGTAGGGCCCAAACCTAATATTAACACCCAGACACTGGTGGTTCAACCACTCCAGCAAACCAACACTAACATAAGCTCTGAGAAGATGGCCCATACTTCTGGGCCTGTCCCCATTCAGCCGAAAACTGTCCAAGGCCTCCGCTTGCCCCTCCAGCTTCCCTCAAGGCATCCCCCTCCAATTCTACCTGCACCACCAAGCAACCCCCAATCCAGTACCTCTCACCTGCCGCCGCATGTTCCTGTTCAGCTGGTGGGTGCTAGGCAGGGTTCTCTAGGAAACTCCCAGGCTTTGGCTCTAGCACAGGCCCGAAACTGCTGTGCCCAGGATAGCGGGTCTCTGAATAACTCCACCAGCAAGGTGACCTCCGTGGCCACAGGAGGAGGCGTGGGGGTTGGTGGAGGCACCAGTGCGGGCCTGAAGTCAACCCAGAGTGCGCCGCCTTTGACCCAGGTCTCTCAGATTCACCTGCCTGCCACTCAGGGTCCTGTGCTACATCCAGCTCGCTCTTCCTCCTCTACCTCATCCTCTGCCTCCAATTCTTCTGCTCCCTGCCTCTCTGTCGCCCACCCTTTGGACATCCAGGCTACCCCGTCACTGGCAGTGCCTCCTAGTGGAGATCCAGTGCATGTGCAGTCTATTCAGATGCAGGTGAGTGAAGTACACATTCTCCATCAGTTAACTTTTATAACCGTCCTCAGCCAATTGGTGTGAGCATGTGTGTCTAAAAGCCCGACTCATCATGTTGCCTGTGACTTGAAGGGAAAACCTGCAGCTGGCTCTCTGAAGAGGAAGTCGGAGTCTGATGTGAACGTGTTGGTGGCCGGGCCCAGCCTTGTCTCCACCCCCCCAGCCAGAGAGCTATCCCCTCCTATCTTAACCCCAGCTATTGAAGAAGGTGAGGGATCAGTGTTTCTGCATTGCTGTTATAATGATATAATACTGTCAAATTACTGTGTTGCTGAAAATTAAAATATATATCATTGCCACTTATTCGGTTTCTCATTCCTTCTTTCTTTTTTTTTAAATTTCTCTTCAGCCCATGGCATCACTCCCACTCCATCCAGCCTGTCCCTTTCAACTTGTCGAGCAGGAGGTGGGCAGGAGAAGGGCCCCCCTCCCCAGGCTGTAGTCAAACCCCAAGTCCTCACTCACCTAATTGAGGGCTTTGTCATCCAGGAAGGTGCAGAGCCCTTTCCAGTAAGTTCTTTATCAAGGCAAGAGGTGGACCTGCAGTGGGTTGCACCAGCTAAGCGTAAGTCCGATCTTAGCCTCCGCTGGACGTAAGCTGGCCCTATGTTCGAGTTAACACACTAAAAAACAATCGGTTGCACCACACAAATAGTTTCAACGTAGCACTATGTTGTAATGTCAATTTTACACTCACTTAATATTAGGTGTAAGGTCCTTCTTAAAAAAATCTTAAGTGGTGAAAATGGCATAAATGTGAATAATCTAACAAACCTTTTTTGTTGTGTTTTTTTTCTATTATTCAACTAATCTAACAACTAATTTCTCGATTTATCTGATGATAAATTTATTGATAAGCAATTATTTTCAAGTCAGTCATTTAATACAATTCACCTCACACACAAATCTGAAATTCTCATTAACATTTCAATTTATTAAAACATTTCTTAAACATTAGAGCATTATTAACAAAAAAGGCAAATCTTAAGATATTCAATAGGATTTCTATGTTAGACTGAAGTTAATAATCACTGCAAAAGTTAATAATCACTGCAATCAATGTAATACTTATTTCAGTACACCAATTTGACTTTAATGTTGAAATAGATGCTAAAACATGGAATGATTTCATGACTAGAGAAACATGTTTTTAACAAACACTAGCAAATGTAGCTTATAGTTAAGTTTACATCATTGAGAAAGGAACGATTTAGGCTACAGTGTGTAAGAGGAGTCGTAAATGATAATTTGTCTCACTCTTACAAGATAGAATAAGTAAACAGAAAATACAAAAACGGCTAAACCAGCATCATTATCGTCAGTTACAGTAGAGGTGCAGTAAAGGTGTCATGACTGAAGTATTCCCAAACTTTGGAAGACCGTGTGCGAGCCTTTTTTTGCTGCGTGTTTCTCCAGAGGCTCCAGACCTCTGCTGGTAGACGCAGCCATGCTGCCTCGTGCGCAGGGGCGGGGCGGGAGGCAAATTTCCTTTTTGCAGGGTGGTAGGAAATGTCTCATTAATATTTATGAGAGAAGTGCTACATGATTGGACAGTGCATGCCTTACACAATAGTGCAGCACTGCTGGCACCGGCAAAACTATATTGGCCTTACAAAATATACATTTATTATAGTTCTACACTATCTAACTTGACCACAAATTTGATAAACATACTAGTGGTATAACAGATAACCGTTGATGCATAAGGATTCCCACCCCCCGCATATGTTAACCGCGGATGAACTGCAAAATTTTACCATGATAGTGTGAAAGTTTTATTGCCGCTGTCACTTTTAAAACTTAACATCATTTCTCACAAGAGAGAATCCCCCACTTATGCGTAGGACATGAATGCAACAACATAATAGCCATGGCATTTTAGTGGAATCTGCTTTCCCCCTTCTTATGACATATACTGTTCGCCTGTCTACAACTGTTGTTTTTCCAAGAACTTATTTTATGATCTTGAAAAAACAACTTTGGCTATACTGAGATCACGAGAAAAATAAGTAGTGATCATGACATAAGACAGAAAAACACAATGATGTATGTCCTCTATGGACTTCCATCCAGTGCAAAGTTGACTTCCATCCAATGCTTTGCATTGGACTTCCTTCCAATGCAAAGCAGTTTTATTTTCTTTTTTGATGATCCGAAAAATGATCCAGTCTGTGACTCAAATACTGTGAGTTTTGTGATCTGTTGCACCCCTAAACCAAACCTAGCAAGCTACGTAGCGCACACTTCTTACATTGCACCATCCATGGCACATTGCAGGTTTCATTACAGCTGTGTGTTAAACAGTTCTCATAAATACAGAGAAAACAAATCGGTTTCTCTGTATAACCCAAACTCAACAAACATGTGGAACAGCGAGTTGGTTCTGGTAATATCAGACAGAGATTTTGATTGGTTGTGCACTGTGAAAACGTCATTCTGTGCGGCAATATTTTTATTTATTGGCTACTAACTTAGATGTAGTTTAAGTAGCAATGGTGCGACTGACAACGAATGCGACGCTAGATTCAGCGTAAGACTTAAGGTGCATTTAACAACTTTACACCGACTTTATTATTGTAGTTACGCTAAGCTGGTGCAACACACTACTGGACTGTCAAGGGGAGTGGCTTCTGTAACCATGGTAACCACTTGCTGATTGACAGGTTACTGGACCAGTGAAGGATCGATCTGATGGGACATTGCCAATGGCCGTACCACCTGCAGACCAGACAGAGTCTGAGTCTCCTGCAGGTGAGTGTCTATGATCTGTAAAAAGCAAGCAGATTAGCCCAGCCAGAGGCTCTTTGTGTTTCCTGGATGTAACTCCTTATCCCGCCCCTGCACCCAGTGATGAAGTGTGAATACTGTGAAGGTTTTGCTCCAGCGAACCAGTTCCGGGGCTCCAAGCGCTTCTGCTCCATGACTTGTGCCAAGAGGTACGGTTACTATTACTACTGCCACCACCACCACTGCTACTTCAGATATACAACAGTGACTCATACCACCTTCATATCTCAAGCCTCTACTCTTGTCTCATGTAATGAAAATATGGCAGGCTGAATGGGAGGAAACTATTAATAACAACAGTCCAGTTCTTGGAAAGATGACAAAAGTTATTTAGTTAACTAAAATGGTTACCATTTTACTCACTCTTTAAGAGAGTCAAGCCAAAGGTTTTTTAAGATTTTTTTTTATTGTAAGCTAATCTTAAGCATCTTAGATTTTTTGTACAAGCTTTTTTGTAGTCATTTATGTAGTTTTTACCTTTTTGGCTCATTTTAATATCTGCTTTACTCCCTATTTACTCTCACCCTAGTTGCTGGCATGGCATTAACAATCAACATAAACAAACTACTACTAATCATTATTATTCCTGTTAGTCACTCATTGTTTGTGAAGTGTTACAATTTCAGCATTAAAGCCTCTTTAACTGCAAAATAATTCTGTCAGCACCTCAAAGGGATTATGCGGGATCAAAATTAATTTGTATTCTTATTTTATGCCATGAAAATTTGCACAATACTGCACGCATGATTTTTTGTTTTATGATGTGATAAAAAAAATTCTCCCTTAACATACATCGTCATAGTGGTGTGTAGCATATTTAGTTGACGGGTCATATTTTCTGAACAACTGGCCTGTGGCGTCTCTTAGAGAAAATAAACAGTAAAAAATATAAAAACTGTTCAGTTTAACGACCTCCAAGTAGCATGTTACAAAATCTGGTTAAGGTTTCCGACCCTAGAGCAGTTTCCTTTGGAATAGTCAGATCTTTTTAGATGGGGTTTGAAAGACTTGGTCTTCCAGGTTGGGTTAGCAATAGTAGTGCTACAGTATCAATGGTTACATCAGTATATTTGTGGTTATTATGATTGAACACCATTATGTCTGATTTGATTTTTACTTGATTTTGCAAGAAGGGGAATGGTTGTAGTTGACTTATTCTCCACTAGGGGGTGCAAAAGGCCCGTACTGTGGAAGTGCTGCCTTATGATTCATGGGCATGGTAGCATTCTCTTATTACTGAACAGCTGATGGCTGTACACTATGGCCCCTTCCTATACAGATACAACGTGAGCTGCAGCCACCAGTACCGCTCACGGCGTGGCCGGGCCCTGCGAGGTGTGGCCGGGGGGCCTGCAGGCCCAGATGGCATCCTGAGGCGCAGGGGTCCTCGCAGAAGCAGTTCAGAAATTGCCAGTGCCAAAATAGCGGGAAGACACCTGCCCGTCAAGGTGTGTGAGCATCCCTTGTAACGTGTGTTGTGCAAGTGTAAACTTGTGTGTTTCCTTTTCTGTGCACTTTTTGCTAAGCGTGCAGCTGGGCTGTGGAGGGGTGATGCCAGTAGGAGGGGTGGGGAGAGCTTGTAGGAGGGATCCGCTGTGTGATGGCTGCCCTAAATGACGCCCAGCCTGAAGATGATGGGGTCCTCACTGGCACCATTTTGAGCTGCAGGACCGCCCGTTCATTGATGTGTTGTTACTTGCTAGTGCCCAAACTCACTGGGAGCTTCTTTCTAATAACCCACCACCCCACCCAAAGTGTCGATCAGAGTCCAGCCGCTCCGAAGATATCTCCAGCTGTGAGGAGGAAGAAGAGGAAGACTCGCTGTCTCTGTCTCCAGGCTCGTCGTTTTCTGTCCCTCGGCCTGCTCATTGCAGGCCCCAGCTAGAAGGGCAGGCCCCCGGGGGGCTCTCGCTAGACGGGGCCCAGTTCCTGTCTGGGAGCCCTTCTCACTGGAGCGTAGAGGAAGTGTGTCAGTTTATCTCGTCTCTGCAAGGTGAGTTTCCCGTTGGCATCCCTGGTTTACTGTTTGATGTTTTATTTAATTCCTCGCCCTGTTATTATTATATTGAGTAGTGTGTGTCCCTCTTGGCTAGTAGAACTGAAAATTACCATGTTCTGGGCCCCTCTGTCTTTTTCCCTAAGTAGCGATGCTTGTTCCAAAATGTGAAATCACACCAGGTTGAGATGAACATTTACCTACAATGCATTGTTGGTCACTTTGTATGTCCATGTCACATCCCCCATGTCACAGAGAGGCTCATAAAAACCAGATCTATCCGGATTTCCATATATCGGATGGGTATAAGAGTTAACGATATGAAAATAAAATTCTATAAGTGCAAAGGGGTCCTTTACCTTCTAAAGACAAGAAAAGCTTGTTGGGGAAAAGAAGCCAAACTGACCAACTGGGTCTCCTACGTCCATTTGCACAGCCTCAGAGTCAGGCTGTTCCTGTACTTGCAGCAGGCTCTAAGTTTGACATACAATAAAATCCACTTATAACGAACTTCAAGGGACCTGGCAAAACAATCCATTATATCCAAAGTCCGTTATATCCAGAGTTGCTGTACACCCAGAACACAACTACAGGACACCATTTACTCATGCCACACCCCAGCAGATACACTTGTGGTATAGATTATTATATCGTACATGTAGTAATCCAACTTTACCTGACCAGATGCGTGGCTATTAATAATCCCAACTACGTATCTGCACTGGATATCACCAGCATGTCCATTATAGCCAAACAAAACTACAGCTAAAAGCAGCCCTGGGGACCAAATTTTTTATCTGTTATAAGCGAAATTTCGTTATATGTGAGTCCGCTATATCCGATGCTTTTTCTGCATGTTCTAGGACCAGTGGACCTTGTCCGTTATAGACGATATTCCGTTATAAGCGAATCCACTAAAACAGGATTTTAAAGTAGTAAATAATTCTCTGCATGGCAATCGGATGCCACCAGTCAGCTGCCGTGTTATTTAAAATGCGCCCTTCCTGCCACGGTCCTAGACGTAGTCAGATGTACTGGGAACCACTGTATTTCTGTAACGCCTCAGAAGGACCATGTTCATAGTGCTCCTTTTCTCTCTTGTCCATCAGGCTGTGAGGACCTGGCGAATCAATTCCTCTCGCAGGAGATTGACGGTCAGGCCCTACTTCTGCTGAGGGAGGAGCACCTCATGTCCACCATGAATATCAAGCTGGGGCCTGCACTTAAGATCTGCGCCTCCATCAACAACCTGAGGGACTGAGACACTGATAGGACCTGTCCGGGTGGGCTGTACCACACCTCTTCACTTGGGCGGGGGGGAGCTGTACCACACCTCTTCACTTGGGGGGTGGGCTGTACCGCACCTCTTCTTTGGGGGGTTAGGGGTGGTATGACAGGAGGAGGAGAAAGATTGTGTAAGGGCTTAGATTCCATTCTATGGAGACTTTTTTTCTGTGTTTTGTGAAAGAGGGCAGTAATATATCCGAAAAAAGGTCACCATAATGCCAGACTTCTGAATGTGTATTTGTGAGAGGGCAGTTAAGGATTAGCTGTCTGTTTCTCAGCAAACATTACCTACATTTGGCCATCTCTGCTCATATGTAATGAAGGAAGGCGATCATCATCATTATTCATTAGTTGACTAAAACAACATCTGATGTCAAAGAGTTGCCTTTTCACTGTTTCAGTGGTGTTTTAGTGAAGTAATATAGTATTAGAGTTCAAAAATAGCAATACCAGGTTCCTCTGTTCCAAAGCATACAGTGAACTACATTGTCCATCATTCCATGTGAAGTTTTTGTTCTACACTGATGGACAGACAACTGTGATTCCAAATATACTGGAATGAAAAGTATGACTGAATTACTTTTACTTTTTTTTACACAATTGAGGTCTGGTTTATAGCCATTTTAATCTACTAAAACAGTATTTTGTTATTACAGTTTTGATCTATGAACCTATCATTGTTAATCTTCTGCTAAAGTATCTACATGTTGATTAGCCTACTGCTTATGGCTCTAGAAATAAAAGACTATTAATGGATATTATGCCTGACAGGTTGTTTTTGTAAGCCCTTAAACCATAGATGAGTGAGATTTAGTCCACATATTCAAGCATTTTAAAATAATTTTTATTTCATGTGCATTCTCATGCTGCACATTTCAGTAATACTTCAAGCACTAGCAGCTTAAAAAGTGGTACAAGCGTACTGATTCACACTGCTCACACCTGGACCCCTGCAGTGCATCCCATAACCAGCAGTTTGTGGGCTTAACCTGAACTTTAAAATTTTTTTATTGACAGGACACACAATCAGGGGCCAGCAGCAGATCTGAGACTCCTATTTTATGCAGTCAGTAGTCTGCGTTTGCTGTCCTAAGCTATGATTGATTGTCCCATTGTTTTATAAAAGAAAACTAGACAAACACAGCCAATATGCTGCTGCTATATCATTACCAATACTTAGAAAATGAGTATGATGAATGACTTCTATTTACTGCAGCTCATTGATAGGAGTGGCATGCCACACATTCAGTAAGACATGTCAACGCATACTGAAGGTAGCCAATCAGGAAGGTAGCCAATCAGGCTACCTGCTTAGTGACCCTCAGCCGTGGGTACATGCCAGGATAAACGGAAAGCCCTGCTTCACCCAAACCCTATCCCTAACATTAATATTGATGCTGCTGTCACTCACACAACCTGCAAGCGTGCAACTAAACTACAGTGAAATAAGGAGCAAGGACACATTTAGTGGCATATGACTGCTGGAATTTCATAAAGGGGGAAAAATGTCACAGGTGACTAACCAGGGAAAATATATAGCAATAATTATTCTTCATTAATCTTATATTACACGGAATTTGTAACCCTGACAACGCCTCATACATACATTTACTTACATGCCCATCCAAATCTGTTAATAGCAGTCCTAATTCCTTATGTGCGAACGACTAAGCACTGGCATCTATCAAAGAACACTGTAGCTGTTATCTTCCACATATCCAGCCTCCTGCAGGTAGCGCTCGATGTTGATTGGCTCTGGTACTCGCAGGACAGCCCGGTCATTGGCAGACTTCTCTCCAGATTGGAGCTTGCGGTTCAGTTCAGCCAGTGAAGGACGGTCTTGCTCTTTCCATTGGCAACAGGCTTTCATGATCGAGTAACTGAGAAAGGCAAGGTAACAGAATCTATCATTATATATGTCTTCAGGACAATGCTATTTGTGGTAATATGTACCACAATAGTCTTGTTATTCACCTAAGGTCCTGACCTTAAGCACGTTGATGGATAGACAACAGCCACTTCAGTCTAAACCTAGACACAAAAACCTAAAACGTATAGGGTTTGTATGCCAGTACGGGGGAATTAAACCCACAGAGATGTTTTTTTTCTCCTCTAACTTCCATTACAATTTATTACTACATTATCTGAACTGTCACATCCATGTATGAAGCAATTCCTGTTATTTCTTTGTCGAGCTTTGTGTTTTGAGGGCGTTACACCAAATGTTGCTGGGATCATGACTGTGGCTACTTACAGTGAGCTGGGGCAGTGGGCTGGCCTCTTCAGAGTCCTCCCTCTCTGCAATTGCTGCAGGAGCTCATTTACTGCCACGTCTGCGAACGGGGCGTCCCCTGTGACAGGATGGCGGCAAGCAACAGCTCCTTGTCACCAGCATTGTGAGAAAGTCTTTCACAGCCTCACACCCAAATATCACAGGTCATAAATCATCGATGGCCTATATCACACTAAAGATTACATTTTTTTCCACACAAAACTATACTTGGACTTTCTTGGAAATAATTCCTCAGATTTTTAAAGCAAGTACCCACAGCCATTTGGAAACATGCCGCTTTTAGCACCCTGTACCTCTTACACAGACGACTCCATGCCCAGTGAGTCAACCCTAACCCTATAAATGCCCAGCCCATTCATAAGGCCATTTGAGCAGCATCATTATTGACAATACTGCTGTTTCCCATACGGTCCATGTTTTTGCTCCCTCCCAGCTCCCTACTGGGGAGAAAAATGTGGACTGTCTTGGCACCCCGAGGACTGGTTTCAGAAACACTGCATTACTGAGACTCAATATACATTTTAGTCTTAATTCAGCAAACTCATTCAAAATAAAACATGGAATAAACAGTATTTTAAATATAAACTTCACACTATATGGCCAAAACCATGTGGACACCAGTTTTTCCAACATCTCATTCCAAAACCTCAGGTATTAATATGAAGTTGGTCACACTTTGCTGCTATAATATCTTGTGTTCTTCTGGGAAAGCTTCCCACTAGAAGTTTGTAACATTGCTGGTGGGATTTGCTGCCATTCAGGGTGGGTAATGATGCTGAGTGATCAGGTCACTCTCTATGAATTTATGACTGACCACTTCACAGCTGAACTCTCAGATGTTTCCATTTCACAATCACCTCACTTACAGCCCACCAGGGCAGCTCTAGCAGGACAAATCTCTTGAACTGACTTGGAAAGATGGCGTCCTATGATGGAGCCAAGTGGAAAGTCACTAATCTCTCCTGTGCAACATCCACCCATTTTGCTGATAATAATTGTTGCAGAAGATTGCATAACTGTGTGCTTGATTATACGTCTGTGTCAGCAGTGGGTGTAGAATAAACAAGAAATTCCTCTGATTAACTGGGGTGTTCACATACTTTTGGCCATATGGTGTATATGAGCTGGCCGAAGGTGGAACAATGTCAAGGAGGCTCAGGTATAGATGACCTTTTGCTCTACACCTACAAATGCTCAGTTAATGAAGTGAGTTTGATGAGTTTGGGAGAGGCGAGGAAGAGTGTGGCCTGTTCCCACAGTGTGTGTGAGTATTCACATCGTTTTGCTCACTACCCTTTAGTTTTACACTCCCCTCTGAATTTTCCAGTTAAAGGAGACACAAGTCCATGTGGTATTTCAGCTTTCAAGTTTCTGGATTAATTTGGGTTCATTATACCCTGATATATTGCACCTCAACCCCTGTAACACCGAGAAAAAGGACATGTAACTTACCAAGAGTCACCATTTCATACAGCAAGATGCCAAAAGACCAGCTGGGGGGGGGGGGGGGAATGGTACTGTGTTACTACTGCAGACTCCCAGCCTACCCCACTGTCAGCGTCGCTATTCTCGCTCACTTACATGTCGCTGTGAGTAGAGGCGCTCCTCCTGGCTAGCACCTCAGGAGCCTGCCATTTTTTAATCCCGCTATTATTAGGGGGCGGAATAGCCTGAGTTTTCTTGTATGCTGTGCCCAGTCCCCACAGTTTGACTGTCAGATCCCGGCCCACGAGCACACTCCGGGCCCCAAGGTTTCCATGGACAACATCCTTTCTGTGGAGGTGATCCTGGATTGGGAAGAATTTAAGCCAGAGTTTAGGGTGGCTTGGGCACCATTCACCTCCCGGGGGGGAATAGGAACTCACCAGAGCGGATGCCACTTGGGTTGCCATGGTGAATATACGCTTCTCTGTCAGGTCACAAGGGGCCTCATGAGTCACATTATCCTGTCAACGACAACTTGGTATGTTTGCTCCATCCAGACATAGAGACACAGTTCAGCAAATGTGCTCGGCTCCCCCGAACCCTGCCCCCACCTGCCGACACCTCCAGAGGAAGCCCAGGAGGTCCCGGTTGGGCAGCTCCTCCACAACGGTGATGAGCGGGGCGCGCAGCGTGACAGTGCCCAGCACGGCGGGCAGGAACGGGTGCGAGCCCAGCTGCCACAGAAAGGAGGTAAAGCCTTGGAAGTTCTGCCGTTCACTGGCACTGGCAGAATCTGAGGAGGACGGGGATGGCGCAGGAAGAAAAAGGAGTGTGTGATGTTGGTCAGGGATACAAGACTGACAACATTGGGATTATCATTGGGGAGAGCCGCACAAGAGGAACAAGAACACAGAATCAAAGTATTAATAGAACTATGCTATTTCCACTGTATTCCACAACAACCTGTTAGTATCTAATTCAGACTTAGTGCTGCTCTTTTCTTTAAGGTGTACCTTCAGTCTATTTTTGAATGGGTTTGTTTCGATTCAATTTCAAATTCAAAAGCTGGCGTGCTGGTGGCAGAGCTAGTTAGGGAGGAAGAATGTAGAGAGAGTGCAGAGACGGCAGTGGTTACCGTTGAGGACTCTTAGAACCACATCTCTGTCGTCCATCTTGGCGCGGTACAGAGAGACACACTCATCTGTGTTCAGCGAGAAAGTGAATGGCAGAGTGGAGATCTTGTTGAAAGACTCAGGTAGTCTCTGTCTAGGCAACTCTGGGAGGACAGGCTGTGGGGTGGGGTCTGGCTGAGGGGACAGAATGAAGGTGGAGTAGGTGGGCCCGTCCAGAGAGATAGTCTCATGCTCCAGAGGATTCAGTCCTATGGGAGCTGTAGACACAGACAGGAGAACACTGTTATGTGGACAATAATGCAGTTTTGACAGCTGTATTCACTGCTTTAGTAAGCAAACACAGTACTGTGCAAAAGTCTTAGGCAGTCAGATGGTATGTTTAACAGATTTACATGTGGGTGCAGTAGAGGGAAGGATTATGATTTTATGTGTGCCCCCTGGGATTTGAACCCACAAATTTTGCATTGTTAGTGACATGCACTACTTGTTGAGCTACAGGTGCTAAAAATATTTACAGTAACCATCCAATATACCCATATATTTGCTGACCCGACCAGAAGCATATTATGTTTGGCTAATCAATACCTCATCAAGTTATTGAACTAATTAAGTTAATTGATTGAATGAGTACATGGCATTGCTAGGGTACCCTGAGGAGAGATTTTGGGACTAAAGTGGTGTTCATATAGCCACCAAATTAGATGTCAGTAACTCTGGAGAACATAAGAAATTCTTGTAATTTTTTACTGTTTATTTTTATATATTCTAATGTTAAATTGTTATATACTGAGTAAATTTATATTCACTACTCAGATACACATCTATACACATTTTTTTCCCACTCGCTAGCTCCCTCACCATCAATGCCTTGCTGTTCCCTCCTGGATCGCTGCCGCTGGAGGCTGTTGGTGTGGCTGCGCCGCCGCAGCCGGTTCACCTTCTCAGGGCAGAAACGCAGCAGCAGCAGGAAGACAAGAGTCACCAGGAAGCTCAAGAGGAGCACGATGGGCACCACGATCACTTCCTGCTCGTACACACGGATCGCTGCAGGCGGAGCGGTTAATGGAGCGGTTAGCAGTTGGAGGGGACTGTACCCTTAGAGAAGGCCAACGTGGCTCATTGCAAGGGGGCATCATATGACAGATGGTAGAGCATGCAAATGACCAGAGGTAGGTAGTTCAGGACCAAAGAGTAAAAATCTAGACCAAGATTTTGTTTCCACCAGCTAGTTGAGTATACGAATACTGTGACACTTTATGCTCAACTTGTTGGTTGAAACAAATCCTTGGTCTGGAATTGTACTCTTTGGACCTCATTTACCCACCTCTGCAAATGTCCAAATATTAATGTGAAGCAGAGAGAAAACCACAGACAAAAGCAAGTCAGAAAAAGACCTAATTAAGACTCACCACAGAAATTGTCCCCATATTGACACTGGTAACCTGAGTTATTGGACGCCATCCTAGAAGTAAAACACTGGACTGCATTTAATGGTTTAATGCAATTTAAAGCAAATAAAATAAAATTAAATTAATTTAAATGAAATTAAATATACTCTATTGATGACAGGGGACATTTTAGTGCATTCAGCAGCAAGCAAAACAAGACAAAGACAAGTAAATATAGTGCAAACACATTTAAAAAATACACATTGCCCAAATAGCATGTTCTGGAAACAGAATATCAGTGAGGAAATGAATAAAAATAAATTAACGCATAGTATATGTTCAATTAAAAACAGATAGCAGCAGACGTTTGTGACATTAAATACCAGAATTCCCATTAATAGACAAGTGGTCACCACACCTATTTGGACATGAAGTTTACTATTAGAGGAACCACACATGCCTTTCAGGTGCATTACGGGTAAGTGTGTATATATTTACATACTACAGAGCCACTGCCTTGATTAAATACATAACGCATTCAGGCTTTGCTCAGCCATTCAAAGGGTCACTTGTGATGGACTGTTTAATCATACAGCTGATATTGAAGGTTTTGTTTCTTCTACTAATATCCCCCTTAAAATAGCTGAACCTGCAGTGTGACCTGTGTCCAGTAGTGCAGCTTCATGTCAGACACAGGTAAGGAGACATCAGCAGCATAATTTTCTAAGGTTCTGTTTGAGCAAAGGAAATAGGTCGAGTAATAGTAGAAAAAGAACTAGATACCACAAAATACAGACATGATGAAAGCAGCGTGAGGGAACTGTGGGGGGGGGGGCACCTTTGGGTAACAGTATTAATTACCTCTTTCTATAGCTCGCATCATGACAGAACACATGCAGTCCCATGGAACGGGGTAGCCATTGCCAGGGGATATTTACCCGAAATGCCACGGTATGTTTTAAGTTAGGGGATTAACTAATGCTGCCTTCCTCAGTGATTTGTGGCATGGTTTTAACCTGTTTTACCACATTTTCCCCTTTGGCAAACTATGTACTCTTGCAAATGCTACTGAACAGGAAGCTCACGTACATATTATGTGCTACATTTTTCATTTATATATTTATACGTGTATGTACACACACAGATAGTATTGTGCAAATGTGTCAGTCAAATAAAGTATAAGTAAAAAGCTATTTATCTGGTTAGTCAGTGTATTTTTTTGAACATGAGAATATTTTTGCTCAGAATAAAAAAGCACAGTTTAGCGTTAAAACATGCAAATTAACAGAGACATAAGTCCTCTCCTAAGGGGCACCTCAGCCATTCAATGTATTTGTAAAATTTCAATTAATACTATACACACACACACATACATATATATATAATTTTAATAGGACCACTACACACTTACTGAACACACCCACAATTTGCTTACCCAAAACACTGTTGTAAAAAATCTCTACCTTTAAAGCTTAATGATTACTCTGATTAAAGGGAAGTGTGATTAAAATCTGTTTTTATTGCACTGGCTTCCCTTAGTTACAGTGTTTTCAGCTACAGGTGACATGTCAGGTTTCTCACGTAACTCACACCGCTCCTTCCGGCCTCTTTCACTGCCTGTTAGTCTGCACCATGCGGCTAAGTGACTCACTCCTTTCGTTCACCCTTCCAGCAGGTCCACCTTCATCTGTTTGCTGATTTCCAGCTTCCTTCACTCTTAGTCCATGTCCTTTGGATTTCTTATAGCTCTGGGATGCAGTCAGATTGAGTGGCTCCAGGTCAGAGTCTCCCAAGAACACTCGCTTTCATACTCTATATGATCCTGTCTCCAGGGTTTCCAGTCTAACTGCATTAAGCCTCCTCTCTCGCTCTTCTACTTTGGCTAAACAGGTCCTTCCACTCCTGTTTATGTACATAGCTCCTTTTGTTCAGCCTACCTGACGTCTTCTGCCTCTCTCTGTTCATCATTTTCATAGCCCTACAGCAGCTCCCACACCTAAACCTGAAATTCTGGCTCCATCACTGTTATCATCGCTGTGGCCATGCCAGGCTCGGTCAGCAGGTTTACATCACAAGTACAGCAAATAAAACAGATGCATTTATTTCAGCCATTTATTTGCATCTCTGTGGAACAAGTGGTTTTACACTTTAGCAGTGAGCTTTATCGGCTGAGGTCCCAACCACTTCTCTCCTGAAAAAGAAGGATGGGATGTGGTGGTCATGTGATGACACACTGGGTGCTGCACTCCTGTCCTTCAGCAGACAGGTTCTGCTAAACATGTGTAAGGTAGCCAGAGCATTTCTAAACATGGCTACATATTCAGGGTGATAATGTTAATTTAAGAAAAATAAATACAATGAACATGAGAATATGTTAGAGTCCTGAGATATGAATATAATGAAATTATGAAATTAAATTTAAAAATGTTCTTTACTGGAATGTCTTTCAAGTTTAAGAGCACATTCAAAAGTTTCACTTAGGAATTTTCACTACATTAAATGCTGTTAGTAAATGTTACATCCTACACTATGTTAAAAGTCAGGTTTTACATAATATCAATTTTTCATTTCTTTCAAAAATTGCGGCATATTTTGTTTAAACAACTTGAACCTGGAATTTTACTCAGCACTATTTAAAAACAACTTATCACTATTTGCATTTCTGAATACAATGAGTTTTAGTGACTTTAGTGGCTTTCATTTCAAATTAATTACTCTGAAATCACTAATGTCAGTGAATTACTAAAATGTCTGTAACGATGGCAGTTCTGTAACTGTAGCCCAGAGAACTTCACTAATGTCAAGGATGCTCAGATGACTGACCTCTTATGAAAGTGACAATGTGACGATAGACAAACTGAGTGATGATACCGGGGTAATCACCTATGCAGTGGGCCATGAGCTCGAATCGGTCAGATCCAAAAAACATCTCCCGCTTTCCGTCTACGTGACACACGATGAGGGGAAAGCCAAAGGCCTATAGCAGAGACAGGGTTGAGGCAACCTCAACAAACAGGGGCAGCTTCAGAGATAAGCAGTCCTGAGAGACAGATTCTTGTGACACAAGGTGCACATTCATTTACATGACATTCATTTAGCAGACATTTTTGTTGAAAGTGATGTACAAGTAAGGATCAAAGAGCAGGGTCATACAGTCTCCCTGGCGAAACTGGGGGTTAGGGGCCTTGCTCAGGGGCCCAGGGTTGATATCATTTTACCAGCCAGGGAATTTGAATCTGCAACTTTCTGATCACAGTCACAGAGCATAACCTGCAAGCCACAAGCCGCCATTCAGCACCCAAATGTAATGACTAGATAAAAGAGTTTGAGGACAGAGAGTATATATAAAAGCATACATGGACGCATTTATTTAATAAATTTATTTGGCAGTCAATCACAAGCATGAGTCAAATCAATTTACTGTATAGTGAAATCGTATAATTAAGCAACCAAATAAGTACGCATGGCCGTCATTAAGTCTGATCAGTATTTTAAGCGGAGCCTCGAGTATTTTAGCCCTGATGCCAATCATCCTTCCAAAAAAAAGTCAAACCCGAGTAAACTTGACTTAGCCCCTGATCTTTTCAATAGCTAGAAATGCCCCGGTAAGTATGTACTTACCTGCTTTAATATTTATGGCCCTGAAACATGTTATTGTCCTTTCTATCTGATGCAATGTTTAATGGCTGATCCCTCACCTTAAGACACTAGATACAGCAATGCACTGTGGAACAATAATGAAAAACATTCCCTTGTTTATCAGAGTCCCCGCCCACTCCAGCAATTTGATTGGTGCAAGGATTCCATGTGGGCCACACAGCACAGCCTGTAAAAGTAAATAGCCTGATGTGAGACAAACTGACATCATTTCAAACTGACCCCATAGTCTAGTGCTTCCTGGGTTACGCTCTTCAGTTTGTCCTTGATCTTCTCAGAAGCCGCCAACTGCAAAAGCTCCTCCACTTCCCTAGCAGGAAGTCCTGCCTTCAATGTGGCCTGGAGTTCAAATGACAAAAATGAGATATAGGGCCTGCAGAGATTTACACAGCAGCAGCGATGAAGATACTGGTCCAGCTAGTACCTCAGAGAGTGAGGCAGGCAGGGTGATGTCTTCGTCTCGACACCAGACCCTCATCCATATCTCCCTGGAGACTCTCTCCACACTTGGCTCATCAGCTCCATATCTCTCTCCCACAGCAGTTATAAAGCGCATAGCTGCAAGAGAACCTGGCAGCCCAGGTACAGAAGGGAATCAGACCAAGTTCAGCTGGAGACCACTAACGGAACTCCCGTACTTCCAGGAGAGTTTGTACACCTATATCATCATCCAGTCAAGAAACCAGGACTAAAAATGATAGCTCTGTAATTTTTAACTAACAACCCATAAATAATGATCACACAAATTACATTTGTTGTATTGTTATTCTTCATCATCTTATTATTAGTTGTTGTTGTTGTTGTTGTAGTAGTAGTGGTAAATAAAATAAAGAGGAAAAGTGGGGTACCCTTCCGGAACATGGTCTCATCAGGATCGTTAGGAAAACTAAGGGGAACCGCAAAGTACTCAGCCAGCCGAGACAGGTCTGTTCCCATGTAGAGAAACTTGTTAGGGATTAACCCAGGGGGCTTATTGCCTGTACGTGGAAAGAAATAAACGGAAGTCAACACGTTATATGCTTATACAGTGAACCTTACAATGCATCAACAGCTAGACTGTAAAAGCTACTACTACGTTTTTTTTATTATTCTTTTTCGTGTACACTCCTCTTTTTACCTGCTGCAAAGTTAAAATGTTAAAATATCGCTATTTACCGGACCCTTTCATGACCCCTCCTAAAAATGCAGGGCGAAGTTTAAGGTCAATGTTCCACACATTTCTGTATCGACAGAGGACCTATAGGAAGCAAAAAAAAAAAAACATTTAAAACTAACTGATGGTCAAATTAATGTCTAAACAAAACATATAAAAATTTGACATTTCGTTTAATCATTTTCTGAATATTCACCTGCCAACAAAGACAAACACTAACCTCGAATCCCAGCCAGGAGTAAGGGGAGACGACATCATAAAATAGCTCGATTACTTTCCGGGAAGCCATTATCTGAAAATGATTTCAGAGTATGTAAAAGAAATTTTACGTATATGAATGCGTCTTTAAACAATGTTATCATCTCTTGCTGTTAAGCAACGCGAAGAAAGTATTATCATTCGCAGCTGTAACTACCTAGCAGTTTCGTTTCGTGCAAACATTAAATCACTTCACGTAGCAATGCAATGTACTTCTTTTGTGTTTTAACATGTGGTATTACGAGGTTTAACGCATTCATGTCGGTATTTGTCTATACTTACTTAACTCGTATTTCTGATCGAGATAAGAAGGGAAACTATGCCAAAGGTTACCCCGGATATGAACGCATAGGACTACGGGCACCTCTTCCTGTACACTATCACAATGCGGTTTTCTCCTTGAGAAATGATCGCTGGTGAGTCAAGAAAAAAGGCATTTTTTATGATTAAATAAAATGGTCAAAATGCGCAAACGATTATAACACATTTAGCAGTTGTAGCTCACTTTCTGATTGCAGGCTGATTACTAATTAAAGATGTATGCTTGTCACTTACGGTCCACGCGTACAGTTGTATAGCTTTGCATAAGATTTCCTTTCCATTAGACTCATTTCAGACGAATAACGAGCGATACTGCCTCCATTTCAGCTCCGCAGACGCAGCCAGAGCAGCAGCTGACTTACCGTTTGAAATGCTGTGGTTTGTTGCCGGGTTATTCCCTGGCTAATCTCCAGGGCTATAATAAAGTACAGGACAGACCTTTCCATGGTATGCAAATAACACGTAGATGCCTGTAGTGTGTACATGCATTGTTAAATGTTTATATGTGACATCAATAAAAATGCTGTGTACCCTTGGCAGGTTAAGGTAGCACATCTCACAACACGGCACTCGTGTTAAACTTATGAAGTACCTGCTGTATACATATGCAATTCCGTTGCTAAGTTTACAAACAACTGTAAGCAATAATGTATTGTAGTGATTCGATTGCACACTTTACACGTGCATCTTTTTGTAATAATTAAAATGATTTCTTTTAAAACACAAAACTGTAAATGGTCAGCCAATGCTGCCCACAGTTTGCAATGGGAAATCGCCTGCAGTCGTCAAAATGCATTTTTAAAAAGTGGAAAATCCATCCAAACCCACAAGGCATGGAATAACCCAGGATGGGGAAGACACAATTAACACGCAATTAATGGATTTAAGGCACAGACTTGAACTGTGGTGCTAGAGGTGTACGGTAATAGTACTAATTACTGCTGCACCACTGTGCTACTCTATTAAAGACATTATATAGTACAAAGAAAAAAAGATATATATATATAAAAAAATAACGTCATTATTAAAATTGATTTTAAACGTGTGCTTTTTGTGCCAAGAGTTTATATGGCTCAGGGGTCATATTAACTAAAATCTCCTGCCAGATTTCAGGATGTATTGTTATTTGAGTATATGAATCATCTAGCAGGAACATCCATAACAATAATTTTATTTATTTGGAGGATCATGAATACATTTGTGATCCATGCCCTCCCTCTCTCTCTCAAGTTTTTAAATGAGATACTGATAGCTACTTGATTGTTGGAAAGTCCCACATTTGACTGAAATCTTGGTAAATCTAGAGACAGAGCAACACCCTGGCCACCATATACAGTAAGCATACACTCAACCATCAATGTTTTCCAGCCGCTTGTCCAATATGTTTTTTTCCTTTCCTTTTATTTGCTTGTGTTTTTTTATTTCTGTACATGAATTGGAATGGGGGGGCGGTATGGTGGTGCAGTGGTTAGCACTGTTGCCTCACCCCTCTGGGACCAGGGTTTAAGTCTCTGCCTGGGTTACATTTGTGTGGAGTTCGCATGTTCTCCCCATGTTGTCATGGAGTTTCCTCTGGGTACTCCAGTTCCCCCCCCAGTCCAAAGACATGCTGAGGCTAATTGGAGTTATTAAATTGCCCATAGGTGTGAATGGTGTGTGCAAGTGTGCCCTGTGATGGGCTGGCCCCCCAACCTGGGTTGTTCCCTGCCTCGTGCCCATAGCTTCAGGGATAGGCTCTGGACTCCCCACGACCCAGAAGGATAAGCGGTTTGAAAAATGGATGGATGGTTGAATTGGAATGGTTTTCATTATAGTATAGAAAAAACAAGAGGTCTATAAATCACACCATCAGACACAGCATATCTAACTTAAACAGCATGAATTCAGGGCTGAATTACATGAGTCATGTTTCACAGAAGGATTTCCGGTTATAATTCATGAAGAAGGATTTGTGCATGTTACTGAAGTGCTGCTTATCCTACCTTGGCATTTACATTAAAAGAAGTAGCAATTAAGGTAATATATACAAATTTTGACAATAAAAAACCAGTGACACATTTATTATAAACTTGACATTCCTTGAATTTCAATACAGAAATTTTATTATTAATTTGTAATACATTTAATAATTGTTAATTAATTGAATTGCAGATTAATTCTTCACAAAAATGAGTAACTCAAATCTTTAAATATTGTGATTTATTTGTGAGTTATAGTGTATTTTTGCGGCATACATACTGTAGAGCTCAATGCGAAATCCATCTGGGTGATGACAGATGAAAGAAAATAGAGCTACACATATTCCTGGCTACACATCTTCTTGCGGGCTGCTTTGATCTTTAGCATCCTTAGATCCGGGGCTCTCATTGACCTGAACGTGGCTTCCTGACTGCTTGTTTGCAGACTCACTGAAACACGTGGCATATCATGAACGTCAGTACATCTGCTCATCAAGAAATAGTGCATCTTATAATGCCAAAGTTGGCTTGGGTACACTAAGCGTGAGATCTGTAAGACCAAAGGTCCACAGGGATTTACACTGCAAGAATCTTAAATAAAAGTAGACTGAAATTTGATTTTAATCACCATTTCCTTTAAATTCCACATCAACATTGTTCCAGAAGAGATTGTACTTTATGGTTCTCACCTTTCTCCCTCTTTTTCTGTTGAAAATGAATTCTGGAAAGGAATCATCAAGTGAGGGATTAATGACTTAAAAAGCAATTAATTTGAGTTTAAGGTGCATGAATGGCTGCAGTATTTGTATGTAACTTTTAACAGTGTAAAACCCCACCATTCCCATTAGTCCATAATACCATATGATGATAGCACAGCCATCCTGCGTGCATGGTGACAGATGCACTCATACCATGTGAGTTGCCCTGGGCTTCTGTGCACCTCCTCCTACTGTCTTCTTTGGGACCCCCAGATTGTCAAAGGAGTGGCTACGTACCCTTATGGCTCTCTGAGATCAAGCAGAGGATTTTTTTCAGAGCAAGCAAGCATAGAAGTACTTTAAGCAGCGGTCAGGTTAAAATTGCATGGACGTTTTCAAAGAAGGCAGTCAGAATGAAGAACTCAACCTTGAAGTTTTCAATGAAGCTGCCACCTCCTTCTGATCCTGCGCGACCACTTTCGGGCTGTGAGAGGGCCTGAGGGGGCGATTCCCCCAGCATGCACTGCGATTGGGCGCTCAGTTCTGATCTGAGTCCCTCAAGAAGCGATGAACGCGTGCGCAGCTAAGAGTGGGTAACACAGACTTAGAATCAGACAGATGATAATCCTGGGCGTTATTGCAGTTTCTGGAGATATAGAAAGACAGGAAGTATTATCTTTATTTTTTGTTTACCTCCAGTCTATTGAATCGTTCAGCCTGGTAACAGGATATCTCCGCATTGATAAGCTTGGTAAGGAGAAATTCTCTCAGTTGAGAAGACTAACAGAAAACAGGAAGAGAGAATTTTGTCTTATTATTTGATATTAAGAGTTTTGAGGGGTTCGGGAATAATTCTATATAATTGATTCACCAACACATGACTCCAGTGGATCTGAGTAATTTAGGTTACATATGGCCTACTTTTAATACATTCATGTTTACCTCCGTGAACGTGGGGGGATCTGGGAGGGGCGGGCCAAACGAGGGCACGTCCTCTCTGGCTGTGACGCACACCTTTTGGTAAGGAAGTGTTTACAGTTTTCTCTGCACGTGTTTTCAACACCTTGCCTTTAAATCCATGCACATTTGTATGCATTATGTGGGAAACTTGTTTAAAGATAAACACAGCATTTGTTTATTTACCAGACCCTTTTGTCCAAATCAGGAGAGCTTGTAGGTCAGAGGATCGGCCACCATCCCTGGAGCAGTTGGGGATGAGAGCTTTGCTCAACGGCCCAACGCTGATATGACTCCTCTACCAACCATGGAATTTGAATCCACAACATTCCTAATGTGGGCACATAGCACTAACCCACTGTACTAAACACTGCCCTAATTCTAGCATGTAAACAAATTGCAAAATATTTGTGCACCTTCTCACCTGAAACAGCCCCCTTCCTCCCTCCTTAGCTTCATCTTCTCTGTGAACTCGCCTAACAACAATGAAGCAGTGAAGGAAGTGGGAGCTGATGATGTCAGAAACGAATGGGACTTGACCTTCTTGGTAAACCAAGGCAACAATATCATTGCCGATGTGCCTTTTCCTCTGCAGCTGACAGACAGAAAGGACAACACATGTTGAGTAAAATATTTGTATTGTGTGTTTTATCTTAAATTGAGCCTTATTCCATGAAAACAGTGAAACCTCAACTGACCTGCTGCGTGTCACCTTCTGTGAAAGGCAGTTTTGTAGCTACGTGGAACATTATTTCCCTTCCAGAAAAGGAGGTGTAGACGGCCTTACTTCCTGTTTGACCGTGACACACATCCAAACCTCCTCTAAACCTAAATAAGACAAAGACAACCATTAAGGTCAACAAAGCTCTTACCTGTATATCCCTCCATATCTGGTGAGAACAACATGGGACCTCGCTGTAACACTTTCACTTCTGTGGTTCTTTATAGTGTAATAATATGCTGAAAGGGATATTTTACGAATGCCTTTCTGCAAAAATGTTCTGTTATTCTTTGTTCTTTTCAATGGGATATTGATTTGCTATGTCCGGGGCCGAAGACAAAATGGAACTGACATCATAGCTAAATGAACAAGTATCACATGTTCACAATAGAGATTATAGCTATAGCTATATAGACGTGTCAGCCATGATCATCCACAGATGTTTAAGCCACTGACAAACCTCAAACCAGTACAGATGGCCTTAGGTTTTTGTCCAAAGTGAAGTAGGAGCTTGGCCAGCATCCCAAGACCTGGTGAAACGATTAACCTGGCAGACCTACTCTATGTTAAACAGGGGCACTGGAGATTATGGCATATTACAGCATTTGCCATTCATTACCCGGTAAAACCTTGTAGCTTAACTGTCTCCCCCAGAATGGAAAGAAAGTCCTGAAACTCTTCACTCTCATCATTGTTGCTCAGTATATCTTTCTCTGTCAGCTGAAACAGTCATGGGGGGGTGGGAGACACAACAAACACCGTGGTGTGAGAGCTTGGAGAGAGCAGGAAGGCTAGATGTGTATAGTAACAACAGACCAATAAAGAGGACAACAGAAGAAAGGTATGTCTCAGGTGGACGTAACCAAAGCTACATCATCCAGAATGCTTAAGGAGAACGGATGCAGTGGGATGCTTTAATTGACATTGTAGCCATAATATTCATCAATGGAAATATTTCTCTTCACAAGAAATACGTTTTTCAGCAAGTGTATGAGAAATGAATGAGTCAGCATGCCTCTAACAACACTGTATGGATCTGCAACACGTATTTACAGCAGACTGCTGGTTTATATGAAGTCATAATTAAAAGTCAGATCTAAGCATACATCCGCCATTGTCACCACCATTGAATGGAAATAAATGAGGCATGCATTTTATTTGTTTTGCAGTGACACTCAATAAGGTAACTGAAAGTCACTCTAGACCCAACAACTACTTTGTCCGAAAGCATTGTTAAATATTTAAACCCATTCATGGATTTTTGATATTTTGTGTTAGGCAAAGCCATAATGAAAATGCAAACCTTTTATGCCTCCAGCAAGCTAACAGCTTTTACTTATTTCACCAGCATTTGCACATTTCACTGTACAATATATATATATATATATATATATATATATATATATATATATATATATATATATATATATATATATATATATATATATAAATGTAGGGTGCTTATCATCCCTGTGATACCTGTTTATCTGTCAATGTGGATTTCAAATTACTCGCTGGAGCTAAAACTGGGCTGTTCTGACCTCTTCTGAAACAAGTTGTTTGAAACCGAGGGTGTTCATCAGAGTTGTGAAAGGTCAACTGAAATGTACGCAAGAGCAAATGATACAAATAAATCCAGGATCTTATTACAACTAAGATAGAGTTTACACTCTCTTACTATTGCCCTGCTCATTTTGTAGTCAGCGTTGTTCAGTGTTTTACCTGTCCCTCTTTCTGGTATAAAACACCAAACTTGAAGTTCTGTGACACTCTGTGCTCGTCAAATGCCGTGATAAGTTCTGGGGCCTGAAATGAAGACAAACAAAAGTGAGTTCTTAACAAAACACTATCAAATCAGAAAAAGAAAACAAATTAAAAAACACCATTAAACTTATAGTCTGCAATTGATTTGTAGTTTGACTTGCATATTCAAATTTAGTTTATTTTTTTAATTAATGAAACAGGTGAACTGATACTTTCAGTTAATTGAAATGGAAGTTGGGCACTAGTTGAAGAAAGAAAACTTACCTTGAGGTAGCTGACCAGTTCAAAGCGGGTCACAGTTACGTTATTGCAAAGCATCTAGGAATCAAATGTCACTGTTAGTCTTACTTACCTTTTTGTCTTGTATAATTTTTTAATCACTAATAAAAATGCATTACTAACAAATTCAAAGGAGTCGCAAACAACTTAATTATACAAACAAGAGTTGCTTTTAATAACATCTACATAGTCCGTAACTGCTTAAAGACATCAGACATGCTTTTTAGCAAGCTGCTAAATAAAGTGCAACCTTCTTAATAATAGAAATGTCACTATATGCAGAACTAAATATTCAAATACCTTAGCCAGCTCTACAGCATTAGGGAAATGATGGAAGAGAGAGACAGCAAAATCTCCATATAGCGTGCATTCTTTCATTCTGCAAGATAAAGAGATTCAGGTGTAAAGACCCCTATCAAAATGGTTCCCTTTATCATACCAAAAAGAACAATTAACATTACTCAAGATTTGAATTCGGTAGTCCAATAGAGCTATATATCTTCTCAAGATCATGCAACCTAGCAGGATGCCAGCAAATAACAATTGTTGAGCGTTAATACAAACCTCAGTATGACTCTAATTCTCTTTTCTTCCTCCTCCAAGCAGACAGAGAGAATGAGGGATCCTAGAGCTGTATCTACTGCTGTGAATGAGTGATGATACTAGGAAAGAGGAAGAGGATCCGGTCAAGAAGTGCATGTGTTGGCTTATAGGACTTTGGTGTGCATCAGTACGTCAGAGCACTGAACTGACTTTGGATCTGAAACACTCTCTGTAGATCTTCGCTTCCAGGTCTCTCTCCATGATATCGTAACTGTCTGTAGCTTGTCCAGGCTTACATAAGCTGGGACTAATGGCAGCGAACTTCTCCAAAGGTGGATCTATCCAGTAGCCTCCACATTTAGGGGGAATGATCAAAGGGAGGACCCCACTAATTTTTAAAAGCTGTGATTAAAGAAAAAAAAGGGAAATCTTAGCATTGCTACCCATTAAACCTGCAATCTAACACTTAAGGTTTTGGAATCAAGTTCTTGCAAATGAATGCATGACCATCTCACACAGAGTTTGACATTTTGAATGTTTCATTATAAGGATCCTACCTTCAAGGGAGGAGGGAATTCACAGCGCTGCTCATCAAGCCGACTTCCCTAATGGAAAAAGATACGAAAGCAAAACTGATTAGAAAGGGGGACAGTGCTACCAGGGTATTCATAGCAGATAGTTATGAATTACCTGAAGTTTTTCAATTATCTCAAAAAGCTCGGTGTCCTTGACCAGAAAAGGGGGAAGCAAACGTCAATCGATATAGAAGTAGCTTCTCGTGGTGGAATCCTCAGTTAAAAAGCAGACGCTTACCCTCTGGCCAGAAGCAGCGGGAAGGAGAGGTTTCGTCTCATTGGGGGGGGGATCAAGAATGTCTAATATGCTGTGCTGTATGGACTCCGATCTGGTGTGAGACGCCATTAGACAGACATGCATGCTATAAGGTCAACAAGCCCTGTATATATGCTGGCATTCTAAAGTCAGCTACACAGGTAGATACAGGTAGAGAGAGATTGCATATTACCGTGCCTCTTCTGTACCAATGAACTTGTCCACTCTGTAGACAAAGTAGCACAACTGTTAAAAGTGTGTATTACATTAATACCAAATTATTCTGTTTTACAAGTGTGAATGACATGAAACGCAAATATCATCTAGACTATATTCCTATAAGCATCAGTTTAATATAGTTGTCTCACTCACCCGCCATAAGCTCCAAAAGTGAAGCTTCTTTTTCTGGAAAACACCTTCTCGCCCTCTCTGTCCTTGTCCATTTGCCTGTGCTGGTGTTGATACACTGTGACGTCTAGTGAGCCAGTCAGTCACTGCATATACTGACTAAATATCTCCTTCCCTTTCAATCTCTGTCCTTTACCCCCTGTCTCTTTTCTCGTTTAATCTCCCTACTTCCTTCCATGTATCCCGCTGTTCCAGAGACTGACGCAAATAACCTTTTCACTTCCATGAGAGATGTATGCAGATGTATACAGATATATAAGAAATTCATTAGCATTGGTGTATAAATAAACAAACAGGGTATGTGTTCAATGTATACAGACACATAGTAGCAGGCCAATTATTGGTATATGCAGAAAAAGCTGAAGCAAAGTGAATATCTGATTTTAGACCTGTTAGCCTTTGAGTCAGCAAAAATCATCAATTATTGACAGCACTCACTGAGACAGGAGAGCATGCCAGCAGGAGGGAGAGAGAGAGAAAGAAAGTGAAAAAGCAAATAGATTTATATTAAAAGAATGGGAGAGTATAAATTGACATGGGCAAAAGAGCTCTGTAAATAATATAACAACATGGAACCTTACAATAGCTGTACTTCTTTAAACGGATCCCTCCAAAACATGAACGTAGGGTCTCTCTGCTTTCCCAGAAAGATGACCCTGTTTATCCATCCTATCTCCATAACCGTTTATCCACCACAGGTTCACAGCATGCCCGGAGCATATCCCAGTAAGTAAATGGCACAAGACAGGCCATACTCCTGGAAAACGGATGCCAGTGCCACACAGGGCACAGAATCGTATGCTAAAGACTATTTGAAGACCACAATCCATCGAAATCAGGGGACCTGGGGAAAATACCTACCCATACAGAGAAAGAAGATGATAACTCCACATACAGAGAGGAGTGGTGAAAGGTCAAACCAACTTCTCTGGACATATGAGGCAACTGTGTTACAGTCAGATGGACCATGTCTCCTTAAACTGAACAAGAAGAGATGCTGAAGAAAGATCTTTTGAATCACTTATGAATTATGCACATAAAAGTAGACGTCTTATATATTCCGCAGTCTAGTGAATTAACCCAACGATTACATATGTACATTTCAGAGAGCACGGTCAGACAGTGTCCCTTAGCCTAAAGGTAAAATCACTCTGCTGACCATGGGATCTGAACCGAAGACCTTCCTTTGACAGGCCCACTAACCTGCTGAGCCACACAGCACCCCAAAAAACATGATGCTACATATGCACAGATATAGACAAATCCATCAGCAGTATTGTGATAATCTATTTTATTAAGGCAAACTGAGCTTATACACTACCCTGGATAAGAGTTTCATGAATAAATAATACATCCATTTTCCATGGCACAGTTCGGATTGCTGCTTCAGCTTTCTACTCTCAGCTACATGTGCTGTGTACATAATGAACACTGGAACAAATGTCAAACTTGCATCTAGAAATAAATTTCCAGAGGGTTTTTCTTTTACTCTTGGAAGGATTCCTAGATATTACCTGCTACTGTGGGAAACTGCTCATGAAATAATACATCTAAAATTGAGTAGGATGTCATACAGGATCAAGGTGAACCTTAAAGTCTGTCCTAGGAAAGACAGGACACAAGGCAGAGGACATCCTGGTTGGGATGCCAGTCCATCACAATGTACACATGCATACAGTTACACACAATTTACAGTCAAAATTCACCCTGATGTGCATAATTTAACTGTAGCCACAAGGAAGAACATGCAAACTCCACACACAGCAAGTCAGGAGCAAGACTATAATCCACAGTCCTGGACTATAAAACTTAAAGGCTACAGCATTAATCAATTCAAGGGCATCAGTTCCCCATATCTATTTAACTGTTTCTACTCGAACTTTATTATACAAACTTCTTGAATGAAAAAATCTCCCTCCAGGGAATTTGTTAAAGTATTATCTATTTTCTTTCGCAGCAGTCCAGTATTGTGATTACAGCATAAGCATGATACTATTTACAAAGAGCCCGTCATCTATCGCAGACGGGTTCTTCCTCAAAAAAAAAATCACTTAAACAAACATTGTTGGTACAATTTTAATGCATTCAGGCCGGAATTTTATTTCGACTATCAATGTTACTGTTACGCGCCTTTTTTTCATAGACATGCCGCTAGTCTGCCCACTTTTTAAATTTCATTATAAAAAAAATGGAAACATTTCACAGGACCAGTCTAACTCAATACGTTTTTATGTATTTGGCTATGACGTTTACTATTTCCGATTGGTTGTTTCTTTATTTTCAGCGTTCTGAATTTAAGCAACTTCTTAGACTGAAAAGTCCTGTCTCTTGCCAGTATTTTATACGATCGACCGTGCCAGCCAATCATAGACCCATCTTCAGTTAACCGGGACTCTAATTTGTCCACAAAACGCAACTCAAACTGGAGCCGCTTCCTCATTGGCGGAACCTCATGCTCATCATTGTGTTCCAACCTTGCCGTGGATTTATAATCGCGCGGAAGTAGCAAGAAGGTTTGGAACGATAGGTTACCTCAAATTATTTTAACTTAGGAAAAATATTTTGGTTATCTATACGTAAAAAACGCAACTAGTATCTTTCGTCCTTCTCGTTCAAAATTGTGTCCAAATATATAGTTCTTCTTCCGTAGACTTCTCCGCCTGTCTTATTTTGTTTTGGTAAAACCTGCTAATCATGTTAGCCTGTCAGTGCTTTTACTTAGCTAACGAGCCGAATTCTTTTTTTTATTGTTTTAAATAGCAGCCTCAACTTATTGTTTTGTAACAATAGTCAGATCATTTTCGAATTATCTCTACGTCTGCTCAGGGGTTGGTTTTCTTTAGAAAAAGAAATATTGCCAGGTATTTTCTGCAGGCTGCTCTGGAATTTTTAACTACAGAGTTGGTGGCATTTCGTGTGTTTTGTGCACTTTTCCCATTTCCAAGCAAATTCTTTGCAAGAAACTGGTATTTTTTTAACGTTGAAGGGAGTTGCTAAACTACACTGCAGTTTTAATAGCAACAAAATACTTTATTGAAATGACAATTTAGTATCTAAAGTTAAGCTTATATTTGAGCGGGACTACCAAGGAAGGTAAATGCATTTCACCCATAGTGTTTTCGCTAACGTAGTCTTAAATGATCTCTCGTTGGGTGATTAGCTAGTCTGTATTTAAAAATGGGCCGTGCACCTGTAGCAGCGTACACTCACCCAGAGAGTGCATAGTTTAGTTACCTAACTTTGAGTTATCATATACCACGTTTCAGCTGTTGCTGTAATTTTTACATCTAAATAGTAATATGAGTATAATGCATTTCGTGGCCTACTTAGATATTCTTTGAAGTTAAGTAGATAGATCGATGTGTCCGTTATTGATTAACTCCACATTAATTTAACCGCATATTGGAGAAATTCTGTAATTGCCTTTCGTAAACAGTTAAGCGAGTTCTCAGCTTTCGATAGCGCTGACCTGATACCGATTTCATTCGTGAAAAGTGAGTGGTGACCTTATGTTCGGCGGCAGGATGCTGGGCGAATGCGGCATGCAGGAACAGGAAAAACGGGCGCTGCGGAAATGCTCCGTGTCGCTCTGCAACCAGCTGGTGGTGGACGAGGAGCTGCTTCAGATGCTCCAGGCCGATGACATCCTCACTGACGGAATGGCTGAGGGGATCCTGGTAATTGGGCGCTCCAGGGCACCTGCCCCAGTTCAGCAAAATATGGTCATCTTCCAGCCCCTTATGCAGTACAGGAGTCTTGGGAGCCTTCACATCATAGTACAAGGCTTTTCAACCCTTTTTAAACCAGGGACCCCTAAATGAAAAACAGACTGGAGCCAGGGACCCCCCCCCCTACCTATAATGCATGAATAATTAGGATCCAGGAGGTTTTAATGTTCTTTGCTCCAAACCACGTGGCATTAATGTTTATCACGTAGAGAAATGCCAGCATTTCATCTTTATATAAATCATCTCTGCTGTCCCCAGGTTTTCTGCTATCCCCTCTATTGCCCGGTCGCAGTGCTTTCCTCTTTGGATGAGTTCCTCTGCGCTGCTGTTGTGCTGCATGGTTCACTAGGGGACTTTGTTATTGTTGTGAGACACAGACATGAGCAGTGGCACGACATAACCTGTTCAGGCCTTATTGTAATTCTAGTAATTCGCAGTATTAACGTTTTTGTGCGGATTTTGTTTCTCACCTCAGGCGGAGCAGACCTCCCGGAAGAAGAGCTGGCGTTTGCTGGCCCTGCTTCCAAAGAGAGGGCCCAGGGCCTTCAGCAGCTTCTGCTTGGCCCTGAGAGGCACTGAGCAGCAGCACCTTCATGACATGTTGATGGACCAGATAAAGAGGGGGAGGGAGGTGAGTGCTGGGAGCATGTCCCTGTTTCTGATTTCAAGGGGGGAGGCCTACAGTACGGCAAGTGTCTGGTGCCTAGAAGGGCTCAGCTGTGGCCGGGGTATTGTTGATGCAGGTACCGCCATACATGTTTCAGGACTGCGTGGAATCCTGCCTGCCGCTGCCCACCCAGGAGGACTCGGCTAGAATCAAGAGAGCCAGGACTCATGGTCAGTAAACATCTAAGCATGGGGTGAAGGAGCGTTAAGCACATAAATGCCAGAGTTAGATGAATTTGTGCCATTTCAGAATCCTCAGAGATGTGCCTAGATGCAGACAGTCCAGTCATCACGGGTATTCTTCCCTGTTCCAAGGGATTCTATGATGCTCACTGCAAACAGGCAAGCACCATCTCCCAAAGCTGCTTGGTTTTTAAAGTTAAATCACTTCAGAAACTTCTGGGAACTGGCACCTTCATGTGAAGGTGCTGCCCCTCCCAGTTTAGTATTACCCCTACCTGCCTGTTCATATTGTGGTTGTAATTCCCCTCCTTTTTATGAACAGGCATACAAGATGGTCTCTAGCCCCCGGGGTTTGGCCCTCATCATCAGTAACGTGACTTTTGACCGTGAAATTCCCGAGCTGGTCAGTCGAGTCGGAGGAGAAGTGGATGTAGAGGTTCTGAGCAGAGTCTTTGCAGATTTGGACTTCTCAGTTGTGGTGTTCAGGAACTTGACAGCTCAGGTACACCCAGCGTCACATAACACCCTGTGAAAAGAGAGGATGACATGCCACAGCTAGTGTGTAAATTATCCCTTCAGTTATAGTTTTTGTTTGACATATAACTAATTGTCCTGTTCATGGGTGTGGGGTACCTCACAGCCCCCTGTCACTAACCACATCTTCGGAACTTGTCCTGTGTTTACGCTTTTTGTATACTTGGCGTCATTGTGCGTCTCCTCCAGGGCATGAAGGAGTGTGTTGAGCAGTTCCGTGGGAGGCCGGAGCACCAGGTTGCAGACAGCTGTGCCGTTTGCCTGCTGTCTCATGGTATGGAGGGGGCAGTGTATGGCACAGATGGTCAGCTCCTGGAGGTGAGCAGGATAACCATGAGAAATATCAAGTCGCTTTGTCGCCAAGAGGCCGCAGAACTATAAATATCATTTTTGTCTTGCTCTCTCTGGCAGTTGGACTGGGTATTTCAGGTTTTTGACAATGCACGCTGTCCCCAGCTTCAGAACAAGCCCAAAATGTTCTTTATTCAAGCCTGCAGAGGAGGTACGCTGTTGCCAGACTAATATTTTTATTTAATATTTTCCTTTTCTTTGGAAAATGTACTGAACACATTCCTCCATAATTGAGTCGATCAGGTGCCGCTTTGTTTGCTTGTCATGGAAACCTAAACTTTTATTATTTTGTCCTGCCAAAGCCTGATTTTTGAAATCCGGGGTGAGGAAATGAGTTGAAAAGGTGAACTCTAGAAGCAGTCTGCTTTTTAACCCTTAGCTCAATCATTTTACAGCGGCTTCACCTTATTTGAAGCATGTTTCTGGAGCCTTTGATGTGACCCGTGCTCACTCTACGCTTCCTCTCCCCAGAGGAGATGGACAGCGGGGTTGAGCAGGCGGATGGCAGGGACCGAATGTGCTCTCCAGGTTGTGAGGAGAGGGATGCCGGGAGAGAGGAGGAAAGGGAGACTGCTGTCAGCCAGGACAGGGACAGAGAGCGGCTGCGCGTGAAACTGCCTCAGCGCTCGGACATGATCTGCGGCTTTGCCTCTCTGAAAGGTGGGGCGGGGGAGGGGGCTGTTTCAGGGACATGAACTCAAAGGAGGATTGCTAGAGAGCCGTCTGACTGACTGTCGCCATGTTCGCAGGCACAGCAGCGATGAGGAACACGAAGAGGGGCTCATGGTACATCCAGGAGCTGAACACGGCCTTGAGACAGAGAACGCAGGACACGCACCTGTCAGACATACTGGTTCAGGTATCTTCCTCTTGCCCATAAAGGTCGCTGCTTTGTATTCCACATCTTTAAGCTCTGGCTACGTCCAATTGGAGTTATATTTGAGGAAGTGCTGGCTGCATGGTTAAGCAGCTGCTTATTTTACTTTTTTATGCAAACTACAACACAACTTTAAATATTCTTTCATTTCTATGGACTTGACCCTTATCCTGGCTGACAACCCTAACCCACCCTAAAAATAGGCTTTTGGCTGTTTTAGTTTTTTGATTGCATTCACAAATTTTTATAAAATTGAGGTCACACTTGTGGGGACCAAAAAAATGTCTCCACAAGCTAATAAGTAACAGGCATCTATCACATTGGGAAAATCTAGTCTTCATGATTTAACAATTATAAACAGACACACACGCAACCGGGGGTGAGAATCAAACCTACTGCTGTGTAGCTGTAAGGCTGCGGTGCTAATCATTACGCCACCCTTCAGTATTGCCACCTAAGGGAGTCAAGATCATCTGACCATTTAATATAGTCACAAATATAATCAGTACATTTTTATCAATGGGCAACCAGTATACTCCCATATACTATACTTCCCTATGTTTGGTTACACTACAGTAGCAACAAGATAAGCCAAAGAGCTCTAAAACAAGTTACTTATGTCGATAGTTACAGTAGATGAGAGCATGGTGAGATGGCTGAACTGAGTGAGGTGCACACATACAGCATGAGAGAATTTAATCAAACTTCCAGTCATAACTAGTACTCTGAAATTTGAAAATAGTAGCTACTGTACAGTATATGTAACTTTTGCCATTAGAGGAATTTAATTAATTAAGAACCGGTACTAAAACAATTGGATGTTATAGAAATACCCATCCATTTATCATGTGCTTGTATGGTGTAGAGCTGGTCAGAGCCAAAGGATGGACAGGGTAAACTGCAGGCTGTCTGCTGAATGGGAATCTTGACAAACCCAGGCAGGGAAAGAAAGCTGGACATGCAGAACCAGGGAGAGGAATCCATCCTGTAGCTGTGGGGGTTTGAGCCACAGTAGAGCCTGCTCAGTCCAGTGGAAGCATGTAAATTTCACTGATTGCTCCATCACAATTTTGCCTCAGTTAAAGAATGTTGGGAACAGGAAAAGAAGCTGGATGTGACTTAAAAACGCCTTTTGGGTATCGGCCCCAATAAACATCTCAGGGTGGCGCGTATGATGGACATTTTCAGATACAAATGCTAATTTCAGTCTGCAGGTTGCTGGTAGGAATATTCTTAAAGCTGGGTTTTCCATGGAATAGCTGTGTGAAATCTGTAGAGGAAACATTTGATGTATGTGTGTATTTTTGGAGCTTATCAGGTTCAGTTTGTCAGCACAGTCAGTGGTATTTTACCACCTTGTTAATCATATGCTTGCATGTCCGACCCAACATTCCCTGACGTGTTAAAGCCATCAGCCAACTTGTATGTCGCCATCCGTCCTGAGCTGGGCTGTCCCCCCCACAGGTGAACGCCTGCATCAAGCAGAGGGAAGGCTACGCTCCTGGGACCGCGTACCACCGCTGCAAGGAGATGTCAGAGTTCACCAGCTCCCTGTGCAAAGATCTCTTCCTCTTCCCCAAGTACTACCCCGAGCAGTGACTCGCCGCACTGTGTGTCCTAGGTATCCCTCTGCCCTCAAAGGAGAGCTGAAGACAAGGAGGGATCTGGATGGGATGATTCTACACAATGCAGCCAATCTCTGCAGTGAAGTGACATGCGTCCAAAGGTGGTTCACAACATACCAGCTCGCATTCATTCCAATCGACCATCTTCCCGTTGTCATCACAAGTTTGAGGTGTTCATATGAGTTTTAAAATAACATAAAAACATTTTATGCAAATAACTTTTTTTAACTGATGGTTTTTTGGTTTTATACCCTGTTTATATACATCCATTATTTGTTTGTTCTGGGCGTTTAAGCTGTATGTGTGAAATTGGATCAATGTAGTATTTAGGATGCAACAGCACTTAAGCCGGAAATGACCGGCTAGTTAAATAAATGGCCCTGGGAAGACTAGGCAGCAGCTAGTCTTAAGCTTGAGTGTCGCCTGGAAAGTGTGCGGGGCGGCGCTCCGTTATCGACATAGTGGGAAATGTGCCTCAGTTCCGTTTAATTGGGTGTGGGTAAGCGCTACGCTCCAGTGTGTATTGATTTCACACAGGCGCGTACAGAGATGCGCATGCAATTTAATAAATGTGCGAATGCACGGTAAGGGATCAAAACAGATAATGGAGACGGGTGAGAACCTCCTCTGGTGTCTGAAATATCCCTCCGAGGCCACAGGCGTATTGCAAATGAGTCTTTCCTCCCCTTTAGTTCTGTTTTTAAAGGAATACTCCTTTTCTGCCAGTCCTCTGCACCCCAGAGAAATGGGTCCTGACAGACCTTTGCAAGTTTAATTAGAAAGGCTAAAGCACTATATTAGAGTTGCCCCTCCCCATACATAAAGATTTAGAGTAATGCTTCATTTGCTATATCCTTAACCCCTGTTGAGGCATTAATATCACTTCAGAAACACTTGCATTAAGTGTGCTGTTTGGAGTCAGTCATGTTGGTTACCAGTTTTTGTAAGCAGGTCAGACTTTGACGGGGAAAAATTTCTGCTGGCATATCCGGTCTGTTATTTTAAACATTCCAGTATTATATTCTGTTAAATGCCAAAAAATTCTCTGCGGCATGTGTCTTGAAGGGTTACTGTACATTCATTATAAGACAGTAGGTCCGGATTGTTTCAATATAGTTGAAGGTTTGGGGAGGTGTGGAATTAGTGAGACGCTGCGATTCTGAAGGAGAATGGTGCAGATAAACAGATTCGTGCAGAGCTTTGCTGCAGCCTTTAGCAGCCTGTGTATATGTGCTTGAGAGCAACGGTCTGGGTGATGAGACGTTCTATAGTGGCAAAGGGCAGAAGATTAAGTTAGCAGCCATATCACATTTTACTGCCTCCATGCCGTCTTCACTGGGCTGATGGTGCTGCAGGGTGCAGTTGTTTGGGTATAAAACTTGGAAATTAATGGAATTCCTGATTTACGTGTCTGCCAAAATGTCAAGATGCATTTTTCATGGTGTTTGTATTTTTATTTTTTAATAAATGAAATTTGAATCAGCTGTGTTTGCGGTCATTCTTCTGTAAAACACATCATGTGAGTGTTAGCCGTTGCTGGCCCCTGGGATGCGCAGGTCCCCTGCTGTGCTCGCTGTCTACCTTCTCATGTGCACAGGAAGGCATGATACTGCCTTGCTGCTCTCTGTTCAGTGGTAAATCTAGCCAGAGTATTACTTTAGTCTCTTCATTTCAGCTGTTCTGCTTTGCTCTTGGTGGCCCTGCTGTCATTTTACGCTTAATGCTGCTGTTTTACATGGTGCATCTTAAAGCCGTCACAGTTAATGGACCTGCCTGTATGGATGCTCCGAAATCCCCCTCTCCGTATACTAGACAGGAAGTCCCACACCCTGACGTGTGTTATCCCATGGGGAATGTTGGCGAGCCCCAGCCACCATGTTTTTATTGCAGAGATACGATGCGTGTCTCATTTCCCTTCAATCAGGTAGCCGACGTATGAAATATGACCGATATGTTATGAAAACATCAGTTCTGATCGACGGGGCCATGTTACAAAACCTGGGGGGAGCAACTGTCATATGGGCCTGCGTCCAACATCCCCCTGTCACATGGGGGCAGCCCTGAAGGTGCGTCGCTGACTGTGAAACTCCCCAACCCCCCCTCCCCTACAAAACAAAAAAATTAGCTGCGGTTGAGGTCTTCATGTGTTGCCGAGGACAACCGGAGTGCGTCCCCCTGTTGTTCATGTGAGCCTGTAAGTGTGTGAGCTGCCTTTCTAATAAAGGAAACCGCCGCTCTGGGCCGGGCCGGGCCGCCTCGTCACTCACACGTGCGGGGGGTCCGGGGGGCTCGTGGCCGGCGCTGGATCTACAACGGGGCGTCGCCGCCACTGGTTCCGTCGCCAGAAGCCAGTTAGTGAACGCCGTGTGCTCTGCAGCGGGTGGAAATGCTGAGGAGGGCAGCCGGTTTATTTTTGGGTCAGTGACAGCGCGTCAATGGCTGCAGATGCACCGCAAAGGAAGGCTCTGAGATACCAACAGACCCTGGTCAGTCCCTGCGCTCCGGCGCCCTGCCGCCTTGCTGCTCGCCTGTGCTCCTGCTGCCCGCATGGTCCCTGGCGGCACCGCTGGCTTCCCCGCCCAAAGCGCCGGAGCCCTGGCTCGAGCTCCCCGCTCGCCCCGACCCTGCTCACAGCTGCTCTGTCAGTCAGCCTCCCACTCGTGCCGTTTGCTACCTGTGCTCTGCATGGAGAATGGCTCCAGCTTCCCCCGACACTCGGATGCATAACACTGCTTTGGCTTGTCGTCCTGCCACTCATCCTGATGTCAGACCTGTCTTACGCACTTTATTTATGCTTAACAAAGTCTGATAAATCTTCTAGAAGCTATAAGCCTAATCTAATAATAAATGCAGTTTCAGCATATCCAGTGTGGATAAGTAGAATACACTACCAGTTTCACCTGTTGATAGTGTATATGTTTTCCCATTTCTACTAAATGTCAAAAGATATATAGCTCCTATTCTCTCTGAATTAGTTCTTCAGGCGATATGTAATGTGTGTTCTTGAAAAATCTTTAAATCCGAGCCGGTTTCGCGATGAGCAGGAACGTAAAAACAGACGTGTAAACGCAGCCCAGCAGAGATCCTGAAAGATGACACAGGAGTGACATTTGTGGTGCTGAGTGGTGTGGGAAGGGCACGATTAAAGAGGGGCAGCGATAAAGACCTCAGGCAGAGCACAGGGGCAGGCTCAGCCAGAATATCGCAGCGGCCAATCGATGTGGGGAATTCTGTGCGGGAACTCACGCGGGGAATCAGGGCTCTTGTCTTGCAGGCTGGATCGGGACAGATGGACACCAGAGAGAGTTCTGGTTACGGGGGCGGGGGGGGGGGTGAGAGAAGGACTCAGGTTATCAGAGTGAGCAAACCCCCGAGGTGCCGAGGAGACCCCAGATTTACGTGTCAATTTCTTTGCTGAGTCACAAACCCAGCAGAATGATTTTTTTTTAAAAGGTGATTTTCGGCACAGCATGTGACTGACACTGGTGTGGATGCTTACCGGCTATTTTTAATAACATTAATTAACTTTGCTCAGTGGGAGGGATCATAACATGGCTAACAGGTTGAGAGGGGAAACTTGGCTAGGAATTGACAAAATAATGATTGGCGCATTATCAATCTGATCAATTTTGGACCTCTCAGCCATGATTGATCCCCCTTAGCTGGACGCAGAGATGCGGACTCTTTGGGAGGTCGATTCACTGGGGAATGGAGTCAGAGTAACTGACTGTGAGCCTTGTGGTGTGTGTATTGCGAGGGGAACAAAGAGGAGGGGATTTTAAATGTCGAAATTAGCAGCGAGTAATCTGGCTGCGAGCGTGATGTGAAATAAGTCTCGGATTTAAGGCTGACATGCCAATATGTCCCGGAGCGCTGTTGGCGCCCTGTGGATTTTGGTTTCGCCGGAAGTCATCTGAGGAACAATTAAGCTTGTGCGCACGGCTTCCCACAGCTCAGAGTTGGTAAAGCAGAGGGGCATTAAGGGGGCAGATGTGGAGATAAAGCCTGACAGCGAGAGGTCGCTGGTGGCGGACTTGGCGAATTGTGTCAGGATGTGCTTTAATAGTCACTTAAACGCCAACGGCGACGATGCACAGCTTTGGTGGTGGCTATACTGCACCTTTTTAATCCACTTTTGGATGAGATGTGACTGGTTTTGTTTTTTTCCAGTGGGAAGGCGCCACAGAAGTGGGAATGGATGACGCCATGATTTTCAGGGTGCATAAAGATCGCAGGACAGACTTGGAGAAATAAGAAGGGATACAAAGATAAACAGAGAGAGAGAGAGAAGCGTGTGGAAAAGTGTGTCAGTGAACATTGGGTCACACTGAAGCTATATATAACGCAGCGTTGGGTTACAGCGAGTGGGTAGTGTTGGGGGTCGCAGGATGAGCTGGGCAGGGCTCCGCGGCAGTTGTAGGAGGTGTGGAAATGAAATATTGTAGCGAGACATGATAGGAATATAAGTGCAATATGAAAATAGAATTCAAATCAATTGAAAACTCACAGCTGCCATACGAAGGCATTGTGAACGTAACCCTCACTTAATTAGCCTGGCTAAAGGCCGCACTGCAGTGACACATGTTCATTTACACCAGGGTTTTACCTGCACAGCTATGCTGACGCACTGCACTGTGTAGTAAAGCAGCGCTGCAGTTGGATGAGGCTTTATAATCAAAATAAGCAAGGACTTAATGTGACAGGCCTTGGGATAAATTCTCTGAATTAAGAGCTGCTGACATGTAATTGTCAACCCAGACTGCCTGCATCAACACCCCCCGAACTCCACCGGGTCCCCCTGGGTTAGGGTTCCCTTGCTGCCTGTCCCGTCCTGTGTGGGTCACGATGATACTGTATCACCCCCCACCCCCACCCACACGAAAAAAGGCAGGTACAGTTTGGCTAATTAGAATTGACGGATAAAAAGGCAGAGATTTGGTGTGTTTAAGTCCCAGAGTAGGAGTGAGACGGGACGGGGGAAGAGGGGACGAAAGAATCCCGAGGTGGACCAATAGACACGGGAAGAAGATGAACGAACAAATCGATACAATTGAAAAGGTGATGAATTTAGACCAAGTTCCGGTAAGACTTAATATTTGCAGTCATCTCTGCGGAGATCTCCGTGCCAGCAGCATCACCTGAATGCTCTCGGCAGCTTGTGGGTGTCAGCTGTAGATGTGCTACATGGTTCCCAGTCGCTTTGCGCTGCACTCTGCCATTCATGTGCCTGTGTCTCTGCGTGTGGCACAGGATGAAGGGCTGCTTCTTCACGTTTAAGATCGGAGTTTGTGCGTACACTCGCTCGCACACATGCCCAAACTCCTGCCTGAGAACCTTCTCGCTGTCCTTCACTGCTTGGGTCAGATTTTATCATGATCCTCACTATATTGTGGGCAATGACAGACACGCGCGCTCACATGGGCAGCGCCCATTCACCAGCAGGGGGGACCTAAGAATTTGTCATTGTTATTTTTTTTAATTAACTCTCAAAGTCAGCGTGTCCTTCACCTGTCCGGCACTCTCAGTTTCCTTCTAACTTCCTTACTAATCCACTTTGCTCCTAACTCTGACTGTCAAGCAGCATCTCTTTCCCCATTTAGTGAAAGCTTTTTGCATGCATCGTCCAGCTACATTGAGGGTACGTTTATTTCATACCCGGTTACCATGCTTCTCTGCCTTTGTCTGAACAGTAAGGGAAGCCAAAGTGCCCAGTGTAGCTACCTGGCGGTGGGAGGCGTTCTGAACGCTGACGCCGAATAGCAGGGAAACAGTAAATCAGTCTCCGAAAGAGAGCGAGTGTTTCACACGCTGTCTACCTGATTCATTAGCTTGCTGTAGTTAAGCATTGACGTGATTTGACAGCAGCTTACGCCAGCAGACCTTTTTATGGCTCTGCTTCTTTGTCCTGGCTTTTATAACAAGCATCCATAGGTATTCAAGCGTCCGTTTTTGATCGTAGATAAATTCCGGTATCATGAATTTTTATACCTGTCCCAGAATACAGAAGGATGGGTGGGTGGATGGATTGTATTGCAATAATTAATAGCTTTATGGTTTTAATCAGATCCTGTTTCATTCTTCACAATAAAACGCCACTGTGATCATAGCTGCGTATTTGAATATATCCCCTGATTCATTATTACAGGGATTCAGATGATATTATTACTCTGAAAATGTTACGCTAAATCCTTGGCTACATTGGATCTCCATTGGTCCAGACCATTATCTGGGCCCTTTGTGTTCCCAGACCCCCACTTACATCCGCTCCTAGGGCTCGACAGTGCCTCGACAGTCTTGTGATATGTTTTACAGGAAATCTTCTGAAGTATATCATCTGTCTTCGTATCACTTTCAACTGCGTTTCTAAAAGTTCCCGACTTGCTCTGCCCACTGTATTTTTTCTCTGTCGTCAGCTTCTTCATTTTTATCAACTTTAACTGCTTAATAAATGACGCCTGTCCCTTCACTCTGGCTGTGATTGATACTTCCCCTACGGTTAATGTTTAATGCTGACCTTGTGTTAAAGTCAGAGTAACGGGGACTCAGCGGGAGTAACACTGGTGTACCCAAACACAGCATGCCCAAGGGGACTACAGCACGGGAGGTCGGTATGTCTACCTATCGCACGATGCCACCTAAGTGCCTTTGCATTATGCCTGACTTCGTTGACTTCGTCCCTTTACTGGATTACTTGTAATCCCAGCAGTTCCATGTAGCTGTTATGTCACTGGTTATTTTAACATCTGTATCGTTACGCTACTCGGTCGTCACGGTAGAAGTCCATGATGCTGACTCGCACCCATGTTTTTCTGGAGGGACTAATTGTTTGTTTTCGCCATTAAGGAAGCGCCATGTGTGGCTGATCAGTAAAAAATAATAGCGATGACGGTAACGAGCGAGAGTAATTGCGGCAGTAATTCACATTGAGTTTGAGAGCCAGTTGTTTTATCTTAGCAGTTTATTCATACTGTGCACTGCTGACTGGGGCTCGGCAGAGAACAAAACGGCAATTGTTTTTTATTCTGGTTCAAGGTTAGAGCTTTAGAGCTCACGTCTGAAGACTCAGCCAATGGCTGCAGGATCAGCCAGAGATCCGGCACAACGTGGTCGCCACCGGCAGGGCCGGGGCCGTGAAGGTCATCCGGCCGGTGCCTCCGATGCATCCGGGGGGTGGGGGATGCGTTCAGATGTTGGAGGCAGCACCGTTTCCTGGTAGCGAGATTCGAGGTGGCAGTCTGCGTAAAGACGGCCTTCGTGCAGGATGGTGTGTGAGAGTTCAGAGGCATGGACGGATCATATATATAGGTGTAAGCGTAAATATATCCATTAGCGGCATGTATTAATGTATTAGTGCTGTGCTGCTGAGAGCAGGGGGATGGAATGTGCCCCTGTGAGTGCTTCCCCAGCTGCCTGGCCCCGCGCCAGCCAGGACTCCTCCCCCCGAACCCGAGTTTCCGCTGCTGCTGTCCTGTTTCGCCTATTTCTGTCTGCCCATGTTCTTGCTCTGAGTCTCCGGGCACACCGACTCTCTAATGCAGGCAGCTCATCATGCCTGCATTCTCATGCTCCACCCCTCCCCATCTATGCCCCACCCCTCCTTACCATGTCTGGCCCCCTTACCACCCCTCCCAGCCCCGCCTCCCCCAGAGCATTGAATTGCAACTGGCAATGTTTGTGTTAAGATCAGCTGTTACAGCTTTACAGAACTCACTGAACTGACTAGGAGCATTATTGATGTGGAAATGATTATGAAGGCTAAGTTTAGGAATATGAATTGCAGGCATGTGCTTGGCCATATGGATTGTTTGTGATTTCTGAGTACTAGTCATAGTGATCGGCTGGTAACTAGCGTGCCCCCACCCCCCAGCTTTATGGTGAGTACAAGGAGCAGCTAGGCAGTGGGGCTCAGAGGGAAGCCACCACCCGACTGCTGACAGAGAAGCAATGGGGGGGGCATGTGGGGGACACGCCCATGGCACCGCTCACCCCCAGCCACCCCCAGCCTGTTGCCATGGAGACAGGAGCCCCATCTTCGGGACTCAGCAACACCCCCCCAGCGAAGAAGCCGCAGCCGTACTCCGTATGCCGAGGTGAGTCAGCAGTTACAGTCCCACACCCCCGCCTGCTGACCCCTGACCTTCAGGTACTGTAATCAGCAGAAAAGCCATTGTTACACACTGTACTGTGTAGCTTAATTTGTCTTCCATTAATCATTCTCTGGGCCTCAGTATTATTGCTCTTACTGAATCCCATGGAAAAACAAAATCAACAATAAAAAATGCCCCATAAATCATTGTGAACCATGATAAACTCACCTATTAAAATGTCCTTGATGAGACAAATTGAGGAATTGATGGTTAACCATTTGGCAGAGTGTGTGGCGCGGATACAGAAGTACCTCATCACCAAACTGGGAGAGGACTGGATCTTCCTGGTTTTGCTAGGCTTCACCATGGCTTTGGTCAGCTGGTCCATGGACTACGCCAGTGCCAGGAGTCTGCAAGGTACCATGGTATCTAATCCATGCCCAAGGCACGATGGGAGATTTGCCCCCATCTTTGGAAGATCTTGGCATGAGGATTTCACCACGTGGCATAGATGATCAAACACTTGCATGTTTAAGATATGGGGAAATGAACCTAAACAAAAATAAATACCATCTCCTTTAGGCTGGATAAGCTGGTCCCAGTTGCCCTAGTGCTAAATACTAGGGAATAATGAGAGATATCCCCTTCTTGTTTCATTGGTTACTGCCAGATGGCAGCTATGTAAGTAAAAACAAAAAACTGTGACTTGAAGGTCGCTCCACTCTTAAGTGGCAGGGTCAGGCTCTGATGTTGGACCTTTGAGCACCGGTATTTCCCCTGAATGCAACATGTAGCTGTTTAAAGGGTATAATGCGTGAGCTACTTGGTATAAAAGCAATACATCCACCCTTTAAATGAAGAGAAAGACACTGAGGCAGTGGGCCTTGCCATGGGGGAGGGAGGGTGTGGGACGCTCGCTAACGCCCCCTCCTGTCCTCTTCGCAGTGTATAAGTGGATGTACCGGGAGCTGCGGGAGAACGTGCTGCTGCAGTTCCTGGCCTGGGTCACCTACCCCATGGTCCTCATCATCTTCTCCTCCCTCTTTTGCCATCTGGTCGCACCCCAGTCTGTCGGTGAGCTCTGACACCACCTCTATACGCCGTCCCATTATCTCACGCTCTTTGTTTCTGTCTCCTTGCCCTGTCCCCCGTCCTCTCTCTCTGTCAGTCTGAGCGCGCTCATTAGTTCCCAATGCCACAATGTAAAGACCACTTAGTCACACAGTGCCACTTTCGGATTAATCTTCTGCTATGTTGACCATTTAATACATTAATTTCCTTAAATTTCTTCAAGGTTACATTCTTTCTGCTCCCTCTGTCAGGGTCCGGAATCCCAGAGATAAAGACCATCCTCCGAGGGGTGATCCTGAAGGAGTACTTGACCCTCAAGGCCTTTGTGGCCAAAGTGATTGGCCTGACTGCCAGCCTAGGGAGCGGCATGCCCCTGGGCAAGGAGGTAGACTGCTGCTGCTGACATCATCATGCTCGCTCCCCACCTAACCTCTCCGCAGAAGCATGACAGAGAACCGCTCAGTTTTACTCTCATGTTTATATGGCATAATAGTTCATAGGAAAAACATCCTATAAGGAAATTCTGTGCAGTTTTGTAGATTTGAGCCACGTCTCTCCAGGTCTCTTACAAAAACCTGACATAATGGTTACATATTCCCAGTTTACATTCTCCCAGTTATCCCATAGGACTGGCTAGCTATCCATCTCTTGCTCTTATTCACCCGTTGCAATATCTGCATTATGTTTATTCTGCACTTAATATCTTATATTGCAGCTTTGTATTTGTATTTATTATTATAGTTATAATTGCATTTATTGTCTTACTTACTAAGCACCTCAATTTGTGTTTCGTTTTGTGTTTAATTTGTGTTTGCCGGCAGCTGGATGAACATGCAGAGTAAGATTTTCATTGCATAGTGTAACTGTTTTCTGTCTGTATGACAACAAACTCTTGAATCTTGAATCTTTTCCCCTGACACCCTCCTCCCTATCCATCTATTCATCCACCCATCCATCCATCCATGCAGGGTCCCTTTGTTCACATCGCCAGCATCTGCGCTGCCGTGCTCAGCCGGTTCATGTCACTCTTCTCGGGTGTGTATGAGGTAAGCACGGTCCAGCCAGTGCCCAGGACCCATCAATCCCAGTTGTGCTCAGCTCGGATGTGCCCTTTTCCAGAGTGCATCCACTGTTTGGCTTGACATGGTTACTCTGTGTGTTTGTTAACAAAGGCTGTTTTTTCCTAATGTGCAGTAACTCATCTAGCTCCGCCAACCCCTTCGAATTAATGGAGTATGATAATAATGCCTGGCATGTTTATTAACAATTTTCCAATGTCTGTTTCTGCACCTCTGTCCCCACCCCACCTCTCCTCGTTTGGACCCCCACACCAGAATATGGGCCACAAACAGGACCTGTTAGTTTGTGCGTGTGCTGTGGGAGTGGCCACCTGTTTCGCTGCCCCTATAGGAGGCAAGTCAGAACTGCATCTCCCAATATGAACCCTGTCCACATATGCTGTGTATGATAGGAGACTGAGTGTTTTGCTTTGTCTGTGTGGTTCCTGCTTGTCTGGCCACACTGCTCTTTGCCGTGATATTGAACTACAGGAAGTGACACGCTAATAGGAACACTATCAGAACAGGGAAGACCTCAGGCCACTGTGTGCAGCAGTCAAATGAGTCCAAGGGTCTCATTTATCATCCGTGCATACAAACATTTTTACGTATAGAATGGTATTTATCAACTTCTTCCTGTGCATAGAAATGTGCGTACATTTTCAAACACTCCTAATCATGTGTGGGCACAAACCTGTAACGGAACAGAAGCATAGCTGAAGCCAACCTATCTGCACATAAGATACTCACAGGCTCCCACTTAACTATCAACCTTGATGGATTGACAAATAGAATGATCTAGCTATGTTCACTGAAAATATGTACAGGCAGGTCATGCTAATGATGAATTCGTTCCAAAATGGCCAAAAAAATAAGTTATCACTGGCGCTAAATATACGCTTTACATGACAACGGACGTGTCTGGCACAATTAATTTTCTGCAAAATTCACTTGTTGGTCTGCCACGGCATACAACATACATTACTTGCTGCAGCCAGTTATATGCAACCACAATGTGTCTTACCTATTTCTGAAAGCCTGGGTGCTGGGTAATGGAGGTGCACAGTCAGTGTCATCATCTGGAATGACTCCTGTTAGGGATATTTTGTCTATGAGCTGTGTTACCATTCAGTGGTGACACTGATGTGGTGCTTGGGCCACCCCCTGTGGCATGAATGTGGGGTCTGTGGGCTGCGATCCTTTTTTCGTAGTCATTTATTGAACCACTTCTTCCTCACCACTGCCATATTCTAATTACAGGTGACAGCATTAATTACACGTATCACCTGTCCCTATGCTAGATCCTTGTCTTTCTTTGACAGGCTGCTGGTAAAGCTGCCATACAAAAAAGCCGTTTTTTTTTCTTTTCTTTTACGTCCAGCAAAACTTTCACCTCATTCTTGGTGAAGTTCTGTTTTGCATCTCCCTTTGCATTTTTTATTTTTTTACTTTATTTCTTAATAGCAAAATACAGTTACAAAATAACAATACGAGCATATAGTGCACAATATATTACAAACAGGAATAAGAGGATATGGGTATGTGGGATATATTTCTTCACAGTTTCCATTTCTGAAATATGTTCCCCAATTGCGCGTTATATGCTCATATATGGTTCATTGAAGACATTTCTTTTTTAAATTAGTCTTTTTAAATTAGTCTTGTCATGCGCGTGCAATAACATTTAAACCACTGTTTGTGATAAACAGTGATAAATGCCAATTTGCCTGTGCATGCTGGCGATTCGTACACACACGTTTATGAACTGTTCTACGTACACTTTGGTAAATGAGAGGGCAGGTCAACCTAGTTTGATGGCAGCTGGTATCAGAATGATGGATAGATCTCGCAACAGATCCACTCATATACACTGCCATTGAGATCAGGTGTGAAAGGGCAGAATCATATAGCTACCTCAGATAGTTTGTTTTTAAAGCTTTTATTGTCATTGTACAGGTAGCAAGCACAAATGTAATCTTTATAAATCCAATCTTGTTCTCCTATGAGACAACATACATACAGGAGAGAGTAAACCTTGGGGTCACTGCACAGGGTCAGCCAGTTTTCCAGCACCCCGAAGCAGTTTTAGGGATTAAGGACCCAGTAGTGATACGATTACACAGCCGCAGAGCTGTACTCCTCTCCGCCATCATCATCCTGGGAGAAGAGCCAGGCAAGAGATGCTGTTGGATGACAAAGTACACTGGTCCTGGCTGTACTCTGATTACAGGACATGCCAGGAAATTTTTAACTATTGCAGACATTGACATAAGTGTGCAGAATTCCTAGAGGTCTATTTATAAGTTTATAAGTTTGTTTGTTGACATGATAGAGAAGGAGGATTTGTCAGAGCATTTAACATCCCTTCGGTTCAATCAGAGCTGGTTCTGAATCCTCATGGCCCCCCTCAGTCAGCTACACACTTTGTGCCCAGCGGCCTTCCTGTTCTGCTTTGCACTCTGCTCTGCTGTCAGTGAATGCAGTTTATGAGAACAGGCTCCCGCTTACTGCTCTTCATTGACAATCTCTGCCACTGGGACAACGGCACCATCTGTAACCTTTATATATTGATGCTGGCTTTCTTTCTGACCAACACAAATGTGCTCTGTGTTCATTTCATCCTCTGCTTCTGTGCAGAGTCCTGTTTTACTTTGCTTGTTACTTATATTTTTCTCGTATGATGTCATATTTTTCTATTCTGCTCTTCTCTTTGCACCTTTCTTGTTCCCTCTCTTCTTCCCAATCACACGGCTCCCTCTGCTGTCACTCCCTCTCTGGCCTCGCCTCCTCACTTGTGGCCCTTCCCCCTCCCTTTGCATCAGTAGAATCCTTATGCCTACACAGACATCCTCACAGTGGGCTGCGCTGTGGGGGTGGGCTGCTGCTTTGGAACACCCCTTGGAGGTAACCCGCCCCCTTAACCACCTACACTCTCTTGGGCTGTAATTGAAGTGGTCTACTTGGCCACTCACTCACTGTTCCCTATATATGAATGTAGTTCCTATACAAGAAATTAGTGAAACAAGATGACGGTTTGGGACATAAGATGTTCTAAGGTGGTATCTAGCAACCTTTGCCAGCTGACATTTGTGAATAGTACAATACAACAATATGATAAACTGAATATGGAAGATGAAGTGTATATGAATGTGTAAGAATTTATTTTTTTAAATGAATATTTAATATGTATTTGTTTGTTATTGTTGTTGTAGTTGTTATTAATGTTGCTATTGTCGTTGTTAATATTAATAATAAATGGGTTTGCAGTGCACTATGGGTATTTTGTAATTTACTATTCTGCGATGGCAAACACCATATACAGTGCACTATATAGGTAATAGGAAATAATTGTGAATAGAGCCATAAAGCCCAAAAACCTTTTCAACAGTTACGCCCCTCGTTGATTCAGATGAAGGCTATCAAAGTAACCTCTTTGCTTTGTGAAATTCCTCCCATCATTTCTCTGCACATCTACTGCGCCTTTTTGCTCCTTCTGCAGTTTGATCCTCATTTTCACAGTCTCAGAATTAATTCCATCCCCCTGCACCCAGTCCTTGTCTCTCACTCATGTCTGTCTCTCCTTCAGGAGTGTTGTTCAGTATTGAGGTTACATCTACCTCTTTCGCTGTGAGGAATTACTGGAGGGGATATTTTGCTGCCACCTTCAGTGCCTTCATATTCCGAGTGCTGGCCGTGTGGAATAAAGATGCCGGTAAGATTAGGCAAACCTCGGACCTCTAGCGAGAAGCCTGCAGTTGCAGATTGTAAACTGTTGAGACCTGTTTATTCACAGTCAATAAATATGAGATTAGGGGGCGGGCTGTGGACTGTAACTTGTGCATGTCACATTCCGCAGTGAGATGATTAGAGCTATAGAAAGTTCTAGATATATTTGTGCAGTGTGCTGTAATAAAGTGTTGTCTCTCAGTTACCATCACCGCTCTCTTCCGCACCAATTTCCGGATGGAGTTTCCCTTCGACCTTCAGGAGCTGCCAGCGTTTGCCATTATTGGGTGAGAGAGATGGCGAGAAGGAGCGAAAACGTGAGAGCGCCATGGCCACCCTCTGTTTGTACCCCAACCCCGGCCATGCAGTACTAACAGCGCAGGGCACCTGGCCTACACCTCACCGCCCTTGTCAGTGTGGACGCGCCATGCTCTTCCGCCACGTGCTGACAGTCGTGCTTTGCTCTCCCCGCAGCATCTCTTGCGGATTTCTCGGTGCCTTTTTCGTTTTCCTGAATCGCCAAGTGGTGCTGGTGATGAGAAAACAGAATGCCCTGACCCGCTTCCTGACCAAACAGTGAGAAATGGGAGCACTCATGTGACGGCTGATTTTGGCCAACCATACTGTTTCCCTGTGAATAAATCATAGCTGTAACAAAAATCATAGCTACTGCTGTTTGTGTCCCTCCACGTTCCAGACTCCTGGCCTTAACTCCAATGTCTCTGCAATTTATTTTTCAGCCGACTGCTTTACCCTGCCGTGGTGACCTTAGTTATCGCATCGCTGACCTTTCCCCCTGGATTTGGACAGTTCATGGCCGGAGAGGTCAGAGGTCAAATTCCTCTTTTAGTGTTCAGTTTTATGGTCAAGGTTACATTGAGAAATCAGACTGAAGCTTTGCACACTGGATGTCACTTGCTGTTTATGCTGGTTTGTCTATAAAATCATAGGGTAACATGACATGTACTGTATGTATAGACTATAAATGTAATGATAACTCCTGCTGTTATAACCATATAACTTCTTGTATTAACATCCTTTATCCCACAGTTAATGCCGAGAGAAGCAATTAACTCCCTGTTTGATAATTACACCTGGACCAAAATCTGGGGCTCCCCTCTCCCGCCCGGCCTTGGCCGCTCGACGGCATGGCTGCACCCCCAAGTCAATGTCTTTTTCATCATCATTCTCTTCATTGTCATGAAGGTGCTCATCAAGTCTCTTTTTCTGTAAGCGTATTTATTAGCAAAATAGATTAGCATTGTGATCAATTTAAAGATTGGAATAATAAATTATTAGAGGTTACACAAATGAAAGGGAACAGTTATCTAGGCTGTGTAAGCAGGTGTTCCCATATGGGTACCTGATAGGGGTCAATAGCCTCAACAATAAACCACAAAGGATAGCCCGATGACCCGAAGGACAATACCCATCACCCAAAACTGCGGATGAATGGAAACAACCTCTATCTAGCAATCTGGGGAAAAGTAACAGTCATAGTGTGAATTTATAGATGTCTGACTGTATAACATGGAAGAGAACGAGCAGGATGATATGTGATGGAGGTGGACAAGTGATTTGGGCTCTCCTGGACTCCAGCACTTAGGGAACATACGCAAGTAGAATAGAAATAAATGGGTAGGGCTCTCCGGTAGTGGTCAGTTTTCCCATGAGGCTGAGACCAGTAGCCTGGCTGCTCTACCAGCATACTGTATACTGACACATTTCAGCAGGTCCAGTCTAATATAGAGCAGGCTAGATTTCCTCCCCATAGGGTTCTGTGAGTGATGAAATGTAAAGTAGGGGTAGCTTATCTCTCTATTCGAGATGTATATATAAAAACATCATATAAATAACTGCTTTATCTAAGAATGCCAGAAGAATATTTATTTTAAAAACAATGAGAAAATGAGTCAACTTTACTCTGTTTGCCAATGTCAGCTGTGAATCTCCAATGTTTTTATCCTGCTTAATCGCTCAGTTCTGGATGTCTGCTGTTGCCACGACGATGCCCATCCCATCAGGTTCCTTCATGCCGGTCTTCGTCTTGGGTAAATACTGAAAATGAATAATTTTTCTTTATCATTGAAATGAAGCTTAGTAACAATGTGGATGTTTAGGGTGAACATGTACGTTTGATGTGCTTGGAAAGTGCAGTGCTTTGCCATCTGTTTGCCTGCCTACCGTTTGATCCAGGAGCAGCATTTGGTAGATTAGTGGGTGAGATCATGGCTACCCTCTTCCCCAACGGCATCCTCTTTGATGGCATGGTGTACCGTATCCTGCCAGGAGGATACGCAGTCATCGGTCAGTGTCTGAGCCATCCTGAGTGCTGCTCCTATCCCTACTCTCCTCCTCATTGATGGTCCTCCATTCCATTTCTCCAATCGTTCTTTTTTCCTCTTCCACCTCGTCCTCCCCTCCAGGGGCCGCTGCCATGTCAGGGGCTGTCACCCACACGGTGTCCACAGCAGTGATCTGCTTCGAGCTGACAGGTCAGATCTCTCACATCCTGCCCATGATGGTGGCTGTCATTTTGGCCAACATGGTGGCCCAAGGGTTGCAGCCCTCGCTGTACGACTCCATCATTCAGATCAAGAAGCTGCCTTACCTCCCAGAGCTGGGATTAGGGCACATCAGGTAGGGCAGCACAGCCCCTGGGCTGGGCGTTGAGGTACACAGCCTTTTACATTCATGTGTCCTTCTATTGTAACTATGGTCCAACTTTTCTCACAGCAAGTACAACATCTTTGTGGAGGATATTATGGTGAAGAAAGTGAAGTTCGTTTCCTCAAGGTCCACATACAGAGAGCTTAAAAGCCTGCTGCAGTCCACATCACTGAAAACTCTCCCGCTGGTCGAATCAGAGGGTAAGAGAAATGCACTTGTTATTCTCTGCTGAGGGAATTTTTGCCCTTTTTCCTTGAAAATAAAGGTGAGTGCTCCCGTGGCGTGACATACTCATAGCGAAAAGTCAAAGGGAAGAAAACAGATATGTTACAGGACGAACCGCTGAGCAATAGCATTTAAACTGCTGCTGTTGACTATAAGAGGTTGTTTCTAGAGGAACTGAAAGTCTGTCAACAAGAATATTTTTCATGCAAGTTCTTAGGCTGTGATATGGTAAGGAACATAAATACATTTATATGAATTTAGTAGCTTGGGCCAAAAAAACATTAGCTATTCTATACAAATTTTGCTGCTTTCATAGGTCGTCTGTTTTATCATGCTCGTTTTCTTTTTCTAGATTCAATGATCCTTCTGGGCTCGGTTGAGACGGCAGACCTTCAGGTGATCTCTGATTGGTGGCTCTCAAATGAGCGCAGGCTCCTCTGCCAGGGCCGAGGACTGGCATCCAGGGTCAGCTGGGAATCATTCGCCTTCGTGGACGAGGAGGCAGGGGAAGAGACGAGAGACAGGGTTTGTGACACATTCAGGAAGAAGTTGTGTTTATCCTAAATAGCCAGCATTCTTCAGAGAATTCTACAATTTTCAATAAATGAGGCCTAGATTTCTAGAAACAGATACAATAGGTCTGCCAAGTTAGTCTACAGTAATCAACCTACTGAGTCATACTTTTACTTTCCAGAGCACCTCTGTGCAGGAGGAGCAAAACGGGCCCCTCCCACCTCCTAAACCCCAGGAGCCGCTAGCTAGCCACCCAGTTCCCAGTAAGTTCCTTTATGATCTCATTAACATCCTCTTCCAAAAGAATGAATGATCTAATGTTAATATTCAATATTTGCAATGAGGCTGTGACCTGCAAGCATAAGCAGAGTTTGACATGTGCTCTTGGGGGGGGGGGGCAAAAAAACTGCATCCCGCATACCTTACATGTTAACACACATATCTGATGCAAACATAAGCTATTATTTTGTCTACCTATAGGGTACCAACAACCTGCTTATGTAAATGTGCAACATAGTGCAATGCTGCTATTGCCAATTAATTGCAATTTTAAATTTCAGGCATCTTGTGCCCCCCCTCCCCCCCAAAAAAAAAAAATCCACCCATGCATGTAAGCAGCATATATCCAGAAATGTGGAGCTCTTGCATTTGATCTTATATAAGAAATGAACTTCTTCTGGAGTCTGAGACTCGAAGCATGTGCATCATGCTCAAAGGTGGCCCAAGATATGAGTGAACTAAATGGCTGCTTAGGGTCCAGCAGCCACCGGGGGCCCCCATCTGACCAGCCTGTGAGAATAGGAAGGAATACAACCAATAATAGCTAGGTTAATCAAATTTATGGCTCTGAATAGGGTTGGGTTGGCCCTGGTCATGGTCTTTACAGGCATCTCTGCGATATGCATAACTTCCTGCCTCAGAAAAGGTGTAGATAGTGTACTCGTGTCATGTGCCTGGCGCGGGCTGACCTCTGCTGAACTCTGCTGACCTCTGACCTTTCCCTTGAGACCAAGGCCCCCCGCGGGCTCTGAGGAACACCTTCCTGCATTTCTTCTTCCCGTGTGCAGACAGACACAGCGATGCGCAGGTACTCCTTCCAGATGCTGGCCGCCCTTTATGGACCATTCTGCTTGTGTTGAGCCTTTGCTGAGATACTCGGATGGAGGCAGACATCCCAGTGTAGCGCGATCATACAATGAAAACTGCCTTTGGGATATTTAAACCTTACACTGTTTAAGATAAGTATGCATTACGGACTGAATAACATATATAATAAGCTTGTAATATGTACCTGTACATACATAATTATCCATCTTCCAACTGCTTATCTAGGACAGGATCACAGGGGCCCTGAGCTTATCTCAGGCAGCTCAGGTCATAAGGCTGGGGTACACCCAGGACAATACACCAATCCATCACAGGATGCGAATATACACTTTGAGAAATCATGAAGTGCTAATTCACCAAACTGCATGTCTTTGGACTGTAAGAGGAAACATACATGACTCGAGGGGAACATGCAAACTTTGCACACACAGACTGGGTGTGATGCAACACTGTCTTTGCACCACCGTGTCGCCCATATATAGACATGTATATATTTATCTGTACTTATGCTTGCGTTTTATGTATATTCTAGTGCAGCTGTTGCAATTTCAGGTTTAAATTTCATTCCTGTAATAGCAGGCAGACTGCAATATCCCCTTACTGCCACCAGATGGCACCAGAACTTTTGCATGCCATTTCAGATTAAATATCTGGCGTCGCAAAACAGCATCAGCTAGTGAGTTGTCTACAAATGTATGTGATGAAATAGGGTTCATTGCTGCCAACACTAGTCATTGATACCCCTTTCACATTCTCAGTCTTTGTTTCTCTCTCTCTCTCTCTCTCTCTTGCTCTGTGTGTGTGTAGGCATACAGAACACCTTCTCTTGTGGATACAATGACGCCAGAAGAGGTATAAAAAAAACCTTGAGTGGAAAATGGCCCAGTTAAACCTAAATTATTCATTGTGGGTGACATCACGGTGCCTGTATAGACCCGCTGGTTTCCATGTTCAGATCAAAGCCTGGGAGGAAGCGGAGCTGGACAAGCAAATAGACATCGAGCAGCTCCGTGTGGACCCCTCCCCTTTCCAGCTGGTGGAGAAGACCTCCCTGCACAAGGTCAGTTGTGGCCAGATGAGCGGCATGTTTAATGTGCTCCACACGCCTTCGGCATCCAGCTTTGGTCCCATCCCTCAGCCCTGGTATATTAGAGATGGGCTGATTTGGACTGGAGCTGGTCTATATTAACGTGACATAGGGCACATGTGTGACAGAAAGACCGGAGGTGAAGCTGTAGTGTAGCCTAAGCCTGCACTTGGGCGCCCCCTAGACCTTGCCTGGCCTCATGACACTCTGTCCTTTTTACTCTCAGACTCACGCCCTGTTCTCCCTGCTGGGCATCAGTCACGCTTACATTACCAGCATTGGGAAGCTAGTTGGAGTCGTTGCCCTGAAGGAGGTATGAATCGCTCCTCCCCCCCTTCCTCTGTAATTGGTAAGACTTATTATTTAATACGTCCCAGTCCTCCAAACCCGACATCCCCCTGGTCATACGATTACTCCACTGTAATCTTATATATATTTGACTCTCACTCTCTTTCTTCCTTAATTTCTTTTCATTCCACCTTGTGTTTCTCTGTCAGTGTTAATTGCGTTTTTGCCCCCCCACACAGCTCCAGAAGGCCATCGAGGGCTCCACCCGCAGTGGGGTGCGCCTACGCCCCCCGCTGGCCAGTTTCCGTGAAGCCAGTCGAAAGGCTAAGAAGCCAGCCCAGGCTCCCTCTGCCCCTTCCTCCCCGAAGGACGGCTGGAAAGAGGGTTCCAGGAGAGACCCCAATGATGGTACAGGTGCAGGAGGTGCGGGGGCGGGAGGGGGTACTTCTGGTGATGGGACACCGGTCGCTGAGAGGGGACCGGTAAGTCCCCAGACATCCCCCACATCCTCCTTGTCCATCGCTCTATCAGCTCTCCGACCTACCCTGAAGCGGAAGAGGGATGTGGAGAAACAAAGTGAGGAAGAGCAAATCTAGACAAAGCAGGCATAAGGTGGTCACGTGACCATGCCGTATCAAAAAGACTCATTTTCTCGTCTTCTTATTATTTGGTGGCTGTGTACTCATCTGGAGGTGCTTTCAAGGTTGGCGAAAACGTATGAGAATGCACTTGGTGCAACTAAAGTACATAAAGAATGATACAGGCCACCGGGAGCTTATGGGAAATGTAGTTCTATTGTGTAGTTTCCATACTGACACTTTTATCTTATCTATAAGGTGTCTTTTCTCATTTTCCGTTTCTCAGGATTTATTTCTTAAGTCTATAATTTGCAAAAGAATGAATGGTCGATTTTCTCTCTCTATTTTGATGTATGCTTTTTAAGTGCCTGTCCGTGCTTTTTGATTTACTCTTGGATGTTTTCGTTGATCAGCTCTGGTAATCAGCGTGCTTGTGAAAAGCACACGTCCACCCCATGTATGTTTGTCTGTCTACGGCAGTAACTGTCAGGAATGTATGAAAAGGGAATCAGCTCTTTTGTTGTGATTTAGTTTTTTTTGTGATTAAACCTTCATTTTTAGACAATTTGTGTAAGTTAACTAATGAATGTATTTACTTAATTCAGTCAACAGATTACAACAGTTATTCATACTGATTATTATTACTATGTATAATAAATACTGAATTTATCTAGAGATTAATTCTCATTATTTTTTATCACAGAAATTGAACCCTCCTAGATGTACAGTAGCAAACAGGTTTTACACCGAAGCACGTTTTGCCCATCCTTCTGACAGTAAGGAATAGCTAGTGTCGCAGTATTTTCCAGAAAAAAAGCACGTCTTTCTGCACGTTTCTTTATTCGCTTGTTTTTCCTTTGTTGTCCCGCTGGAGGTGAGACCCCCTAAGGATGGTTGGGGTGGAGGGGTCCGAGTGGCAGTTTGGGGGCCGGGCTGTTTATTTCGTGCGGGGGGGGCACAGGAACAGAGGAGAAGGGAGTTCAGGTGGAAGAGCCGCGTTGTATACAGAGTAGACATGTACATGTAATTTTAAAGTGTTTTCCAAAAAATAACTTTTCAGTTCGGGTTAATATTTAGCACTTATCCACGAGCCAGATCTAAAAGATCCTGTATAACTTGTAAAATATGAGGAGAATATGGAGAATATGATTCTTCCGAATGGAGTGAGGATAGAGACGGGCATAGGGACGTATAGAGAGGCAAGCAGGAAGCCTGTAATACTCATGCTTGCATGACAGTTCGTATTTAAAGATGGCAGTAGTATCATACAAAAAATCAGAAATCAATTAACAGATAACTGAAGACGTCGTTAAACCTCAAAATATCCCCAAGAAAAGAGATTTCGCTTCTGAGTATTTCTTAATTCTTCATACCGTCCTGTTGCAGACAAAAATACTAGCGTAGCTTTTAGGAAGCAATATTCTTTAGTAATTCGTTTCATTTGTGTTTAAAAAAGAATTATTATTAATTCATTTCATAGCTGTTTTAATATCTAAAAAGTAGTTACTAGGAATTGGTGTTGACAGGAAGGATTTTTTCTCCAGAGAAAGGTAGGCTGCTTGAACTGAATTGCTCAAATTGCTTCAAACATTTTGGACACATGCGTTTGCTAAGTAAATACTAACATTTCTGAAAATAATCCTGAAATATGAGAGATTTTCGGTGTCTTATGTGTGTTGCATTATGTGGAAGAGGCTGCGCCAACAGTTTCCTTTCTCACTTAATCTACATGGAAGTAGGCCCATTTTAAGAGTTTTAAATATGTTTTAAACACAAATACACAGCTTCGAAAAAAGCTAAGTATATTTTTGTCTGTTTCTATTGAGAGGCAAAATCTCTTGTAGGACAAATGAAGATGTTCTATACAAAATAAAGTTGGTTCACCCCAAATCACCCAGAAATAAATAAAGGAATATCTATCATTTTTTGCAGTTTTCCTGTTTGAATGTATATCAAACTTGGTCCCAGTTTGATGCAGTGGAGTACAAATGTTCAACAGAAGAGTATCAAAGACAGAGATTGCAGCTGTCTTGTATTCTACAATGTTTTTTTTGTGCTCTACAACAAACAGGGAAACTAAAATGATATATATTCTGCCAAATCTGGGTCGGAGTATTGAAATTTCTGTTATAATAAAAAGTCGCAACATTGCATAAATAGTCAATCAATAAATTATTCAGTTCAAGTAAGAGTGACTTTGCGTTTCCCAGACAATCATCCAGAGCGATAAAGGTGGTTTTCCATTAAAATGATTATATTCATCATCATTCTTGTTAATGGTTCATGCACATGTCCTCAGGAAACATGTGTAAGAAATCAGCCATTCTGCTTCTGAGGTACACATACTCATACATACTCATACATACTCAGTGGACAAGACAAGCACTGTCCCATCGCAGAAAATCCACGAATGAAGCAAGGACAATTTGGAGCTGCTTCTGGATTTAACTGTGGTGCATATCATAATAATTATTATTATTAATAATATTCCCATTCATATGATCAGGCAAGCTGCTATTAAAATCCTTACCCATTTTCTCCTCCACTGGCAGCACAATTAAGAGACGGGATTCTCCCGAACAAGAGTTCAGACCGTGAGATAGTACAAAAATAAATAAATCATTGTAAAAGCTCAGGAACATAATTCAAAGTGACAGAAGCTGTGATTTTTCGTGTGTGCAATATTTACATCTATATGACAGAGTGGCCACGAGCCCTTTAAAACATTTTCCTGCAAATCTGTTACAATTTTGATTTATTTTCCCTAAAATCAATACTGCCCTCACAGTTTCTCTCACGCTGAATAATAGTTTCATTTTAAAGGTAAATGTCCTTAAGCCCAATGCCTCTTTGAAGTAGGGAGATCCTGACTTGTTCCATCTCAGTCCACATCCATGATCCGACACAAATCCCAAATGTGATGTCCGTGTTTAGAGCAGCTTTGCGGCCAAGGGTTCCCAGGGTTTGTGTCTGACTGTCAAAAAGCTTCTGGTTTTTGGTGCTCCCAGAGTTTTGCAGGAGACAAAACAAAGACCATCAGAGTCTTGTTCCACATGTATCCTTGCCTGCTTTGTCCAGCATAAGTGCAAAGTTTCTTCCTTATTCTCTCTCTGACTCTCCAGCAAAGTACGGTATGAAGGAAATGATGTTCAGAGCATTTCATATTCATTACACTAAGGTTCAGTGCAGTTTTATACTGTGTTGCACAGTACTGTTACGCACTGTCCAGCAAAGCATGCATACAATAGAAACACATTCAATATCAGACAATGTGCAAATTACACATTGTGCAGTAAAGTACAGTCCAGTCCAGTATAGTGCCAACAAGATAACAAGATATTAAGAAATAGTACATATTTTATTGGACTCTTTTGGAATGGGCTGCACTATACCGACCAGGTCTAAAGAAAAACTTGCCCTGATTCATTTCATCAATGATGTTTTTAACCACAATGTGCTAATTTGATTAAAACTGTTTCACCCGTGTTACTGAGTGCTTCTTTGCGTGTGTGTGTCTGTGTGTCTGTGTGTCTGTATTTTTGTGACTGAGAGTTACATGTATGGGAACCGCTTTGCAGAGAAGTGGGCAGTAACACAAATTATGTGGGGAGCTAAGTGCTGTGTACATGTTCTTGAAGATGATCTACAAACATTTATCATATCTTATCTCAAATTGGATATTCGAGATTTGGAATTATTCAAAAATTGTGTTAGTGTTCTAAAGTATATATTTTTATACACATATACATGACTCATTATATGGTATTTTTGTTTTATTTTAAAAAAGTATTATAATAATTATTAATTATGACTGTTATATTTATATGTATATTATGCGCTGATGATGGAGTTCAGTCAATTGCATCATTGTAAAAAGCATGCACGTATCTATCTTTTGGTTTCTTGTGTCGTTTTCTATTGCTCTCTCTTCCCTGATTCAGGTACAGTCCCTCTGTCACTCTCTCTCCATCTCCTCCACTCTTCACTCTCTTGGGGAACGCTTACTGTTCAGTGACATCAGGCTTCCATTAAATGTTTGTCCTTCATTCAGTATTTTTTCTCTGCTCTTTCTTCTTCCTTGCATGAAAAATGTCTTTAAAACAATCACCAACATCACAGGGAATCATCATAGAGATAGATGTCTCACACCTGGAGAGAAAGAGATAGATAATATTTATATTTAAAATGAATTGATATTAAAAATTGACATTTGTGTTACTTGTATAATTTCACCAACGATGGAAGTATGTCTGTCCATAACACCTACCACTCAGTTAGTTTGCCGCAATTGCTACTGATGCTTCCTCCAACTCTTCATCCTTTTCCTCCAAGGGCTGACTGACACAGGAAGTGACATCAGAGGCTTTCCGCTCTGTAATTGGCTCACCAGGTGCCTGCCCTGGGCTGCTTCCTCCAGCACTGGAAGGCTCGTCTCTTGGCACAAGTGGGGTCAAGATTACAGCTTCAGGCTCCATACATAATGTAATTTCTTCCTCCTGTCGATATATAAACCTGGATTTAACTAAATGAAATCCAACCATTCACTATATGGTATGGTATGTGGACACCCCTATTAATTAGAGGAATATTCAAATTAAGCCACGTCCATTGTTGAAACAAGGGTATAATTAAGCAGACAATCGCAAAATCTCCGGCAACATACATTAGCAGCAGAATGGATGGTTGTACAAAACAAGTTAGGGACTTTCCACTTGGCCCCATCATAGGACACCATCTTTGCAACAAGTCAGTTCACCAGATTTGTCCAGCTAGAGCTGCCCTGGTCAGCTGTAAGTGAGGTGATTGTGAAGTGGACACATCTGAGAGTGAGTTCAGCTGTGAAGTGGTCAGTCACACAAACTCACAGAAAGTGACCTGATCACTCAGCATCATTACCCACCTTGAATGGCAGGAAATCCCACCAGCAATGTTACAAACTCCTAAGAGGAGCACAGGATATTAAGCAACAAAGTGTGACCAACTTCATATTAATACCTGAGGTTTTGGAATGAAATGCTGGACAAACTGGTGTCCATATACATATACGGGAGAACATTTTAAAACAAATTTGAGGAAGCACTTCTTTACACAGCGTGTAGTTAGAGTAGAAAATGGTAGATTACCTGGACTCAAATAACATTTTGAGGGATAGCCAGCATGGATTTAGGAGAGGCAGATCCTGTTTAACAAATCTGTTGGAGTTTTTTGAGGAAGCTACTCAGGAAGTTGATGATAAGAAGGCCTATGATGTCATCTATTTAGATTTCCAAAAGGCTTTTGATGTTGTTCCCCACAAGAGGCTCTCACTTAAACTCAAAGCGACAGGTATTTTAGGAACTGTAGCGACTTGGATTGATAACTGGTTAACGGATAGGAAGCAGCGAGTAGTTATAAGAGGCTCGATGTCACAGTGGGCCTGCGTTCATAGTGGGGTACCGCAGGGTTCAATTTTAGGACCACTTTTGTTCCTAATTTACATAAATGATATAGACACCAATATATACAGTAAACTGGTGAAATTTGCAGATGACACCAAGGTGGGTGGTGTAGCAGATACTGAACTAGCGGCTCAGCAGCTACAGCGGGATCTTAATTTAATTAGTGACTGGGCTGACACCTGGCAGATGAAATTTAACATAGACAAATGTAAGGTACTCCATGTAGGGAGCAGAAATATAAAGTACAGGTATTTTATGGGACCTACTGAAATAAAGGTAGCTGATTATGAGAAAGACCTTGGTGTGTATGTTGATGCTTCCATGTCTCATTCTCGCCAGTGTGGGGAAGCAATAAAAAAGGCCAATAGGATGTTGGGGTACATCTCCAGGTGTGTGGAGTTTAAGTCAAGGGAGGTAATGCTAAGATTATACAATTCCTTGGTGAGACCTCACCTAGAATATTGTGTACAGGTTTGGTCACCATATCTTAAAAAGGACATAGCGGCCTTAGAAAAGGTGCAGCGTAGGGCCACAAGAATGATTCCTGGTCTTAGAGGAATGTCATACGAGGAAAGGTTATTTGAGCTAAATCTGTTCAGCCTCAAGCAAAGGAGACTGAGGGGGGACATGATCCAGGTCTATAAGATTCTAACAGGTTTGGATGCTGTTCAACCGAATAGTTACTTCAGCATTAGTTCCAATACAAGAACTCGTGGCCATAGGTGGAAATTAGCGGGAGAACATTTCAAACTGGATTTAAGGAAGCACTTCTTTACACAGCGTGTAGTCAGAGTATGGAATAGTCTTCCTGATAACGTAGTGCAAGCTGAATCCTTGGGTTCCTTTAAATCAGAGCTAGATAAGATTTTAACAACTCTGAGCTATTAGTTAAGTTCTCCCCAAGCGAGCTCGATGGGCCGAATGGCCTCCTCTCGTTTGTATAGTTCTTATGTTCTTATGTTCTTATGGAATAGTCTTCCTGCTAGTGTAGTGGAAGCTAAAACCATGGGTTCCTTTAAATGAGAGCTAGATAAGATTTTAACAACTCTGAGCTATTAGTTAAGTTCTCCCCAAACGAGCTTGATGGGCCGAATGGCCTCCTCTCGTTTGTAAATTTCTTATGTTCTTATAAGTTTCTCCTCCAAGATGGATTTGAGCGTGATGATAGAGAACATCAAAGTCAATAATTTATGACTTCAACAGAACATATAATCGTAATTTTCCAGTTGCCATTTAGTTACAAGGAAATATATAGATAAGTAAGTGGGGTTAACTAATAAAAAGTTATTTATGGGGGGGGGGGTGGTTGGGTTGGGTGTGCTGGAAATCACTTTTACAAGCACTGCAGCTCGACACTTTCATACACATCCATTGCTGGTCATCACTGCATAGGGAGCTTGATGGTGGTCGAGGCAAAGCTGTGTTTCTTCACAGGAAAGCTGAGCTCCACACCGGCAATAATGCACTGTATCGGTTACTAAGATGATATGACAGGTCAGGCACTACCTGCCCCTCCCTGCTCCTCACTTCTTTCACAGATGTCCCTGAGGACACCAGGAGGTGTTGGATAATTAAGAGAGTCTCTTACATCTTAGAAATCTCCACATAATGATAATAAAATTGTAATTGGATACAGTATTATGATTGTTAACGTGCATACAGTGTAATATACAATATATATTTCATTATATACTAACTACATTATATTCTCCATGATCATTGGAAAGACTAGTTAGCATTGATTTTATTAATATGTTAATTTTACTTAATTAGTTAAATATGTTAATTTAAATGTGCAGTTTATAGAATTTTACAGAATCCAATTGCAAAATAAACATGGGTATTTATGAGTATGACTTTTTTCATCCAGCTCTATAAATTGCAGAAAACACATAATATAAACAAAAATATAGATAATCACTCCAAAGCATGATATACAAATGTTGTGTACTATATTGTACCATATTGCATGTTTTAATAATTCATTTTATGAAACTATATATCTAATTATAGGGCGGTGCGGTGGCGCAGTGTTTAGAACTGCTCCTCACAGCAAGAAGGTCCTGGGTTTGGTCTCGGGTCTTTTCTGTGTGGAGTTCACACACTCTCCCGTGGGGGGCTCTGGTTTCCTCCCATAGTCCAAAAGTGTGCAGGATAGGTTGATTGGCGAGTCTAAATTGGCCCTGTAGTTGTGTGCTGGTGACTGCCTGTGCCCATTGTTCCTGGGATAGGCTCGAGTGACCCCAGTTGGGATTAAGTGGTTTCAGAAGATGAATGGATAACTAATTATATGTTTGCATATATCTATGCAGTGACAATATAAAATACATCCATCTATTTTCTATACCTGCTTGTCCTATGCAGGGTTGCAGAGCCTATCCTGGAAACTATCGGCAGAAGGCAGGGAATTACCCACCACTGGGCCCCAACCCATCACAGGGCACACACACATACATACAGTGGAATCTCCACTTAGTTCAACATGCTTTTGGACTTTGGGAAGGGGAAACCAGCAGAAGATTACTACAGCATGCACCCCCCTCCCCACATACACACACACACACACACACAAGTTGGTCTTCCTATCTAAATGGGGACCGTCCATTCATCTCTATGGGAAAAACCCTTAACCCCTACCCATCCCTAACCTTAACCATAAGTAACTAACCCAAATACAAGACTTTTGGCATTATTACTTTTTTGATTGCATTCACAGATCTATAAAACTGAGGTTATCCAAATGGGGACCTCAAAAGATGTCCCCAAAAGTAGGGAAATTTCAGGTTTTACTACACTTTGGAGACAATTTGGTCCTCAAATGTGATCTATGCAAACCCACACACACACACACACACACACACTCAAACCCTGGCAATACAGGTGTAAGGCAACAGTGCTAACCACTCCACCACTGTGCCACCCAACATAAAGAAACAATCAAATTTAATTAAACATGTACTATATAGAGAGATACAGCTCTGGAGAAAGTCTTCAGCAAAATTTTCAGTTTCACTCATTTCTCAATTTATGGATATGCTTCTGTGTCAAATATAATATTTTTTGTAAACTCCAATCTGGCTCTTCTCTGTTTCCCATTAATGAAAGGTCTCTTCCTTGCTTTATGGGACTTCAGTCCTCCTTGTAGGAGCCTGATATGAACTGTCCTAGCAGTGCACTTCACGCCTACATGTAATGTTTCCCATTCCTTCTGAAGGTCACTTGAGGCCATCCAGTGATTTATGAGGCACTAGTGGATAAGCTGACAATCATCTCTACCATTAGAAAGTTGCTTCAGTCCTTTACTTGGCTGGTTACTGGTCATCCCCAGTGTCTCCTGCTTCATCTTATTCTTGTGTACTGCTGTCTTAGAAATTTTGAGCCAGGAAGCAACCTAGCCTTCTGATAGCAGAACCATGATTAAACCAGGATTTAAAAATGCAGATTTTCAAAAATATATAGAGTGATCTCTTAATTTTTTCCAGAGTTGTATATAGATTGTTCTTTGTAACACGCATTATACTGACCAACCAAGACCAAGTGAGGAACCAACCATGGGCCGGGTGCTGGCTCTGCAATTTTGATGATTGTTCCTTTTCAGCATTATCTAGTATGTTTTTTTTAAGTCTAAAGTTTACTACCACTGTTATTGTGTGAGTTGTCCATGTGCATTTTGAGCCAATCATAATGATTTTTGTCTATGTCATTGGACACACTCATAGACAGTGTGGCACATTTTGGAAAAATTCAACCAAATGAGTGCCAAGCTGGTATAGAAAATGGATGGATGGATGGATGGATGGGATGGGATGAAGGAGGAGAAAAGTGAACAAGAACTGGTCACCAAAAAACACTGGTCTTCTGCTGTATGGAAATATTTTGGATTCCATAGAGATAATACTGAGCAAAAGCAAGTGATTTTTTTCACACTTTGTGTCTGTTGGCAACTCGTGGCAACACCACCAGCTTATTTGACACTCAAAATATAGTTTATTTCAAAGTTTCAAGTCCTTTTTTGTTTTATAAATATCTTAATATTTATCTAAAATAATTAAAATACCACAATGTGAACTTTTTTCCACTATTGTTCAGCATAACTCAATGCACACAATATGTTCACAAAATAAAATTATACATAGGTGTCAGATTTTCTTAGGCAATTAAACAATTTTCTTAGGACACAGGAACTGCGGAAAGTTAAGCTAAATAATTTAAGTCAAAGTCATAACAAAGAAAGGCTACCCTACTCCAAGAGGTTAAAGGGCTAACTTTGCATTTCGTGAATCTATGGATGTCTTCTTTTGAGATGTTGTCGCATTGCAGTCATGTTGTGATATTTAAGTTCTGTGAAGACTGCATTTTCATTCACTTTTAATGTGCAGTGCTCCCACACATCTTAGGCTTTCACTCTCTTTCTGTTTGAACCCGAAACCTCATATAGGCTCCGCCTTCCTTCCGTGAGATGGCAATTTTAAACTGATGCTTTTTAAAAAAAAATTCAGTCAGAATTTAATCAAGTAATCATGACAGCTCGATTTGAAATGAATTTGTGTTAATCAAAAATTTAAAAATGAAAAATAAGATCTAAAAATTTTACATTTCACTCCTTAAAATTAATTATTAAATTGAATAATTTCATTTAATCAATGATTACTTAGCTGTTAAAAATTGAACTGCAGCAGGTGCCTTTGTGCTAATAGGCTGTTCCTTTTATGCGATGATTTATTAAATTGATAGAGCTAATAAATTTTACATACTTAGTCAAAATCAATCAGCCCTTAAGTTACTTTTCCAGTACAGTTAGGATGGTCTGTTTAACATTAATGTGACCAAATTTATATTGGGCGAATGCCAACCAATCAGAGAATTTTTCATTATTTTAAATACTGTACAAAGGAAGCTAGCCAAAAACATTTTAAGAAGACCAAACATCCTGCTCAATAGAGAATTCTTTGGCCCATCTCATTGGAATTGGCATTGGGGCCAAATCACATTAGATTTAACTATGACCTTCAAATGCGAAACATTAGCATGCAGCATAAAACTATGAAATGCTAACCTTGATCTCCTCCTCTTCCTGTTGCTCTAGTAGTGGTTCGTTCTCTGTTGTGCTCTCTTCGACTCCAGTCACAGCCAGACCCCCTTCGCCTGCTGACACACCCACATACCCGCCAACTTCGCCCTGATAGGCCTCAATCTGCCCTGCTCCCCACAAGTCGACCAATGGGGGGTGGGAGGGCGGAGCCAGACTATGGATGGTGCTGTTGGGTGTGGCTTGCAGGGAGTGTGTAGCACTGTGTAGCCTGTGTTCCAGAGACTAAAAAGAACGCCAGACGTGTAAAACTGAGCAGAACTGACTCAAAATCCCATCTGCAACCGCAACGCCTGTGTACATATTTTCTGCCAATTCAACGAATAGAGCATGAATGTAACTGGCTTTCACCTGTTGTTGTTGATACTGCAGCAGTTGCTGTTGCTGGTAGTGCTGTATTTGCTGCAGCTGCTGTATTTGCTGTAATTGGCTCTGCTGTAAGTTGAACTGCTGCTGTTGCTGATGTGTCAGATAGTGTGCAGTGCTGCCCTCGTACCCTTCGGGTCCAGCCGCCATGACGTAGGAGCCAGCAGCCGGAGAGGCCACTCCCGACGGCTCATTGCTAATCGGCTCCCAGGCATCAGAGGAGGAGAGACAGTAGAGACCTTGCGAGACATACGTGTGCGGCCAAACCTCGGCAGAGGAGTGGTGAAGGATCTGGTCTGGGAGGAAACATGGGAGTGGGTTAAGTTCCAGAAGCATAGATTGAAATGGCTGATCACAGTAGTATAGTATATTCCATCCATCTTCTAAGCCCTTATCCTGGTCAGGGTCACTAGGAGGGCAAAAGGCATGAGATGGTTAGTCCATCTCAGGGCAAGTTCAATATATTGAATTTTCACATATCAAGTTTTCCAGCATTTGTAGCATTACTTTTGCTGTACTGCTGTCACCAGCCATCATAAGGAAAATTTATCAGAGATGAGCTGCGTAAGGCTGGCTTATTCACCAATGCAAGCTCCCAGTAACGCCACAGACAGACATGACGAATTGAGCTGATGCTTTCTAGAGGACTCTGCTTCCCAATCATTTATTTGCCGTGGAGACTGTCTGGCATTTATGATTGCTTCAGACAATGTGCTGAATTGTTACAATAATCTAATAATGCAATTTGCTAAATATACTGATTTCATATTTGAAAAATTAACTTGGTAAATAACCTTGAGTTTTGACATGAAATTTCCAAGAAGTTATTTGTTTTGATTAGTTATTTAATGCCTATTTTTTTCTGTATTGTTTCACTGACTCTCCTCTCCAGTGTTTTCCAGAGTGTCTTATGAGGGAATTTGTTTTTGTTTGCTGCAGTTCGGAGTCAAACACATGTAAGCGGAAATCATGCCGTTCGCTGCAGCCTGACGGATACCTCTGCTGGTGATGCTCTCCTGGTTGACCTCGCTGAGGTGAGCTACGCTGCCCTGGTTGGAACCGGCACTTAAGCTCTCCCCATCCATGGAGGTCCAGGCCAGCAGGGTAGCTTCTGAGATGGCAAACTGCTGCATCACTCCTGTGGGAGGAAAGCGAGAGAGCAGATGTGGGTTTCGTCCTCCTTGGCCGGAAGCAATGACGGTTCATGAAGGTGGAACGGGAAACGGGCTCAATGGGAACTGGAGACAAAGATATGGGGGTGGATTTCTGGTGGTTGTAGGGGGCTGTCTCACCGGCAGCAAAGCGGGCCTCCTTCTCGCCATCACTCAGGTCACTGTAGGCGTCGTTCTCCAGCTTCCTCTCACGCTCGCGCTCCCGGTTCAGGTGGGTGCGGCCGGCGCTCCCCCCCGCCCCGATGGTCTGCATGCCCCAGCTCTGCCACTCGATCATATGGGCAACACGACCCTGCGCCATGGCAGTGGGCTTGGTCACTTTGTCCTTCATGGAGCGCGTCACACCTGAGAGGCGCCATTTTGGGACAGATGGGCGTGGTACAGAAGGGAGAGGCCAGCGACCGGATGACAGAGACAGCAAGAGAGAGAAGGTGATAGAGAGTGGTGGAGGGAGACAGATAAAGACTGTTAATATCTCAGAAATATCTCCTGGTCAGACTTCTGCAGTGAAGAGTCTGTGTGATGATGCGTGCTGGGTAATGGGGTTAGTTTAAGTGCAGACATAGCAGTTTGCTGATATCCAATGATAAAGGCTATGCTTCCCAGAAGTGCATTAAGAAATTATGTTGTATATTAAATCATGGTGGCTAGAAATGGACGGTGATGAATGAAACTTTTTGGCTTGTTGACATAACACCTATTAAACTACACCTGACAGTGACATACTCGACCCAGCACTTTACCTTTATTTAACTTAATCGAGTCATTGTGTTTCATATTTAGGTAGCTGTCGGTATATATCTAAAAACTGACTATATATCTGAGACACGCCCCTTTAAATGATTGGTCTGCGGATTTGATGACCATAAACAAATGGGTAATGCGGTTATGGATATTGGATCACTTTATACTACAATAACACTACAGCTAAGAACAAGTAAACATAAATAAACAATACAGTAACACTGACTAATTTGCCACTACACCTCACAACAACTACACAGAAGCCAACCACCATACACTACATTTCCCACCCAATTTTAACAACAAGCCACATGAAGATGCATTGTGGGTAGTGTATTTCTTATTTTGGATTTTGAGGATTGACGTCATCCCATCAATGACTACAACAGTCATTGACATGCATTTTCCATGGAGGTAGGAAGTGATACAGGGTACCCACAAGGGGCCATGTTGGCTCCTTCCTCTGACACCAAACTCTGCCGGACCGGAGCCAACATGGTAGATTTACCAGTCACAGGACAGACACACACCTGACACACCTGTCAGAGAGGACTTAGCCAGAGCACCAATCCCATAGGCGTTGGAGTTTCGCTTCAGGCGAGGAAGGATGGAGGTGGTGTCCTCCATAGAAAGCTGAAAGGAGCGAGGAGTATACAGATGGATACAGGGGGAAAAAAAACGCAGAGAGAACCGGGGGGGGGGGGGTGCAAACCCCACAAGAGATGGTGGCAGCGGTGGGGGGAGGGGGTTCATTTGTGAGGGGTGGAAACAGGGATGCCGGGAGGAGTAATTAGGAAAAAGTCAGCATAAGATGGTGGGAATGAGCAAAATAACACAGAAAGAGTGAGTGGGGGAGAGAGAAGGGGGTGTTTAAATACAGCAGGAAATCCTAAATGGACAGAAGGACACGGAAACAGATCTACGTAGAAAATATCTACGTTTCCCATGGACATGGTGAACAGTCTGCCCCTTGTCCGCTTTGAAGTGGCCTTACTGAGAATGAGGCTTTTAGTCTGACACACGTGTGACTGTGAGAGAGTAAACAGAAAGTGCACAGAGACTGTTCTAAGCACTACAGTACAGCAGCACGGCACCAGCAGAGAGGTAAAGAGAGAGAAAAGACAGATATAGGAGGGCAGGAAGGGAGGCGGGTAAAATGTACGTTACCTAAGGTGAGAGTTAGAAAATAAAAAGGATGGAGGAATGATATTCACGAAGACTTACATTGATTCCTTCCCATGAAAAGTCTGTACGGCCATGCTGAGAGAGGAAGAGGAGAGAGAGGGAAAGGCAAGGGCACAGGAAAGGAGGAAGAGGACAGCAGGGATTGGAACAGCAGGAGGAAGATTTAAAAGCATGCGAGCAAGGAGGGGGGAGGGGGGAGGTAGGTCAGAGACAGAGACAGAGAAGGTAAGAAGGAAAGAAAGAAAGCAAGAAAGAAAGAAAGAAAGAAGGAAAGGGAGGAAGAGGAAAGTTAAAAATAGAGTAGCAGAAAGAGGGACAGACTGAAAGACAGATCAGTCCATAGTACACACGGCGATGGTGCCAATTGGCCATATGCAAGTTTCCTGTCACGGGTTCCTCCACTGACATCACAGCAAAAGTGGCAGGACTAAAACCCAGGGCCAATGGGCACGGAGTGGGCGGGTCTCAGACAGGCCAGAGCAGGAGAGGGCAGGTCACGGAGAGGCCAGGGCAGGAGACGGTGCCCAAAGTGCACCTTATGCTAGCCTCATTTCCAGGTCAACCGACAGCTCGAAGGTAATGCAGATGACGGCGTCCGTAGGCCTCCTGAGGTACTGTGGGAGGGTGCAGGTTAAACACAGAGGCCTACAGGTCAGCCGCTTCATGCTGAATGGTTTGCGGCGTGACCTCATCCATAAACGGATGTCAGGTACTGCTTTTGTGTCCCGGTCACAGCTGGGCAGTCGGCGGTCACCGACCCAGTGACGAGCACCACCTTGACAGGTTGGCATGAGGTCGTGTCCCTCAGGGACTTCAGGTTCCCAGGTCTGTAGAAAGTGGAGCACCACTGACCAACCACGAGCGGGGAAAGACACTGGGAAAGGGGCAGAGTCACAAGGAAGGGGTGTGGTCACTCTGAAAGGATGGAGCCACAAATAAGGGCAGGGTCATGACGAATGGGCGGGGCCATATAGAACGGAGGAGCAAAGAAGGGGTAGGGTCACTAATAACAGGTGGGTCTGCACAGAAGGGGTACAAAGAAGGGGTGGGGGGGGTCGCAAAGAATGGGCAGGGCTGCAAAGAAGGGGTGTAATCACGTGAAGGGGAGGGGCTGCATAGAAGGGGATGGGCCACAAAGCTGCAGGGAGGCATGTGGTGTGGGGTGGTGAGATGTGAGCAGTCACGGCGATGGCCAATGCTGGGCTTTGGCTGACGCAGCCCAAGAAGCAGTGCAGGATGCATGATCGAGCTCCCTTGCTCACAGTATGGTGGCTGTGTTAGCAGCTCAAGCAGTGGGCTGCTGCCTTCCATAAATAGACACTCCTGTCTTCCTGGGGTAAAGCTGGAGTCTCCCTGGCGGCCATTTTGGATCAAGATTCTCAAAGTGTGATTGTGGGGGTTGGGGGGATTGCAGCCGGAGCTGACGTCACACAGGGATAGACCTCGCAGCAGCAGGATGCTGCTCCATTCAAAGACACACCGGATTCATTAGGAGAAAATAAAAGCTACTGGTATATAAACATTAATGGCCTACCTGTTCCCCATCCTTCTGTACTGGAACTCCGTCCGCCGCTAGCAACAGGAAGGAGAGGGAGAAGAGCCACACATTTACAGGTTTATATAGGAATTACAGTGACTAAACAATAAAACATCAGGGTGTTTGTTAGTAAGAAGGAGCTTTTTCTGTGCTGGTCCTCACACAGTAATAGTAATGGCCTCAAATGGATGCAGTGCATTTACAGCTGTGCTGATGTCACACACAGCATCAGCAAGGAGGGAGGAAACCAAGAAGCAGCAGCACCAACAGTTTAGTTTAACAAATGAGTTCATCAGTGGAGTCCATTTTTTTCCTCTCAGTCCAATCTTAATTAAAACATAACTTAATTATAGAGGTCTTTCTGGTAATTAAGTTTAAATACGGTATGGTCTCTGGGCAATTTTTTTTTCAATCAGTGTATGGTCTCTGAAGATGGGAGTTAGTCTGCTGAGCTAGAAAGATTACTAAATGACACGGGTTTAAAATCAAGGCGACGCTCAGTCGGGCCTGGTAAGCGGATACCCTGAAGGGTCTGTCTGTCATCGATAGCCTGGAATGCCTCTCTGCTACATTCGTTTGTTCTGTTTATGAAGACAAAATGGAGCACAGTCAAAAGGCTCGCCACTCTGCCCACAACTTCCAAGCACCATTAATAAACAGACCAATGAGATTCAATAAAGGCCTGATCTCAACTAATCCCACTCTTGGTCACATGACTGCCTGTCAGTGACAGCTATTGAAATGACATGTACTGATCCGATCTGTGAAGACGGGAGTTACAGAGGGGTGGATAGGGAATGGGCCGAGGACGGATCTACGTGACTGCGAGCATCAGGCGATCACACAGCATCTCAGTCTCCAGCGAAATGTATTCTCTCTTCTGTGTTCATCACGAAAGCAGCCATACTTTTCCAGTGCATGTGTAGAATGAGCAAAACAACAGTGCGCTCAGAGAGGTCTGTGTGCCGGGCTTTCAGAAAGAGCATTGTCCAGCTCGAGATCGTCGTCTTGCTGGCAGAGACATGGTGGACGAGGCTTGATCCACGTATAAATGAGCTGCTGGATGCCGGCCCGCTGACACACCAGGTAGGTCTGGCCGCCGCATCCGGGCAGGGTGTTGACACTCGCCACAGGCCGGAAGAAGGTGGTGGGGGGGACGGGGGTCACCGGGCTCCTCCCCCTGCTGCCCCCACCGCTCTCTCCAAACATCACATCAGTGATAGGCTGGAAGGAAGTGGGAGGCCTGACTCATGAGGGCTGGGTATTGGGAGAGGCTGGGCAGCGCTGCAGGGAGCAGCTGACGATGGCGGCGGGCGGCGCGCTCAGGCCAGAGCCATTTGGCCGCCGCAGTAAAACATTTCTTGGCACGAGGTTTCAGACGCTGATGTTTATGGATTAAAAACAACCCTGTTCTGCGGTGGATTGTTGATAGCAAGAGAGCTGGGAGAAGGGTGCAGGCGAGCAGCCCCCAGGGGCCGCCCTGGAGCCCCCCCATGAGGCGTGGACGGAGCCACCTCCTGGAAAAACCTTCAGCAAACACACAAATTCTCACACAGCCCCTAAGAAACACTCCACAGAACTGCTGTGCTGGACACAGACTCGCTCAAGAGCGCCATTAGTGTGACTCTGGGCTCATTCGAATGCTTTTAGGAGATGATGGATAAATTGGGTCTAAACCTGCTTAGTGCCTGCGTTCCTTATGGTAACATTTCATCAATGACAGCAATTTCGATTACAATCTGGCCTTGACAATGCACTAATATCTATGTTCCCAGCAGCAGTGGCTCCAATGAAACTCTCCAGTTGCATAGCACTGCATATTATTATAATTTCACCACCCACGCGTTTGTTCCCTGTGTCTGAGTCACAGGTTTGTGTCACTGATAATTGCCCCCCACCCCAGTCCTATCTCCTCTACTCCTTCCCCATGGTCAGGGCATTATTCAGTCACCTGTTATGTGTTTGTGCACGTATGTGTCAGAGTGTCAGTAAATCAATGCATCAATCAGCTCTGGTTGTACTGCACTGTTCCGATATCAGTCATTCGGTGATTGAATCAGCGGGTGAACGTGTCACTGTGTCGGTTGAAAGACGCAGTACCGTTGCGATGTGTGTGTGTCAGTCAGTCAGCAGTTTTAATCAAATCGATATCAGGGAATCCCTCGGTAAGGCAATATCATAAAGACAGTCAAACGGAACAGGACAGAGCTGAGACGTGTATACAAACATTGACGGCAAGAAATACGACGGCGCAAATGAACATGGAAATGTGTGTACAACTAAAATAAATAAATAAATAAATAACACTCATGATCATTCAGTTTTTACCCCGCAGCCTTATGTATCACGCCACACTAAATATTTGGCAATATCTGCAAATATTTGCATTAGATGCATTGCACGTTTACAACAAAATGACAGTCGGCAGAAATGGAAATATCTGAATATCTGTAAACAATGCATTCCAGAAGGCAATATGGTCACGCGAAATGCTGGGTTATCTGCTCGGATGGGAGACTTTCACTGCGATCTCACATGGCGATGCACTCAAATCCAGCGTTTTAGAGCAACATTAGGAGCCTTTGATCGCCTTCCAAAGTAGCCTCTCAGTAATAGTGAATGCGATTTAGCCATTTCAGCATCTCCCCACCGCCGGCACCATAAGGCTGGTGCAGCTTGACGAAGAAGCGATTTGGCCGTATCAGGGAAATGCTGCATGGCGCACAGTTTTAAGGGGGCTGATGTTTACGGCCGCGGTGTTATAAATGATCCCTGTCTGCGGTAGCTTGCGATCAATAACGGATGGTGTTATGAGCTCCGTTATTAGTACATTGTCAAAGTATCTTAGCCTAGGTAACTGAACTCTGAAGTTTGCGTAGGAGATGATGCCTAATATGTTAACATTAACGTGAGTCAGATCCACCACACTCGTTCCCAAGCAGGGGTATCCCTCGAATTACTCCATTGTCTCGATACTGTTTGAAATAACACAACGCGGGGCTATGGATCACCTCATTCATGTTAATTAACTTTTAATTCCAAATTTTGCTCAGTGACAGTCAAACTTAATCTTATATAGTTAACGCTTCATTCATTTAGTTTTTTGTGCGCATTTCAGGAATACAGTATTAAATCCTTTCGTGATTTATCAATGGAATATTGAGTATTAATGCATGCATAATTATAAGTACTAGGATGTACTTAATTATGATGATAATGCAAGAATTAAGCACGTGACCCTGTATGTTGTATTCCTTAGTTCGTATAGCGGTTTTTAATACAGACTACTGTAAATTGTAAACATACCAAATATAATTTATCTCAGTTTTTCAGTTTCCTTAATTGAGTACTCATCTGCTAAGAAAGAAGTTATTATATTATTATATGATATATTATTACATATCATATATTGTTATATATTGTTTTGTATATATACCCATATTTACGTATTTTAGTGGAGAATCGTCTAGAAAAAAAAATATTTAATTCAGGAATATGTTCACGGTATTAAATATCGGCCAAAAATGCACAAAAACCACATGCATTTGAAATAAACATTTATTTCGGCCTTAACGTGAATTTTCCCTATGTATAAAAGTGATTTCTCCCAATTTCTGGCATATATAATGTAGATACACGTTGTAGATATATTACTGTCATCTCAGATATGCATTGCCTATAGTAGACAAACATTTCCCATTTCGCTATATTCACCAAGCATACATTGCATTTGTACAAATGGCCCTCAACATGATCTAAAGATGACTTTCAGCGATGATTTGAATTTACTCTAAATAGCTCTGGGGTCTCTCTTAATGATTCGCTTATGACCTATGCATTATACGTTACACAGATGTCAGGAACGCTGCACATATAAACATCTCTTTCCGGGAAAATGCCGTTTTACTCTCATTGACTCCGCGGACACCTTGACATCGATTTACTCCAATGTGACAAACATGGGTAGAATCAGGGACGCTTTTAACCTAAATACTACACGCAATCACACACAGTCGTTTCCTCACGTACTGCCTCTCCTTCTTTCCCCCTCGCTCCGGTCCTCCTCTCCCAGCAGTGAAATTCAGCATGTCTCCCCGCTCCACCTCTCCGTCTGCCTCCACCTCTGTTTATACATGCAACGCTACGCCGCGTAAATATTGTTCTTCAACAATAGACTGAACGCTCCCGTTTCTCCCGTTCCTTCTTCCTCCCGTCTCTCTTAGCCTGCAGTCGCTTCCCGGTAGCCTCTGTCACAGCGATGCAGTCTCGCCCCTCCATCCATCCATCCTCCCATCCCTCCCTCCCTCCCACATACACTCCGGCGTACACATACATCGGTAAAAAGCGCACGATGCTCGGGCCCGCCGGCTTTCCAGTACCGTAGCCCGCGTTATGCTCCGGCGTGCCCATGCCATGCGGAACGCCCCAAAGCTCGTTCTACGAAGCGTACGAGGATTTGCATCGTTAACCGAGAGGCAGGCAGCCACCCCCGACCCACACCCCCACCACCATCGGCCCCAGTCCCCCCTACCCGTCTCCGCTGGACAAATAACAAATGGAAAATCTTACTGAGTGTCCTGGAGCCGATACATCCCATGTTTTTTTTACAAAGGCCCTGACAATAAGCAAGGAAGCTCTACCTTTTCACCATACATTCTCTCTCTATTTCTCTCTCCCTTTCTTTTCCTCTCTCACGTCGTATGTGCCTCTCTCTCCTTTTGCCTCTCTCTCTCCTCTCGCTCCATCTCCCTTTCGCTCTCTCTCCCTCTCCTCCTCTCTCTCCCAGCGCAGTATCGATGAATCGTAACATCCAGTCTGCCAGTGAGTCAGTATAGAAACGAGAATAGAAGGAAAAAGAGATATGTACTTTATAAAACATATATCATGTATTATTGTTAATATTATGGCTTCTGCAGTTATAATGATCGATGATCTCAAGTTTCATTGTTGTAAATTAAAAATTTACTATAATCAGAATAATGTACACAAGATAGAACTTCCTGAAAACATAATTCACTTATAACCTTTGTGTTTAATAAGGTTAAAAGTCAACAGAGGCCATCCTTTTAATGTGCCAATAAATGCCATAAGCAGACAGGTTACCATTTGTAACGTGTCATTTCATTATTGTTGCCAGTGTAGATATCCCCTCACTGCCATGCCATTGTAAACCTGGCATAAAATGGGGGGTGTTCTCAGTTTGGCTCCCCCTGTGAGGCTCGCTCTGCTTCACAATGCAGTACAGCTGTTTCCCACCTTTCCCGCCCTCTCTCTTGCTCTCTCTCTCTCTCTCTGTCTCTCTCTCTCTCACTATCTCTTCTCCCTCACTCTCTCTCTTGCTCATGAACGGCACACACACGCAGGAGACAGACAGCGATACGCTTCTGAAAAATCACAAAATGCCAGAGCGATATTGCTTGCCCCCTTTTCTCTTAATCCCTCTCTATAACTTTCATCACCTCCACTGACTCCCAGATACACCTAGAAGAGCAGTCTTGATCTTTGCTGCTCTGTGCATTGTGCACATGAGGTTGGTAATGTCAGCATGTAGCGCCCTCCAGCGGGACTGGTGGCTAGTTGTATATTTACATGTGCTGCTTCTCTGTGTGTTTCCCCCACCAAATGATGCAGGGAGGAAGTGGGAGGGAGGTGATCACACACACTGAGATGGAGGAGAAGGAGGGACAGATGGAAAGAAAAGGAGAGAGGGAGGCAGGGGGTGGAAGGTGAAGAGGGACAGATAGGTGCTTTGAATCCTGTTAAGGAGAGGTGAGGCTGTGGCACAAATTAGTATTCAAAGAGAGAGGGAGACAGAGGAGGGAGGGGTGAAGGGGGAAGGGTGGAAAGAGGTGGAAGAAGAAGGAATCGAAAATTGAGAAAGGACCTGAACTGTGCAGAAGTCATGATTGAGCCATAAGGGGGATTTTACTTACATGAAGTGAAAACTGGCTTTATATCCACCGAAAGTACTGCACATAGCATGTTGTTTACACTCCAGTTGACAGGGATGAATATTACAGCACAATCACACAGGGATAATAAATAGTGATACCCAGCCCATGTCCAGCAGGAAAATCAATCTGACACTGCAATCTGTTCCTCCACACCAGAAGGGGGGGTAAGGTAGCCTGTCGGAGAGTCACCTGAGGATATTTGATTACATGTGGCCCAGCATGAATCTAAGACCGCCTTGTTCCCCAGTGTGTTTAATCGGCTGGCGCTGGAGAGAGTTCGGCGCCCCCTGGCATTGCACAGGAGAAAGACAGAAAATAAGTTACCTCATCAAAAATCAAGTTGTTTCACAGAGTGTAGAAGAACAGTGGCTTGGATGATTGTAGCTACAGCCTCCACTGTGGTGGATGACTCCTGGGAAGTCAGGTTCACCAATACTTTGCCCATTCATGTATTGGGAAAGGCAATTCCCAAATTAGGTGGTTGGAATTCAGAACCATGTCTTGTTAAAAAGGACTTTTCATAAATGACTGTCACAGTGCTCCTTATGGGATGTCTGTCTCTCCTTCATTCCTCTGCAGTTTTGCGATATTAATGATGTTTCTTTGTCCTTTCTCTGGCCAGATCTTTCACTTATATTATCCACAGCATGGTCTCTTTTCTTCATTCCCTCTAATTGGTTGCAGCTTCGTCCCAGTAGATGGCTTTTTGATCACCTGTTTGGACAGGGCTTTTTTTGACAGGATCTGCCTGATCATTTTACCCCCAGTTACACATGCGTGTACACACAAGCCTTGCTGTCCTGAGGGACAGCCTCCCTTGAGAAGTCAAGTTGTTTGTTCCAGCACTGATGCTGCTACTGCTTCTACAGCTCCTGCTCATCCAGAAAGGAGGATGGAAAGGTACTGTTACTGGGGAAGTGTCTGGGTTTACCCTGTGATTGCTATGCTACACTTACATAAGCATGGATTATATTACACTTCATGTTGTCCTGTAGACTTTGGCAGTCTGCTCACACCCTGGCTGGTAGCCACACATTTAGCATGGGGATGGTCTGGTTTTGCAGAGCATGGACACTCTGACCAGACAGACTCAATGAAGGAAGGGCAAGAGAATAATCTGGCTTTTAGAGCTTTTAGACTACACTGTAGCTTGGGTGGTCTGTGGTTTGTTCTCTAATTGGAAATATTCCTCCCTCTAACCAAAACTAATTTCTTGTTTCTCTGTCATTGTCAATCGCTTCCTCTAAGTTTATGTTTGTCTATATTCAGTCTGTTTACATTCCTCTGTCAATTCTTGAACAATCAGCTGGTTCCCAGATCTGACCGTGACTATCTCTTCTGCATCTTGATCAGTATCAGAAATCTTTTTTATCTGTCCAGCTCTGCAACTCCATGTTTTGTCAGTCCAGGAATTTTCCCCATGGGCTTGACAATGTATGGGTTTACACAATATACTGACATCTGCTGGACAATTCATACATTACAGCTGAGGTCAGTCCTATGAGCTGCAATGTTAATTGCCTTTTTATTGGAGATAGCTTTCAAAAGACTGGATCGGCTCCACAGGGGAAGTCCATGGTGAGAATGATTGTGTCACATCCTGAATGTCTGCTTGTGTGTGTGTTATATTACAGGTACTTGTACATTAATCAGATGCTGCATGTCTGTAAACCTGATGAATCAGATATAGTCTGGAATCTGAACGTTAACTTTGGAGCAAGTTATGAGCGGACAGTGAGTCACTCACAGTGGTAAATAAGAAGAGGATTTGCTCACAGTGAGCCTGGCAGGCATCCAGCTCCACTGGCTCTGACTCCAAAATGACTCCTGTTGTCAAACAGCGCCCCAAGGCTGGCCCAGGATTTATCCATCCTGCTCAAGGAAGACTCTGAAGTCAATATATCCACCCACTGGGCAAACAGTTCAGGGAGATACAGTGATCTCCATTTACAGACCAGCCCTCCATTATGTCCCCTACTTCACGCTGGGGAGGGGCTTCAGCTCTCGGAGACCGGTGTCCCTCCTGATCTGCATCCTCTATGATCAAACTGCATAATCGGTAACACTTTGCTGGGAAATAGTCAGGTAATAGAACCCAAATCAAAAGCTCATAGGATTTGAAGGTCAGGATGATCCAGACGCTCCTATGTGAAGCACATTCCAGAAAAGGGAGCGTGGTGAGGAGCATAGGCAGAGTGACATCCCATCGCTGTGACTCGTGCAGCATCACATCCTTCTAATTCAGGCCAATGGATTCAGGTTGATTGATTCAGGCTGATATAATTACTGCTGAAAGTGGCCAGAACTCATAGGGCAGGGGTGCCCAACTGCAGTCCTGGAGGGCCGGAGCCCTGTGTAGCTTAGTTCTTTCCCTGTTCCACCATAAATGATTCAGCTCAAGAGCTGTGTGGTAATTGAATCTGGTGTGTTAAATGAGTGGAAACCCAAAAATGTGCAGGGCTCTGGCCCTCCAGGACTGGAGTTGGGCACCCCTGTTGTAGGATAACTACAAGAGGACACAAACAGCCAAAAATGTCAACAGGTCTACACTGATGTCTCCCTGTTTTTTGGGCAACAGTGTCATGAAAGAGACTATAAAAAATAAACTGAACTTAATTCAATGTGTGGTAATGTGTTTTTGCAGACAAGATGACTTTACCGTATTTTACTTCAACTTTTAAAACTCCACCCTATATGAAGTGTCAGTTTGGTGAAATTTGGTGACTTAAATTTTGAAGTTTGAATAATATACTAAATATACAGTATTTTTATAATAAAATATGCTATAGAAGTTAGTGCTAGTTGTAGACATTTGGTATATGTGCTATCCCTCCTAACTGTATTTAATCACCCGCCTTCCCCCATTATCATTCCTGCCCTCAGTTGTTCATTATCTCTCTCTTTCTCTCTCTCTCTCTCTCTCTCTGTGTCTCTGTCTTTCCCTCCTCCTGACCTTACAAGGAAACACAAGCAGAAGGCTGATGTCATAGAATGAAGAATGTTTCAAGAATCCAGAGAGAGTGAGAGAGAGAGAGAGAGAGCGAGAGAGACAGATGCAGAACCGGGGAGGTGGGGATAGAGGGGGGGGCACAAAGTTTATGGACTGACTATCCTATGTTAGGGGGGTTAGAAGGAAGGAGAAAGAGAGAGAGAGAGATCTATGCTCAATAATACACTGCTCCTGAGCAAAAGTCAAACGAGAGGGAACTTGTTTGGGACGATTGTGTCATTCCTTTTTCAGAAAAACGGGGGAGGGTGAAAAGGTTGTACAGGCACTTAAAAGGTTTGAGACAAAAGTTAGCACCATATACATACACTGTGTTGCTGCACAAGGCACTGGTGCACCTTCGTAGGAGCTGACACAGTGAGAGTGTCGCTTATGCAAAGGGAGTGTCACTTATATTCACTTTGTGACAGAAGCTAAGAGCAGGTAAGTTATTTGTCATGACGAATTTCGTCTATTTGGAAGAGGTTTCTACTTTAAACATCAATAGTCGTTTGTAATTCACATTCTCGTCTAACTTTTTCCCCATTAAACTTTAATATAGTTTTGGACATTTGAATTTAATGACCGGCAGTGTATTTTATGGACTGTCAAAAATATTGTCTTGCAGACAATTGGTTTTGGTATGCGATTATTTTAAGCTCCTGATTTATAGTAGACAGCAAAATTTGGTCAAGACATAGGTCCAGACAGGTTAAAAAGCGGAGGTGCGTCAACACTACCAACACCCAGGAGTCGTGCATCGGAGTGGACACGGAAATGTATTATCACTGACAGGAAGTCGGTCACTTTAAACAAACAAAAAAGTTTTGCAAACGCTATTTTGGTGGAACTGACTAAAGGACCTCGGGACGAAAAGTGCGATAGCACGTTATAACACTGGTTGTATGTTGAGGAAGAAAAGGCGGGTTGGAGGAGAAAGAGAAAGGGGGGAGATACGGAAATCAACCGATCGCGACATTTTGTACGGGGCATCTGGCAGCCTGGGTTACGGTAAGTGCTTCGCTTTTACCGTAATGTCTTAGAGTAATGCTGAGGTTATGTTAGTTACGCTGCTTCGTCATTACCGCATCTGTAAGGACGACGCCCTGGTCAATGCAATATCCATTTTACGCAAACATCTAAATCAATTATGTATGTATGTACACGGACAGTTACATTGGAAAGGCGTCACCCAGTTATTAGAGCACAGCTGGGGGATCGCCTAGCTTATATAGGCAGTATTGTGCTTGACAATCGCGCAGATGTAGATGGGGGTTTGAATGCTGACGCGGCGTGGATCGCTTATAAAACAGGGCATACTGTCGATCTGTATTGAATTAAAGTCAAGATTTGCAAAAAGAAAAAAAGCCGCTACGTACACTGAAATGAAGCAGAAGCTTGTCTTTGCACGCACGCGTTTTTCTTCGTAGTGTTTTGTGTTGTGAATTAATGCACCAGCCGGTTAAAATGAGGGGAACGGATTTCCCCAGAGAAGTGATGATGACGATCGACCATTCTGCGTAGATGTCGCAGAAAACCTTAAATGCATATAGTTAAATCTACCAGATATAGTTTTCTCTTTTTACTGGTAAATTACACCAGCTGCCCCCCTTCAGCAGGATTGCAAATGCAGACGGACTGGAGGAATTTCAAAGGCCTGATTGTGACCAAGCAGGGTAAACAATGGTCTCGGAAACACACGGCGATCGTTAGATTTCAAAACATCGTATTATACATATTTATTTACTAGTTACTAAAGCAACCACTATAGCCTCACGTCATGCCGTATAGGCTTATTGGCTGTGGGGTTAAGGCTCATACCAGGTTTGGTTTCCTGTTGGGTTTAGTGGTTTGATTCGTTTATAGTTAGGGTTTATCATTCGCTAATGCCGTTGTTTTGACTTGTGTTAAATGTTTAGTATACCTGACAGCTGGAAGGTGCTGACTCTACCCATGGAAAAGCGTTTCTGCTTTTTAACGTTTTAAACTTCCTTCTTGTGTGATCTTCAGCTATACAAGATATTGAATCCTACCTGCCGTTTTTTGTTAATTTAGTAACTTAAAATCGAACTCCGCGTTTGTGTCACTTCTGCATTTACTGAAGCAGTTCTTACAATGTTATTCAAAAGGATGAGCAGATGTCCCTTCAGGGGCCTGAAGTGGAAACGTGAGCTGATGCCACGAGGAATAGCACAACTTCAGTTAGACTCCCCTTTCAGACAGTGTTGCTTTGCTGTATTGTCCAAGCCATGCATTGTTCGTAAGTTTTATTGACGCTAGACAGAAAAGGAACTCTAGGTTTTCCAACAGAGGACTTCTAAACCACATTACTGGAAATTTCTGCTACCCATCGCTTAATATGAGTTGGCTTAAAAACTAATTTTGTTCATACCATTTTGTAGGCTTCATAAATGGAGTAATCTGGTGTTGTAATGGATGGATTGAACATCCTTTACAACATGCTTATGGCAGCAAAAGGTTATATAGTGGGTTTGTTTTGCTGCTGTAGTTGATCTTGAGTAAGTGGCAGTGACTACCACTGCCTTGAGATGCACACTAAAGTCATCGTAATCTGGAGTCCGGTGCTTGGACAGCCTCCTGTGTTTGTGTGGAATGCTGGACTCCTGGGACATACTGCTCTGAGTCGAGCCAGAGGGTGTCAATAAAAACCTGGTTTCTTGCTGGAACACATCCGCCAGCAGTGCACGACTTGGAGCACAGATGGGAAGAGTGCTGTCTGTGACATTCCACATTCCTGGTATGTTTCACTAGGCTTGTAGAATTCCTGTGCTGTCAAAGGAATGCTGTTCACGGACATCTCAGGTACTATATGCTCTTGTCTGCCATGAGCAGGAGCAGCTCTTTGAGATGGGAAGCTATTAGTGATGCTATAAATAGCTGAAAGAGCAGATGTATGCTTGTTTATTGGCAAGATAGGTGGTATGTTGCGTAGTACCATTTACAAAAAAGGTTTTTAATGAATACAGATGAAGCGTTTGCGATATTTTATGACATTTTAGCTGCTGGCAATAATGGTAGACCTTTTGTTTGCTTTGTGTGGTTTCTGATAAGGAATGGCATCAACACCTGATTCATCTTGTTCATTAGCTGTGTTGTGAAATTGGTTGGGTTGTGCAATTTTTTTTCTTAACATTATAGTTAAAAGCATTGCTTAGATGACAAGGCATTTAGGTACTCTAGTATGCATGGAGCTGGTGTGGCGCAGTGGGTTAGGCCTGCCTGTGATCAGAAGGTTGCCGATTCAGGTCCCCTACCTGGCAGAGTGGTCTTACCACTGTTGGACTTTTGATTGAGGTCCTAACCTCTGAAAACATGGCACCTGATAACTTTGCATTCTCATAGGAGAGTAAGAGGGGATATGAGAAAGCAAGAGTTCCTATATAGGCCTACTGGTCCTGCCACAAATGGCAAAATACTTTATTACCACAAGACAGAAACTTCTACAACAGTTTAGATTGCTAGATTGTAAGCAGTTATGTACGGATATATAGACATTATAAAATGTTCACACTATGGATCTTGCTCCACCTTGACTAGTGCAGGCCATTTGTTCTCCCATCACAGAGTTGTAGGCTTGACTCCTGAATGAGATTAAGGTTTGTCACTTGACCTATCAGCACTGATTCACCCTCTCTTTGTCTTTTATTCACAGATTAAGAAAATGGCTGACTCCAGTGACAGCAAGCCATTTGTGGCGACTTCTTCTATCACCTTCAAAGTTACCACTCCTTCCTTTTATAACCAACCAAAAAAGTTTGCTTCTGTGGCTCCGCCTCGGCCCAAAAGTCAGACTAGCCAACCGCAACCCGCGACCTCTAACCTAATACCTGCCAGCACAGCCGTTATTGGTCGTGTGGGAGAGCTTCCTCCGCCACCTCCTCCTGTCTGTGATGGTAAATTTCTTTTGCTTTGTCTCTGGTTGCTTCAACTCAAGGACATGAAGTTCAACTTTTGAGAGAGACCTTCAAAATCTCACTGCAATGTCTGACATAAATAAAAAGCCAAGTTCAAACGTGAACAAAACCATGGCTATTGAAGTATGTTATGGTTCTGGTAAAGAATTCCTGTGGAGCTGGAAGTTATTGAATGATTATTGAAAGTTAGTGTTTGAAGAAAATATTTATAGTTAATGATGGTTCCTTCCCTCTTCTGCCAGACTTCCCACCCCCTCCTCCCCCATTGGATGATGCTGAGCTACCAGTCCCACCCCCTGAATGTCAAATCACACCCCCTGCTTATGAGGCCCCTCCCCCTGCCTTTCCTGCTCCTCCCTCTCCGCCTCCAGAAGACTTTCCTATTCCATCAGCACCTGAGGACATCTCCTCACAAACGTATACCCCTCCTCCTCCCCCTCCGCCTCCTCCGCCTCCCCCGCCACCTCCTTCCAGCAGTAACAATAATAACTCACAGGTGAGTTTGGACAAGATGCTGTTGCAGGTCTCTGTATCCTGTTTGTCGCCAGTATGTCAATGTTCACTTTGTTGTTGCTTTTGCTTGTGTTAATTTGTTAATTTGCTCTTTAATTAGTTGTTCACCTTTAGGGAGTATATATATATATAGCTCTTTAAATAAACGCACATCTGTTTCCTGTGTCCCTACTCTCTGCTCTTCTTTGTCATGATTTCACAGAGGCTCATGGAGAAGCAGACTAGCTTTGACAGGCAGCTGGATTCCCTAACTGATCTGTTGTCTGAGATGGAAACCAGAGGGCCTTTTAACCCCAAGGTAATGATTAGGTCTTTTCTACTGTTAAGGAATACGAAACAAATATTGTGAAATGATATATTTTCTACCTTTTCCCTTCACAGATACCTTCTCAAGCTCCACTAGTGTCTGCACCCAAACCATCTGGCCCACCAGCCACTGCCCCAAAACCACTTTCCTTCCTGCCTCCCCCTGAGCTTCAGGACCACCCACCCCCCGCCCCATGGGCTGAAGAGCTCAAAGCCAGGACAACAAACAGACAAGCCAATCAGGGCCCTGCCCCAACCCATAGTCAGCCTCCACCAGCCAATAAGACTCCAACGGTGGCCCCCAAGACAGGCTTTCCCACCAGTCAAGGCACATCCAACAACAAGAACCCAGCTTTCGGCTCCAAGGGAGGTGTCACTGCTCCCTCTGCCGTCACGAAAGCCCCAAATTCTATCACGCCCTCCATTGCTGCGAAACCTGCCCCATCCAATTCATTCCCTCCTCCCCCTGTTAATCAAAATGCACCCAAGCGGGCCGTTTCGCCGGTTGTCAACCACTCGAAGACCTCCCCAGCTGCTAGTCAGGAAACTGTGAGCGCCCCCACTATGGCATCACAGCCTAAACCGATTTCTTCAGCATCTCCTCCGTGCGGCCAATCTGCAGGGCCTCCAGCCTCCAAGGTGAGCCGCAGATCCGTTCAAGCCATTAGGGGACGCGGGGCACCTAGAGCGCCAACTCCTGAGGAGCACGGATTTGGCACACTGCTGATTTCACTTGTCTATGCCCCTAGAAGTACATATACCTCCTGCAGTGCCAGCACAGCTATTTGATGTGGGGGGAGGAAAAAGGTGTCAATGATGCTGTTAGGGTTAGCAAACTGTCAATAAGGCTGTCAAAATATCAGTTTCTTAATCGAAATTAATTGCACACTTTGGCAATTAATCGCATATACAGTTTTGTTACCATCAAAAAAACATTTTATTGTCTCAATATTGAGTATAGAGATGTATATAGATGAAATTCTATTAAAAATCTCTGCTCATACTACTCTCCCATTGGGGTATCTAAATAAACACAGTTAAAGTTAATGCCATCACAAAAATAACACGTTGCCACTTTAAAATTAGCGCTAACACTAATGTGTTACCTTTGACAGCCATGGTTCGTAAATTTATTTTTGCTTTCTGACATTTTAAAATGGTGTAATAATGTGAGACAGGGCCTGATGGGCCGGTTTGCCATCTCCCTGCTGCTCAGATGTGCTTTGGCTACAAGTTAGCGCTGCCCAAATCTTTATTTGCTCATGTTCCCGTCTGTCTGTTTCTCGCTGTTTTGTCGTGTCGTAGCCTGCCCAGCCCCCTGGTTCTGGTTCTGGTTCGGGAATGCCCCTTTCCATGAGAGAAGTGGAGGAGCTAGAGAAAATGACTCAGGACTTCATTAAGAACATGGACGCACACGCCCCTGTCATCACCTCACCTCCCACAGGTAGGTTCCGTAATCTGTGTCCCTGTGGCACCGTGTGATAAAGCTTCGGCCCATTGTAATTCAAAATATGTGAAGTAAAAGTATTTTACGCTCCCCGTGGGGTATTCAAAGTATTTATACCAGTTGAAGTCTGAACTTGCTCCATGGAGGAGTACATTGTTTTCAAAATGCTTAAAATTGAGATTCTGGCTATCGGTGTATTTTAAAAAAAAAAAAAAAAAAAAAGCCCCAGCTCTGCAATAATGTGAGAATGAAATTAAACTGAGCTTCTCAAGAAAGATATAGGGTATGAGATAGTGGCATGAAATGGGATTGGTCGTCGGGAATGTGGGGATCCTGTGTTTGTGGAAATCTGTCATGTTATATTTTGTGAGAGGGTGTGAAAACTTTCAACAGTGGCCTCAGTTGTCTGTGTAGTCTGTTTACGTTTATCCACTGATTAGAATGCAATATACCTACTTGGAGTGGACTGCCAGTTTCCCGCTGTCATGCTGAGCAGGAACATACAGCTCAAACCTGAGCTTAACTGCCATTTTATTATTACAGTGGGCAACTCAAACCTACTACTATCTCGAATGTAGAAATGTTTAAAAATTATGCCAGTGAAAGAGCCAGCCTACTTTTAAATTAATTAATTACAGGAACACTACTCCCATGGCAAAGCATCCAAAATGTCTACTTTTAAAAAAATCCACACAAAAGTGCAGACACTAAATAGATTCAGAAGGTAGCTACCGTAAATTAGCTAAGTAGCCTAGCTAGCGCTCTAGATGGGCTTAGCTCAACTGAAAAGTAGCGGATTGCTAATTCACTTCACATTTGTTGAAGCAGCTATAGCGCAGCTAGCTATTAGAGGCAAAATATTAATTATTAGAGTTGTAGACTGTGAATGTTTTAGACAAATTGCAATATATCCCAATGGACAGTGCCAAAGCAAAGAGAAACGATTGTAATGGGTATTTAATATTCTGTTATTTAGCACTCACAATATTTACTGTTGAGCAAATGCCATGCTGAAACAGCTTGAGTGAATGTGGGTTCTGTCCCTGAAGGATCTTGGTAAGATATCATTGTTTTGTGTCTTGTAGCCAGGCAACTTAACAGGAGACTTGATCTCGACAAATGCTTTCTATTTTGCAATGAATTTTTAAGAAGGAACTGTTGAGCAATTAGTGACATCCTAATGAGTTGGATATGTCATTAGTTTGAGCTTTACTCACAACAGCTAAATGTCATTTTAGAAGGCATAGATTTGGGGTGGGGGCCGGGGAGAGGGGGCCTGCAAGTGCTTTACTAGTGTATGTCTTGCAGAATGAAAAATACCAGCCTGCTAGCATTTATTAATTGCATGACGGAAATTCTCCATGTATATCTGAATTAAGGCTGGATTTATACAGTCAGGTTAATGGGGCGTGACACTGGGTGGTGGAATGGATTTTGATTATATTTTTACAAATTGGAAAAAATGAATTAAGTAATGAAACCCAAAATTGCCCCTATTCAGTTAATTTCCCCAGCATTAATATCCCAGGATGTTTAAAAGATACTTTCACTTCACTAGAGGTATTTTATTACTGCTTCAGAGGTATTCGTACTTTTCAAAGTTAAGCATAACCCTGTGCGGATATCCTGTATTCAGCATTAGCATTTAGCATAACCCCGTATTATGGGCTATTCTGCATTTCTCCCAGAGGTTTGTGGGAAGTGTAGGCAGGCCCTCTCCCGCTCTCAGCCCGCCGTGCGAGCCATGGACAAGCTCTTTCACTCCGACTGCTTCTGCTGCATGACCTGCCAGCGACCCCTGCAGGGCTTGCAGTTCTATGACAGAGATGGACATCCACAGTGCGAGGACTGCTTTGTGGTGAGTTTTGCACAAATCTGACTGACAGCGTTTCTATTCCTGTTTCTTTTTATTAAGGGTATGTATAAGTTTACTGCCACTGGAGTTGCAGGGGATGGATGTTCATATCAGAAATCCTCGCAAGATTGGGTGATTGGTGTTACAGTGCTGGATGAGTGTGCTTGCTGGTTGTGTTGCTGCTTAGAGGGTGTGGCACTGAGGCTTCCTGCTGCCTCGGCTTTCGACACACTCCTTTTTGGCGTAACTGGCTACACCTCGGGCTCATGCCGCTCCCCGATTCCCGCAGAACTCCCTGCCCGTGTGCGCCCGCTGCGGCGAGCACGTCACTGACCGCGTGCTGAAGGCTGTCGGCCAGAGTTTCCACGCACATTGCTTCCGCTGTAGTACTTGCGACTGCAGCCTGGAGGGGGCGCCCTTCATCACTGATGACGACAGCCGGCCCTACTGCGTTTCTGACTACCACCGGTGAGGGAGCCCGCCAACTGCATCGTCCGGTCCTCTGCGGTTGCTATGGTCCGACGTACTAACAGTACTCCCAGAGCGTTTTTGTTCCAAGAGCCAGGAAGGAGCAAAAACATGGGCTGTCTGGGGCTCCCTAAGACAAAAGTTGGCATACACTGCACTATACTATTTTAACGTGACTCCTCTTCTCTGTCTGTCGCTCAGTCGCTTCTCACCGGTCTGCGTGAGCTGTAAGGAGCCCATCGTGCCTGATCCCGGCAGCGAGGAGACCATCCGGGTAGTGGCTCTTGACAAGAACTTCCACCTGAAATGCTACAGATGTGAGGTAATGACTCCCTCTGGCCATAGCCACCGATGTTAAGTTTTCAATTTTGGTGTATAATCACCCGGTTTTCCACAGTTAAATGCTCCATACTGTTAGCATGGGCATGTTAATTTAAACATGATTTTTTTTTCCCTCCAATTATTTCTGTGTGTTGCTAATATGGGGGACATTTCTTTGTGCTCTGTCTATTCGCCCAATCACAGGACTGCGCACGCCCCCTGTCTATAGAGGCAGATGCTGATGGCTGCTACCCATTGGACGGTAGAATCCTCTGCATGAAGTGCCACGCCCACCGTGTCAAGCAGGCCGCACATTGATTTGTGAAGACAGCCGCCAGTCTAAGCCTGACCAAAAATCATACGCATAGAATAGCTTTGGCTCTGATTTTGTGATTTATAGCCATTTCTGGCCTATCTCAGTTCAGAGGTAATGTACTGTACTGTGCAAATCCTGTAGTCACCCCGGTTAGCCTACGTCTATGATGTCTGTCATACATTTAGCTCCCAGCATGATTTGCACAGGTATAGCTTTGGCTTTAAGCAACCTCTAACACCAATGCACTTTGGGATTCCTAGTACATAGCAACTTCTCCAGCACTCTTATTTCAACAAAAGTAAATCTGAGTACTTTATAAAACCTTTTGTGGGAGTTTAAGGTGCATTGGGCTTGCTCCACAAGTCGACTTAGGGGGCTGTTTATTCATTTCTAGCAATCATAATATATGGAGTGTTTTGTATAAATTACATTTCCCAGCAAAACTTTCTTGCAAATTTTTTGGTCTCAGTGCTGCATGGGGATAGTAGTTTTAGGGCTAAAAATTGTATTTTGACTGGTGAGCCTGTAAAAATTTGAGGGTTTTTTTTCCCCCCACTATATTCAGTATTTATAAAGACTGAAAACACTTTTGGCTTGCAGCTATAAATACAGTGGTTTAAAATGCCATTCAGTTCACACGCTTAAATTATAGAGTATAACAGGTGTTTATGAAAATAATGCATATTAAAGTGCTTCTAGCACTGCAGCCCAGCTGAAATTACATTGCCAATTAAATAGCTCATTTCATTTTCCTAATGCCTGTGTTTTGCAACAAATTTAGATATTTAAACATTAATATTGACACTTCGGAGACTATAACAACATTGCCTTTGTTAAATAAGTGATTTCAACGTTAGTGTAGAAGTTCAAATTACAAATACGTATAGAATTACTGTTATGGCTGCATATGAATACATAGCTGAACTTAAAATGTGTATTTAAGGCACGCATGAAATAGAATTAGTTACACACCTGCACTTGGATATCTTTGAAAGTGTTTGAATTGCAATTTTGGAAATTCCAAAACAATAATTGCTATTTGAAGAAATTCCATACATGTTGTTATAGTTACACTAATACTGATGTCTCCATCTAATAATAGCATGTGCCTTCATTGTAAGTGGTATAAACTTAATTGGATCACATTCATAGCTGCACAGACAGCCTTGCAAATTGTATCCAGTCATCAGAAACATTGTCGTTTAGTTCCACTTCAGCTATATTGCCTTCCCCACTCTCAGTTCCTCAGCGTGTTTTCTCAGAAATGAGCGTGGCGGCACCATGGTTTTTCCGCCGAGTGCCTCTATTTGCTACGTCTTTTGTATGTTCTTGAAATGGATTTTCTAGATTAGGATTTTTATTATTACATTGAAGCTTTAATAGTATTTACAGCCACGCAGAGTATTTCCCCCTCTTCTTTTTCTTTTCTTCTTGTTCATTCCCCTCAGTCTGGTTCATTCCATATACTCATTTATTGATGCATTCTTATGTTAAAACTCTGTTTGTCTTGACTTCACCAGGACAATACTTTGACCGTACTTTTGCCAAGCAGTATGTTTAGTTTTTCATTGCTATAATCATCTTTGTGATTATTGCGGTAACGGTTGTTTTTGTTATTCCGTTATCATTTTTTGTTACATGTTTTTGTCCCTTTTTTTTTTTTTTACTGTATTAAACAATAAACTGAAAACTGATAATTCATTTTATCCCTTTTTATTTACTGAATATATTGTTTGCATAAAATAAAGTACATACCTTAGAAAATGGGGGATGGAGGTCACATCCTGCCCATTCAATATGTGAGACATGCTCCTTCCTCTTGGATGGTTTCAAAATGAATCCACACCCACGTCTCCGCTTAAGGGGTTCCAGCCCTTTCTTCCACAGATAAGGCGAAGCAGAGGGGCAGTGATGTTAAAACAGGCCTGAAGCCTCCCGTTACAGCGTTCCTCATGGCCCTGTTCATGGCTCCAGCTTGACCTTGTTATGACTAGCTGAAGATTCTGATGGTATTGGCATACCTACCATTCTAAAATTTCTATGCCTACCCTCGTACCACCATCATGAAGGGTCAGAGACAGGGGATGCGTGTCTGTTTGGGGTTCTGTGCCTTATCAAGGAAGGGCAGAGGTGTGAGTGATCAGGGGAGATAGGAGGCAGGATGACGACTGATGAATTTTAAGGGAAAGGGAGACCAACGAGAGACAGACCCACTGTGTCAAGTAACACAGACACAGAGACGTGTTTACAGTTTCCTGCTGCTCGCTGACTGAAAACTTGCAATGATTGATGAGTCACCGTTAGCAATGGTAAGACCATCTGCAGGTTTTGTTCTGGAAATAATGAAAGCATTGAAAAAATACTAGTATGAAGGTCAGTATTCTTTCATACAAAGTCATCTACTGTAATTCTTAACTGGTAGGTTAGCTTTTAGTTTTAGTATCTAGTCGAAACTGGGTCTGATTCAAAGCTTCCAAAAAGCAAAGACATTCTGCTACTTTCCACTTTGTACTTAATCCTCTGATGTTTTCCTTGGAAAAAGCTTTGCTTGCTTGTTTACATTTGGACATTCTGGCAGCAGTGCGGAAGTTTCCGGCAGTGCAGGTTAAGTAACCTTATCACAACGGTGGGGGTCCTCCCTGAACTCTATCTGGCATGAGTCCATGTTCTTCAGTGTCCTGATCCCTTTCCAATACTTCTGTTTTTAAAGACCAGAATCGCACAAATCAAGCAAATTAAATTGAAAAAGGTGAAAATCCTAGACAGTATCATAGGTCTCTGCTTGTGAATGCTGTTCTTTCCCACAGTACAAACCTGCAATTCTCATCCATTTAGCCCCAGTCTGTCCAGAAATCCAGGTTAACAACTAAGCAGTTGCAGATTCTTCTGGTCCTTGGCTCCTCAATCATTGTCCTGCTGCTGTTGGGGCTCTGTTTGCATTTCATCTCTTCTGGAGCTTTTGACCCTTGGGCTGTAGGGATCAACACAGCATCACCACGGCAAGGTATCTTGGGTTAGCTTACTGACTTTCCACGATGTGTAAATCCCCTGTGGGCTTAATATAGGTGTTTGAAGATTCATTATGGTTCATTGCAGCTCCTCCTCCGTGCCTCTCCCAGGCCTGCCTGAAGGCTGCAGAGCGACTTTCTGCCTCAGCAGACCCCTTCGCCCAACCGTGCGACCACTTCCTGTTCAACTGTGGGCCAAAGGAAGTCCTATCATCCGGGGGGAGAGAAAAGCGCAGAGGCGAGGCTGAGGGCCAGAGTGGGAGGATGCAGGGGGAGAGATGGAGCAACAGAGGCAGAAATGCAGGCAGAGCAAGAGAAACAGAGACATTCGCAGTGACACCATCTGTCCAGTCAGCTCAAAGGACAGCAGTACTGCAGCTGATAAGGGAGATTTTAGGTGAGTTTTGAAATACATCTTCTAAGGAAATGTTGTGGTGATTGTCTGTAATTTACCTTATACTCTTCAATCGTCTTTCTTTCTCTGCAATAAAGAGTTATGCATTTACCATTGAGACTGTACCTCTGTGACACCCTCTGACCTTTCTGCTCCATTCTCTCAGAATCCACGGACAGACCAGGGTCAGAGGACTCAGCTGAGCAGAAGGCCAGGAGGTTCTACAGCACATGCATGGATACAGAGAGGATAGAAAAGGCTGGACCAGAACCATTTCTGAAACTCATAGAGAAGGTGACTGACAGGGCAGTGTTAACTTTACAGGCTGCTAGAAGCAGGTTGTCAAACAGACTGGCATAGGAATGTTCCTGTCATGCTAGGGGCCATTTTCTGTAAATGGCTGAAAGATGTGGGTCTATGTTACCAAACTGCAGGTTGTACATAAGAATCCATCTTTCTCTCCCTTGCTTTAGCTGGGAGGCTGGGCAGTATTTGGAAAATGGAATCGAAGGGACTTCAATGCAACTCTTTCTCTCCTGATGAAAGATTACTTCACTTTCCCATTTTTCAACATTTATGTGGGAAGCGGCCCCAGTGACAACAATACAGGGCATCAGCAGAAATACATACAGGTCAGTGCAATTACTAATGGAGTCAGTTTAGAGGAACCGTAACAGTGTTCCCAAGATGCTGGAGTCCATTAATTATGTCTTTATTGTATGCTGCACAGGTCATGGGATGAGAAGAGTGCAAAATAGTTAGGTTTAGATTTCCATGCCTGATGGTTCACATGGCGTCAAGAGTGTAACAATAGGAACTTTTGTTTGATATCTGTTGCAACCCGGACCTATGTTGTTGTTCCATTTAGAGCAAGAGAAACCAAGAGTATGTTAGTAGTGTGCATTCATGTGCAGGTATTTAATAAAAACTGGTTACCTCATTTGAGCACTCAATATATTCTGAAGTCCGCTGTTCTCTTGTATACAGATGCAGAACATAACAAAGAGCATCAGTGTTATTCTTCTAAAATAGTGTCTCCTCTCCATAGATTGACCAGCCTGATATTCAAATCCCTGTCGAATGGATAAGCAAGAAACCAATACCCATAAGTCGAAAAAAAAAAGTTCAGGTTGGGATTTCTGCTCAAAATCAGGATCAGTCAGCTGGTATTACAAAATCTGATGAAACTTTTCTTGTCTTTTTACTCTTTTTTTTGCATTTATTTTTATCCTCCCCAGGATCTGCGTCACTTCCTGTTGTCTCGGGTCCAACTCCTCAGTCTTTTGGGGGTGCCTTCCAGCAGTACCAGCCAGCACATGGGCATGTTCATCCAGTTGTCCTCTGAGTTGGCCCAGTTCACCTCACCCCTGCTGTACCGCCTGCAGCACCAGCTGTTATACCATCGGCTGACTGTGGGGGAGCTGCAGGTTGGGAGCTCCGCCCTCCTTCCCCGCTGCATTTGATCTGTAGGGTCTTGCCCAGTAACTAGTCTGCTTCTTCTTCCTCTATTGAAGCTGCTTAGTCTCACTATGGCTTTATTGAAGTCCAGTTTGAATCGGCTTCATTTCGCAATGTTTATCTCTTGCTCTCACAGTGTTTTTCTGAGCTCATCCATGCCAGAAGCTTCAGGGCTGCCTGCATGGTTTTCATGCTTGATTTTTCATCTCTTCATTGACGCTCTGTCTCCACAGGCTCAGGCCCCCGCCATCGATTGGCTGGGCTGCCTGCAGGCTTCTTTTCACCCCCTGACTGTCCGTGAATCCGACGTTGTTTACCTCCACAATCTGCCATACATCACCCACATGTCTAAAATTATCCGAAAATGGTGGTTCACTAAGAAATTTAGTCACAGGTACTGCGGTGAAGTAGCATCTTTGCTTTATATTTGCATGGTGCACCCAATCAGAATGCTAATCGAAATTCTAAACAAAATGCTCAACTACGTCAGTGTCTATGTACAGAATAACATAGGACTTTAGATGCGGTTGCATAACATTTTATTTACCTTTTCATTCCAGTGACACTCTTCACACTTTCATGATCCTCAGTCTCTTAAACACAGTCATACCAGCACTGGATTCCAGATTTTTTGAAATCCAAAGGAATTTCTCTGCAGTGCTGGGAAACATGGAGGAGGTGAGTGGAATGACGCCCTATGTTGTCTATAACGTTCCTTTTAGAAGTAGGACCTGGAATGCTGGACTGAGTGGGGTCTTCATACTTAGTCTGCTTTTCAATGTTCTTGTCTTGAGGTTGTGCCCCGCTGGAGCCACTGTGTTCAGCAGACAGAGATAGGATTTAACACGGTGCTCCAAAACTTGATAAGAGAGAGGGTTGGAGTGGCTGAGGTGAGGCCATTTGTACGTTATACCTCAGAAACAAGCCTTTTTATTTAGGAAGCATCTGATTGCCACACATAATATGCCGAAATTTACTATTTACCCAGGCTGAAGACCTGATGCATTCTGTGTACTCTTCTCTGAAATCAGAGCTAGCAGACCTTCCATGGAGAAATCAGAATCCTTCCATTTTGCACAAGGTAAAGGCTGCTATATTGCCATCATTATTAATATTATTTACTGGCATCCCATCCAGTCTGTCTCCTCTGCGCTTCCTGGGATCGACTCCAGGCTCACTGTGACCTTGTACAGGATAAGCTGTTACGGAAAATACATGGATTAATATTCTTCACAGACACCTTCATCTTGATTGTATGGGAAGCAGCTGTAGTAAAGACATCAGACAAGCAGAATTACAACAATTTAATCCACTGTTTACTAAAAACTTAAAGGATTAAAGTGACAGTAAAAGAAAAAAATATTAATGTGAAAAGGAAGGAAATGTTTGATTGGTGTATAACGGTCACATATCCCTAAAATGAATTATCATGAAGAGAGAAACCAAGGTTCAAGCAGATGTCCAGGTGCGAGGCGGAGCTTACTGTGTGGGGGATCAGTACTGCATTGGTCATAAAGCCAGGCTTGGAGGGAGTGCATAGAGACCAGGGCGAATCCCATCAGATGGTGACATCTGCTGTGACGAGTGGCGGGTTACTAATATTCACATGTAATTATTTCTAGTGATTCGCCTTTTTCAAACCTCTTTTTATAGGTTATGTCCCTGAGTCCAAGACTTTCGCCATACACAGAATTCACCACTAAAGAAAAACTCGATGAACAATATTCAAATGTAAATATGTATTTTCTATAATGGCAAATAATAATAATAATAATGTTTCATGCCATTATAATAATTGTAATCATTGTAATAATGATTATTTACAAAGGGAGGCTGTTGGAATGACAGCATTGTATTCCCCAGACAGCTTGCCCCCCTGCTACGCCCATCTAATCCTTACTCCTTCCACACTCATCTACCTGTGCAATTTCTAGAAGTCCTGGAAGGATCTCATGGAAATATGAAAATTAGTAAGTGTGCTTTTACCTGAGAGCTGTGAGTCCTAGTCATGACATGTAACTCCATATTCCACATTCCTGATTGGCAGAACCTTTCCCCACCAATCATGTGCTTACCTGTTCTACTTTATTTATGCCGTAATGTCCATATCTTAAAGTTTCATTTACATATTCATAGTTTTATATGTCTAAGTAGTTATGTTTTTTTCTCATTTGCACTGGAACCAACATTTTCCATGACATAACAGTAAGAACTGTATTAGATATATTAATAGTGCAGGTGGCTTCTAAAGGGCCACAGACAGCATTTTTGTGTGCACAGTGTATATGTAATTTATTTACATTTAACTGATTCTTTTATCCAAAAACCCTTACAGTAGAGGGATGGGTTACAATTTATCTGTGCTGTCTGGGATTTGAACCCACAACCTTCCTATTATTTGCACAATGTTCTGTCTGTTGAGCTGCAGGAGTTCTGTTAATGTTGTATTGAATCGTGCTTTAACATGCCCACAAAATACTAACTCAATAATGCAATCAGAAAATACAAGACAGATCACATCCCATACAGGTTCAAAACCAGACACAGCATTTTATATTTATTTTTCAGTAAGGGGATGGGTTCAAACTCCAATCCTCACATTTCCCAAAACACTTAATTGTATGACTACACTGACATATTCCTTTTGCACAATAAAAAATTGACCAAAGAAATTAATGTTCTTATTTACAGTATGCACATGGGATAGCTGCAGGCAGCAACAACGGTATTTACAATCAAAGTATTTTTTAACTTAGTTCCCCAATTCCAGTCCTGGAAGGCCAGTTTTTTGGTTATGTGTATATATATATATATATATATATATATATATATATATATATATACACACACTCACCTAAAGGATTATTAGGAACACCATACTAATACAGTGTTTGACCCCCTTTCGC